TGAATCATCTTCATCTTACTTTTAGATGTGGAAACCACTGAGCGATGTGATACGGATAGAATTCAAAATCTATTTGCCCAGAATTATGATGCGCACGGTTGACGAGTGCTCTAGATGATGCTGGAAGTAAGATAGTTGACTTGCGACTGTGCGACTCACCTAACGGCACATTTGATGCAAAGCTCCAGGTTCGACTGCTGTGTCGATATCAAGCACAATTGCAATTCTTCGTTGTCCAATGCTAGAGTGGTGTGTTCCAGTAGAATGTTGCAGTTCGTATTCGGTTTCTGCATATCTAGGATGGTGAAATAGTCGACTTTGATTGTGGCTGTGTCAGTCTGAATCACTTACTTTCCAAGCGCACATCGTACTTAGGACGAGCACGGTTTTTATAATCATACAAGCGATCCAAGACACCTGTCTTCATGAATAATTCCTCGACCGTTGAGGAATTCCTTTTAAGCTTCTCCTACTGCTGTGCCCCTTTCAGTCCTTCTTGAGTTCTCCGAATGCGATTGGACGTAAAGCGTCGAATTGGTGAATATCACAATCACGGTAACTGAAGACGAATCATTTAGTCCCAGCAAAGCATAGGAAAATATACTGAAAACTCGCTGTGCCCGGTGTCGCACTCCGAGAAGAATTTTTCCTCCGCCCGTTGGAACGTTCGACAATGGTCGTCCATTGGAATGCAGAAACCTGGATGGGAGTCAACAAGCGCTGAATGTCAGGAGGGAGCCACTCACCAAAATAGCATGAAGTCGGTCCTCCAATTTTGTCGCCTTTGCCCGTTCTGAGATGAAATTCTTCATGTCCCTCGAATTCTTCTTCAGAACCCGCTTCGAACCCGCATGAGTCGTGGAAAACGAAAGCGGGATTGCTTTTGAATACCAGCTCGTTTTCTGATGTCGTGATTTCCACGCTGATCGTCTGTCAGCGTATGTATGCCTGCAGGGGAAATGGTGCGGGCACCTTGATCGATGATTCCACGACGGCCGCAATTGATCTATCCACGATTGATCAGCAATAAACCCATGCATCGCATAGATGATCGATCGTACCTTGTGTCCTTTGGTATCGTAAATTTCTGGTTTATCCGTGGTATTGCAGACCTTGTGAAGGATAGACGTTTTGCCTGCGTTTGCTCTTCCCATGATTAGAACTCAAATCGTTTAATCATTCTCATGAGGACCTGAGCGTCGATGGTTGCCATGGGGAGATCTTAGTGTGCGTCCTGAAGTAGAGGTGATCTGGTTTATGATGAAAGCTGTACTGTGGTACAGAACGAGATCGCGGTGAGAAATAACGGCGAACAAATACGAAGCGAGGGCTCATATGGCTTATGACACAACAGTTACACACGGTGTCTATTTCCCTGCATTAGGCAATCAATTCCACCTCGACCTGTTCACTCGTCCGTTCAATAAAGCACAAGAATTACACAACAAACTGATGTTGAATAAGAGCGTTGGTAAAGACATGAACTACAATGAACAATCAGAATACGACAAAAACGACAGAATTTCCCTCTTCCCTACCTATATAATTGAGATTAAAAGCAGTGATATCGAAAACCTCTGTAGTAGATTGAGGTGAGCTCGATCTTTCGAGGTCTTCCATCCGAATGATCCTTCAGGTGTTTGAGAACAGGAGAATGTAGGGATGCAAGACATCCTCTGGGATGGGTTACATGCCGTAGTGCTTGACGGGGTTTGCACGTTTAGAGTTTTCCCCAGAAGTTTCCTGTACGACTGACTCGGGGTGACGGAGCAGTAGGTGCCGGTGCGTGTGTTGGCTGAAATCGAACGTCAACCATGCTTGTCGGACTGAGGGAAAGACACCAATGCAACGTACCGTGAAAGCTTTGTGTGGTCATAGATAGCTTGGGACAGGTTTGGTACATGTCTGCGGACGAGTCTAACTGCCCATCATCAAACTTTATAAATTGGCGCATATCTTGTCGGGTATCAAATAAGACGTACCGACCAACATACGCTTAGATTCGAAGTCTGGCGTGCGCCTTATTGGTCCATGACGAAATCCGTCCCAAGAACCCTTGGATTCCGACTCACGAGCAGAATGGACAAAGCTTGTTGTAGCCTCAATTCCATTTGACTGGACCCTCCTTCGACACTTCCCGCCCGGATGCCTACTGTGACGAGTGATGTCTTCAGGCTGACCTCATCTGTTCATAGCGAGCTCCCTCGTATTTTCTAATGGTATTGAGATTGTATAGCGTTCATGGTCGTGAAGTACATGATTTTGCCTTGAACGTACAAAATATTATGTTTTAGTAAGAATGCAGTGAGTATGGGGACTCGCGGTGCGAGCTAAGACTCACTAATAAATGGTGATTTTATGCCTTGGATCCAGTTTCGAAAAATGTTGATGGAATTGTGGGACATAGCGTTGAATGCTGGGTGCATGTCCTCGGAGTGGCCTATGCCATCTTCGTAGATATACAACGATATGGTCCATAAACCGAGGAAAGCGAGTGCTGTATCCGTAGGATGTAAAAGCCTTCTTGGAGCAGTAGTAGACAAGCAACTTCGCCGCAGCGTTTGGATAGAAAGAAGCCCCGCAACGGTTTAAGAATGCCTGGATGCTCATTAAGATGGTCATTTGCTGAGTCGCTCGGATGTCGATCCTGGAGAGGAATACGAACTTTGTGTGACGACGTGTGACGTATTTCTTTTGCTCGAGCTAGCTAGTTTGCAATTGCGAAATCATCGTGAATGTGTGAAATTCAATTCGAAATTCTTTGTTGACTATCTTTACACTGAATATAATATGCATGTAGCACTCAGCTGAATCACCACTCGGATGTTCTTACGCAGCTAAACGCTTACTACGAAAACACGCTGTGCTGGTTCTCGAGCGTTCGAATTTGTTTCGTGACGTGTCAAAAGATTTCTCAGAAAACAGATCATACATGTGGTCCGACAGCCACCCTACCGTCCTCACTGTCTTGGCTCATCAACCCAGACAAGACGGTTTATCATCAGATGATCTATCAATATCAGTGAAAATGTGAAGGAGCGCTTACCGATCGATGACCGGAAGTCCTTTAGCAGATGCTGATATGTGCAGTGGATCTGAAGCAACATCCGCAGACCTGAACGAGCAACATGTTGGTAGTACTGACTTTGAGCTGGGTAGGCAAACGCATGGGTGCACTAGATGGCGTCTACGGCGCGTCAACAAAAGTGCCAGTGAGGTATTTTGCTAGGGAACTAACAGTCATGCGGCAACAAACAAAAGTAGTTAGCGAACAAAACAGTAAGTTGAGCAGAGACCTTGAATGGCGATTGGCCTGCGATAACGGTCATCGAAAGTCAGATCTAGATCCATTTCAATCTTGTGTAGGGGAGACATTTGAGTAAGTGCGGATTCGGACATGGGGCGGGGCTGGTTTTTTTTTTTTTTTTTTGATCCAATTTTTTGTCCATTGAGAGATATACTCTATGTAGGACAGTACTGTCTAGTCAGGGAGCCCCATGCTCCGTCCCTTCGTTACATCCCCAAATGCCTTGGTGTAAGGCGTACCCCACCAGTCCGCCGTTCCCGCCGGCCGTTTTAGATGGGCGATGTGGTACACTATGGGATGACTATAAGTAAGATTGCTTGTGTAGAGGCTATCGGTAAACGTATAACGCATGCTCGGTCGCTTTCGCGAGCCAAACAGAGATCAGTTGGAGTGTGCAGTAAGAGTAAGGTGAATATAAGAATCGAGGAGACATAGAAGCTGGGGTGCGCTTCCTAGATGGACTGAGAGACAGGTGGTCCAAGGTGTCGGGGAGTCCTATATCCGCGTCTTGCTGGCTGAATCCCCAAGGTGAGACCGAAGATCTCGTGTAGGCGAGCTGTTAGGGTTGAGATTAGGGGAGGATATGATATTATGGAGGGAGTCAAGTGACAGTAGAGTAGTAGCTGGATATTAGGGTGCGTCAGAAAGGTCAGGTTTTAGGTAGCGAGATTTCACCTAGCGTGGATTTTAATCGACGAGTTTGGTTAACATATCGGACAAGGATGACAATGGCTTCTGGGTCGGTTAGGATGTGCGATAACGAGGTGGATTTCCGTCCCAGGGCCTGGGACATGACTTGACGAGCTGCGAGATAATGCGGGCATTCAAATAGATAGTGAGAGACAGTTTCATCAATATATGGGCAATGAGGACAATCGGGAGAGTCGGTTTTCGTGAGTCGGAACAGGTGTTGGTTGAGTGGTAGGTGACGGGTGCGTAGGCCAATGATGAGACCGGTGAGACGTTTAGAGAATGACGAGGTGAGCTTGAGAAATGAGCGTTTGATGGCAGAGGGGTCTATATGTTGGATATGTTGGAAGCGGGGGGAGGTGGACCATAGGTCGGCCCACTTGGCGTGCGTGCGTTCTCGATAGGCTTGCTTGATAGCTGAGAGGCTGAGCGGCAGTGTATTGTTACGAAGGTATTTGGGGAGAAGCTCACGAGGGCTATTGCGGTTCCTTCCCTCAGCCGCTACTTTCGCTGCTTTGTCTGCCTCCTCATTCCCGTGTACCCCCTCATGTCCTGGGACCCAGCGGAGCGTTAGTTTGAGACCTGGGTTTGCGTGTTTGATCTTTCGTAGGAGATTCTGAAATTTCATTGCTAGATATGAACCTGGATTAGAGTAAAAGCTCTCACCGGATAAGGTGGCTGCCTGGTTGTCGACGGAGATGGAGATAGGGAACGTGAGATCTCGTTCAGTGGCGATCAGTTTGGCGGCTAGGGTCAGGCCGACCATTTCGGCTTCAAATACAGTGTGATCTTCGTTCTTGCCTAGGTAATAGCGCAGAGTGCGTGGGGTTTTGCCTGCACGGAATAGAATGGCTGCGGCGCCTATATGGCCATCATGTCCGGAGCCGTCGCTGAAAACTTGAATGTCGTCTGGTAGGTCGTGATGTTCGTTGATAGCGTCTTCGCGGGAGGCAGCAATGTGCGTATCATAGAGATTGGAGGAGGTGGGTGCACGACGAGCTGGGATGAGGGTTTCAATGTCGGAGGGGTTGATTTGGTAAAATCGGGTGAGACGATGGAGGGAGGAGCGATGGGATGAAACATAACGACTAGCGGCGGTTCTGACTGCAGTGTAGAGAGGATGAGTATCAGGGTGTGCGGACATTCGGATGATAGCCCGATGGCACGTGTTCTGGAGCAATAGGGCCATCGGCAGGAGATTAGCATGTACTTCGAGCACGTCAGTAGCAGTGCTGCGCATAGCCCCGGTCATGGCAATGGCAGCGATGCGCTGGATAGAGGTGAGTTTTTTGGCCACTCCTAGGGATCCTCGCTGCAGGGTGCTAGTGCCTTCACGATATGCTGGTGTAAACCAAAGGTCAGCCGCGTATAGCATCTTGGGGACGGCGGTGGCTTGGTAAAGCTGCCTCATGAGACGAAGTGGGATGCCTTTAGACATGGTGGAAAGTCGTCGAAGCTGTAGAACATAAGCTAATCCCTTGGCCAGCGCGTTGTCAACCTGAGCTTTCCATCTTAACTCCTGATCGAGAATGACACCTAAGAAACGATGAGTGGGAGAAGGACGAATAACGGCGCCTCGGAGATGCAACACAGGGCGCTCTCTTTGTCTGTTCATGGAGAAATCAATCAGTGCGAATTTGTTAGTCTCGAATTTTGAGTTGTGGTCTCATGACCAGTCGAAGGCCCCATTCCGTCGTTCGAGCATGTCCTTGAGGACGCAGTGAGTCTCGTGGAAATCCTTACCTATGGCCACTAGGGCCGTGTCGTCTACAAAAGCAAGGGTTAGTTCGGTAAGGGACGCGCGTCCATGTCGGGGTTTCGCAATGTCTACAAGATCAGCACTATATATAATATATAAAATCATTGAAAGGGGATCACCCTGTCCTATACCATTATTGATGTCGATCCAGTCTGAAGTGTACCTGTCAAAGTGTAGCTGCGTCTTGCGGTCCGTGAGGACCTGCTCCGTGAAGTCGACCAATGCTGAGGGCAAGCGTCGATTCCGCATGTTGTGTAACAGCCGTTTGGTGACCGCGTTCGGGAAGGCCCCCTCGATGTCTAAGAATAGCACCGAGGCAACTTTATGAGAACACCACGCATTTTTGATGGTGTGTTCCAGAAGGTGAAGAGAGTCGGTAGTGGATCTTCCTGGTCGGCCACCGAAATGGGTGTTCGGCAGAAGGTGATGGTGTTCTAATAAGTACGTCAGCTGTTCGGCAACCACGGTGGTAAGGAGCTTGCATGTGGTGTTAAGGAGGGCGATGGGACGATAGGCTTTAGGGACCGTGTAATTCGGTTTGCCGGGTTTCCGAAGTACAACCGTTGTGAATGTCTTCCAAGGGGCATAATATGTGTTGTAAGTGAAGACGGCATTAAAAAGATGAACTAGGTATGGAGTCAGTATGTCAGAACAGTTCTTGAATACAATATTGCGGATGCCATCAGGCCCCGGGGCCTTATACCCGCTGAGTTTCGAGATGGCGCGAGTTATCTGGTCGTGTGAGATGGGAGAGTGGGGGGCTACGGGGTCAGGGTAAATGAAGTCAGTAGGGATTGAATCAGTAAGAGGAGGAGGAGGGAAGAAGGCTTCGGCGATGACAGCACTCTTTTCGGCGTTAGTGGTAGCTTCGAAATTGGTGCCGTCTGGTCTCTTGGCGATAAGGGAGGGTATGCGCGATTTCCCCCCATCGCTCGGGGTAGCGGAAACGTAGCGGTTAGCGGTCCAAAGATCGTTACCCTCGATATCCTCTAACCACTCCTCCCAGTGCTGTTTCTTGGTGGCGGCAATTTCATCAGCGTAACGGTTTTTGAGGGCCTTGTATTCCCGGTGGCATGGATGGTCTTGAAGGCCACGCATCTGGTGGGACTTGCGACTGAGTTTCGCGACTTGCTTGCGCAAGTCGGAGAGGGTACGGGTCCACCACCGCTTGGAGTGTGGGCAGGGTTTGGCCAATGGGACGCAGGCTTCAGCGGTGGACGTGATGGCTCGTGTGACGATTCTGGCCATTTGCTGGAATTCCGCCTCCGAGGCGAGCGGTAGTGGAGGGGTGGATGCGAGCGTGGCGCTGAGGGCTTCTCTAAATGCTTCCCAATCGACCTCGCGCCAATTGGGACGAGGGACGTCATCCTGACGAGCGACTGCAAGTTCGAGTGTTAATAAAATAGGGAGGTGATCCGTTTTAGGGCCCCGTTTTGCTGGCTCGATATTGCAGGTGATGACGGCATCGAGAGTGCCTTCAGTGCCGAGGACGTTGTCAGGGCGAGTCCAATTGCCAGTGGCATTGGCTTGGAGGGTGGGGATGCCGCACAGAAGTAACTGTAGCATACCATAATCAGCGATCAGGTCAATAAGGGGTTGAGAGAAACGATAATTAAATAGATGGCGATTACGAATATCTTCCCACATGGGGTGGTGGCGATTGAAATCGCCAAGCCAGAGCATTTGGTCGTCCGCCTTTGGTCGGAGTAGGGCAATATTCTGGCCAAGAAAGGCCTCCAGGGCGATTAGGGTGTTTTGGTGGGTACAGTCGTTGTAGATGTTCAAAATGGTGCATACACTGAATTCCCCGGTCATTTGCACAATTACCACATCAGATGATGGGAACGGGATCTGCCGCCATGTGTTCGTGTCGAGCGATGTGTTGACAAAGGTGATTGCATGTGATTTTTCCTGCGGGTGTGTGAGATGGTTAGTGGGGTATAGTACATGCCAGCGGTGGCTGGCGCGGGTGTTGCGAAGATAATTGATATATGGTTCCTGAATAATTAAAAGGTCGTAGTTAGTGATATCCCGGCTGTTCATTAGTGATTCCTGAGCCGCTAGTGACGCGTTCAGGTTCTGCTGCCATATATTAAGACAATTCGGGGTGGGGATAGGTTGTTCAGACATCAAGGAGGGGAGAGTTGGGGCTGGCGGTAGGAGTCGCATAGGTAGACGTCGAAGAGGGAGAGGGGGATGTCAACGATGCCGATGATGGGGTGGATGGTGATGTGGAGGCGATGGCGGAAGGAGGCGAAGACGTTGAGGGGGTTGATGGTGTCTGAGTGGTGATGGGAGTTGGAGTAACCGGAGAGGTCGAGATAATTGAGGAGGACGAGGCGGGCTCAGGCGTTTGTGGAGGGTTGACGCATTTGAAGGGGAGAGTGGTTTGCAGGTTGGGCAAGGGCTGGATTGTATCATCTGCGGGTGGTGGGGAGCTGGATTTCGCATTGCGGGGGGATACAGAGCGAGAGGGTGGTGTGTTTGATGGCCTAGGAGGGGTAGTGGACGGGAGCCAGGAGGAGCTGGTAGGGAAGAAGGGGAGTTTGTTCTCTGGATATTGTTCATCCAGAGTTTTGCAGCGACGGATGAACTCCGGACATTTGCGACTCCAACTGGTGTGACTTTGGCTCTTGCAACTCACGCAGCATTCAGTTCGGAACGCGTTGCATTGTGCGGTCCTATGACGGCCGCTGCAGGTGCCGCAGATATCGTGGGGGGAGGAGCAGTTGCGAGCCATGTGTCCGAACTTTTGGCATTTGGCGCAACGGAGGGGTTCCTTATGGTCCTTGTTGACGGCATAACGATGGGCATCAATACAGATGCCCTCCTTGAGGATGTTGTTAGCAGTTTCGACATCCTTGACCTGAAGGAGTGCGAAGGCAGTGCGTTGCTCTCTTGTGCGACGCTGGGGAGGCTTAATCCATCGGATGGATGCTATCGAGTTGGGAGGGAGATGGTTCTCAGCTTCAATGTGACGAGGGAAGTCGTCACGTTCGATCTCGTAAGTGATCAGCAGAAATTGTATCACGATGGAGAAGGTCCTGTCCCGAATGCATGCTGTCGAGTCTAAGTGGGATTCGAGCAGTATACGGCCTGTAGGGCCCTTAAGCCAGCCCGCCAAGTTCTCATTGTCGAGTTCCACTATCAGGCCTCCATTGCGGAGACGCTGAACTGCACGGACTGTTCCTGTGGGAGTTCCCTCGCTGCGAATGTCAAGGAGGATGTCGGAAAGTCGTTTGGCGATAAAGGCATTGGTGGTGTCTGCGGGGAAGAGGGAGTGTCCTGATGTTGGGTCGAGCAGGATTTGTTTGGCGCGAATGGACGCTCTAGCTACCGCTTGGTCGATGGAGGGGGGAATATTGGCAGCCACTACTGAACTGTAGGTGGGGAGGGCTGGGATGGGTGCTGTTGGCTGCGTGATAGTGGGAAGGGGCTGGGATAGTTGAGTCGCGAGGTTGTTGAGACGGTCCTGGGTGAATTCGAGGGATGGTGTGAGAAGTTTGTAGGAGTTGTTACAGTCCTCAATGGACTCATAGAGAGTGTCCACTGCGTCCTCGATGCGTTCAGCTGCTGTTTTGAGATCATTCCTTTCTTCCTCTTTCTCCCGTTCCATGGTGTCGTGAAGTTGCTTCGAGTGGTCAAATGTTGTCTTTAGGGCCTCTGCGGTGGTGTGTATGGACGCTACTTGGGGGGCAATTGCTGCTATGACGTTATTGACGATGTTGGCCGAAAGAGAATCCGCGAGTTGTTCGGCTGCGATTTTTGCGACCACTTCTGCAATTTCTGAGGCAGCATGCTGTTTGAGAATGAAAGCCACAGCCCGGATGGCATTGGTGACGGCGAGCAGGATAGGTTTGGCCATTTGGGTGACTTGAAAAAGGACTCCCGCCAGATGAAGTGGGGAGAGGGGTTCGTCAGCCTGGCGAAGGAGGACACTAGTTAGATACTTCTCTGCCGATTCCAGACCTGTCACAGCTCCTGGTAATGCCTCGATATCCTCTTGCGACATCTGATTCCTTGGGGTAGTGGTGTTGCGAATGGTTGTATTAGTTAAGGTAGCCGGTTGGCCCTTTTTCTCTGGCGCTTTACTGGGCGCCATATGCTAAAAAGTTAGTATCCAGAAGTTGTTTTTTGGGTTTTTTGAGGGGTTTTGAGGAGAAATAGGTTCGATTGGTGACGCCGTTGGGCGACGTAGGCACCGTTGGGCACGATGTCCTGGTGTGGTGTCTGGGGTCCTGATTCGGGGTGCCACTTAGTGTGGGACTAAGAGGCGTTTTGCGGGGCTGGTTAGTTGGTTATAATCCAGGTCTCGAGGCAGGGATGTTGCCTGTAGTAAGTCGTTCGTTCTTATTAAATCTTGACCGCATCGCATACACCCTGGTTACATCACAGGAGTTGATTAATCAAATTTGCTTAGGGCCAATCCGATAATTCTTAAATGTCACCTACGTAATTCCATTCCCCCGATTCACTGACCATTATCGATATTGGACACATTACTCGTGAGGCTGGAACTTTCTCGGTCTGCATTTCCCGTCTGTAGTAACGTCATACTTGCGTTCCTGTCCATACCACAGAAAAAATAAACTGCATCAATGAAACGTCAGCCTCGTGGTAAAGAGTCACAATGGACGCGACTTACCTGCACATTAAATCCAGACATAGTGTAACGATGGCGGGTTAGATTTGGAAATTGGAATTTGGAAGATCGAAAGTACACAAGTGGCGATAGATAAGACTTTAATCCAACGGAATTTTCCCTGGCAATATCTGGCACGAATGTGGAGCAAGTAAGACTGCGGTCCATCTAGAAGGGTCATATTACATCGGAATGATGAGCACAGCAAGTTTCGAAATACAGCAGTGATAACACATCGCACAGCTTGTATCAGACGTCCAGAAGGATTTACGTCATCAGAGTTTTGAATTTCTGGAAGAAATGCACAGCACTTGAGCTATGAATCTTTGAGATACGAGGATAGCATACACACCACAACTTAAAAGAGTGGATACCCATATTCCGACTCTAAACCAAACGTCCACTTTCTCAGTTTACAAGTGACCGTAGTGTCATCTGTTTTGAGTTGGTCTGAACAAGTGTTTCTCGTGAGTGATGGTCTATCCTGTCAAGCGAACCACCCGCTCACCGGCGATCTAGATATACTTTGAGAACTCTAGCACTGTCAAGTACGGGACTTCATACATACTCCGAAGCCGTTTCGCGCGTTAGAACTGAACTAATCCTGTAAGCAGCCATTCTTATCAAATTTGATTTACAAATGATAGAGTCGTCAACTCACTGGCCATATGTGCCATTATCAGGCACTGTTGCTCGTACATACTGTCCACTATCTGCCGTAGTGAAGGCTCCAAGCGCCAACCATGTCATCCTCGACTAGTAAAACGCCAGGGATTACACCACGCCGGGCGATGCAAGGCCATACAAGTCAGATACTTGATATTGCGCACCTGCCTGGTGGACGACGCATCATCATATGTTCAGCAGATGGTTCACTCCGATTGTGGGACCTGGAGAGTGACGCACAAATTGGCGATGCCTGGCAAGATGAGGGGCACAAGGCAGACATAAAAAATATAGCGTTGTCTCCAAGTGGTGAGACCGTTGCCAGCGGAAGCAATGTTGGGACGGTGAGATTATGGGACATAAAGACGGGGAAGGTAGTTGCAAGATGGGTAGGACACACTGAGAATGTGGGATCAGTGTGCTGGAATGGTGATGGTGCGCGAGTGGTGAGCGGGTCCTGGGATGGAACTGCGAGAGTGTGGGATGTCAAACCTGGGAAAACTGTCCTAGAAATCAAGAACGGTCACCAGTACGTGTGGGCGGTGGCATACTCGCCTGATAACACAAAATTTGCGACAGGCGGAGAAAACGAGAACGCTGTCAAAATTTGGGATGCCAGGACGGGTGAGCTGATGAGTACACTCCACCAGGATCAATCAGTTCGAAGCTTGGCTTGGAATGGAAAGAAGCTTTTCTCCGCCTCGTTGGGCCCGATTGGGATATTTGACACAGTCACTTGGGAGCAAATCGCCGTTCTCAAGGGTCACGTTTTCAACTTATCCTTGGCTCGGACCCACCACCTTCTTGCAAGTACATCAATATGGGATGAGGCCGTATGTTTGTGGAACCTCAAAACCAATCTCCCAGTGTGTCCACCCTTCCAACACGACAAGGATGTGAGCTGTCTTGCCTTTTCCGCTGATGGAAAATTGCTAGTCACCGCTTGTGAGGACAACAATGTGTACCTATGGGATATCTATGCCATCCTTAAAGAACTTGACCTTGAAGACCTGTTGTCAACTCCTGATGTGAGTTTGATTCGTGGGTAAAGGCCATGATCACTAACTAAATGTCCCACTTGCCAGGTTATACCTGGAAAGTCGTTAACAAACGTACGTGACATGTTTCTTATTCGTTTCCGTCATAAGTTTATATAAGATCGTCATCTCAGAGCGACTCGGATGTTACGCGTCCAGCTCAGTCAAAGAATGCCGGCCGAGTACCGCTAGGGTTTTTCGATGGCATGCAAGGCAACATTCATGTGTGTCATCAACATTTTTTTTTACTTTGTGTTCTGATCACTTGCTCTTAGTCCTCCGCATCGCGCAGTGTCCATCACCCTTCTCCTTCTCGCAGCCCCCAACATGCTCTCATATCATCTGTGAGGATTTCGCGCGCATTCTTCGACTATCTTCCATTGCTCTTTCGTCATTCTCGCCCACCCACCAACGAGGCAACCACACTCCAGCAAGATTCAAGGCAAACCATCTTTTCTCGTCGCAGTACTCCCACCGTCGAAGTTGCTGCAGTACGAGACAAACAAGTATGCATTTCTTCTGGTGCATTTGTAATTTCTAATCGCTGTGGTTGGATCATCTTTGTGCAGGCACTGTATGTTGCTCCGCGTCCAGCACATGAAAAGGTGAAATACATGCTGCAGCAACAAATGCAAGCTCAAGCTCAAGGCCAAGCAGAGGCGCTGCTATCGCAAACTCAACCTACCGAGGTATCAACGCCTCCTGCTACTAATCCTACGACACCATGTGCAGCAGGTGCGGGGCCAGCACCCATACCATTGTGGGCTCGTCTCGTGCTTTTTCTCTGTTGTGCATCACCTCCACATGCTGATGGTCATTAGCATATTAACGACTATTTCGCCTCTTCTTTTCGCTCTTATGTATACTTCTCATTCTCCACGTCTCTCGCTCGTGTTTTCTCGTCACGACTAACCTACGACTTCAGTAGACTGTACCGAGTAGCAGAGCCACTGGATGGATCCCGACAACATGTTTAGTCATTACAGTATTCAACGAACAGGCTGGCAGGAGCGTTCTGGCCCAGTTCAAAATATCACCACCTTCATATTGACTGGGTCGTAGTTCTGACTTGCATCTGCATCTTCCTAAACCCTCTATAGTCAATATTACTCGTATTTATGTACCCTCCGGTCTAAAATTTCAGAGTAAAATGAAGCAATGACTCTGGAAGTGTCTAAGTGTGGTTCGTAACTAGCTGGTAAACGGTGTCCACTTCCCGAGTCTGTTATTCCTATTTCGAGCGAAGGAATCAGAGTAGTGTATTCTGCTCGCTGCTTATCTGTCATATTCGAGTGCACCTTGATGCCGAACGTCAGACGTTCCAGGGCACATCCTGACCGTTTCAATAACGCTTTCAACGCCCGATGAATGTCTTTTATACCGTCATGGCAATCAAGGCGAACTTCAAGGAAGCGCAGGTTCGGAAGTGATAGGGCACGGAAGAAGCTACACAAGGACCTGTCATAGTATCCGATATAATCAATTCGTAAGGATTGAATGCTGGTGTGTGTGATTGGCTCCAAGATTGGTCTTTCATTCTGGAATGCGCTGCGTATTGCCAACGAGGAGAGGTTGGGACATAGCTGGAGCATCTCGATGATTTTAGCCGGATGAAACACTTCACCCACCGCAAGATCTGTTAGGTGGGCCCACATGAGGCCTAAATTATTGCGTTGGTACGACGGTAGTATAGCAGTGAACCTGCGCATTGTCGACGGAAATTGCAATACAGAGTCTAGCATGACATGATCATTGAAGTATATGGTCAGCTCCTCGAGTGCTGGGAGGTCTGTTAACAAAAGTTGCGGTTTATCGGCCCGGAAGAAGAAAAAGATGTATAGAGACGAGATTTGATGCATATAAGGATGAAGGAGGCGCCGTAGTGTAGTTGAATGATGGTCCTTGTAACACTGGACTGCCAATGAGAGTGGGAGTCCCCGCGACCACTTGAGCTGCAGGTCATAGCAGGAAGACACGCGCTGCCAACTTATATCAGTGACCTCTATGTGCAACCTGCACCACAGACTGGGCGTGCTTGTAGCAACCTCCTTCCATCGTCGGCATATTCCTGTGAACAGCATTGGAGCTTCTAGGCCTAGCCAACACGCTGAGCGTTCAATTTTTTGCTCGGCTTCCGGGAGACAGTGGTGGAAAATTTCAGAAAGTAGTTCAGCTGGAAGGCGCCAGAGAGGCGATAAGAGCCCCTTGTGAAAATGCATCGACTGAGTGATCTTGTCTTTCCTTTCAACGAGTTGCTGATGAAGATGTTTGACTCCATCCATGACTGTTTCCAGGCCTAAGATTTCATGCAATACTGCGTCCAACTGCTGCTGGCGCTCTGCAATTATATCGAGAACGTTCTGACCCTCGAGAATGGTGGTAGAGTGGTCGGTGTTAGGAAACATGTGGAATGGAGTTTCAAGGTTCGGAATCTGGTCAGCTTTGTTGATACAACATTTTTGACGATGGAATAGTAGACATACGATTATTTGTGAATGTGCGAGCTGAAGTGAGTGATTATGACTTATTATCAGACATGATTAATTGTAACAATGGGCACCTTTATGATGTTTCGCATTGCACTGATGATATCTGGTAACGGGGAAACGTCGAGTTTCGCATTAGCTGTCTGCATGTTGCTAATAACAGGTTGAGCAAGACGTCGATGTTGATGATTGATGCAGATGACCTGTGCCGTCAGTTTGTGTAAAAAGTGAAAACGTGACACAACTGCGGCCACCTCCTCTGGAAAATCAACACGCGCAGCCCGATTTTCTTTCATCAGCTTCAAGCCCTTAGCTCAAAGTAAAAGTCATCTCAGACGATGACTTGGCCGTCGACCGCGTATCATATGATCTTATCTTCTTCCTTCCCTCCAAACTGACCTCCGACAATCAGACTCGCTTCAAGAAAAGACCGCCCGCGCAACTCTCTTCACCGCTATCACAAGGCACATTTACAAAGACACAATCCTCATCGTAGACGGGATGAACGACATCAAGGGGTTCAGATACCAGTTGTATTGCAAGGCCCGAGAGGCTGGTGTAAGGGTCGCTACGGTGTGTAATATATCACGATATCCTCACTCACACAACTGATGCAATTGAGAAAAGTAGGTCTATGTCCTCGCCACGCCTGATCAATGTCGGAAATGGAACGACGAACGAGTAGATGGGAAGAGATATAATCCCAAAACGTCTGTCTTCCCCTCTCCATTTTTTCACCCATTCCTAACCTTGAAACGACCTCGACGCCCTCATCCAGCGCTTCGAAGAGCCCTCGTCTATGGTCCGCTGGGACGCTCCACTCTTTACCATCCTCTGGGATGACCCAACACCTCCACTCGAACGCATATCAGATGCAGTCACAACTGGCATCGTCAAATCTCCCAACGTCGGCACCCAGATCACACCAAAAACACCCACAGACGCCCTCCGCACGCTTTAGCATACGACAAACGCGCTAGTTTCTGTGCTTATGGCTGCTCAGGCTGCTGGTCCGATCGGGGGACCTATCGTCATCACCATCGCCACGCTCGAACCTAGTTCGAACACCAGTGCCATTGATAGTTCTGTGCTCCGTGTCCGCTTAGCACTCTCACATCGTGCACTGACGCTATCAGAACTGCAACCGCTCAAACGCCAATTCGTGGCTGCGCGCCGGAAAGCTGTAACATTGGGAAGCACGGAAAAGGGGAGGGTGGAATGGGGAGAGGAAGGCGTGGGACGTGCGTTTGCTGAGTTTTTGGAGGAGGGGTTGGGTGTTACGAGGTGACTTGCACGTTAAGTATTCAAAACAAGAGCCTTGGATTCAGACTCTTGGGAGTAATATAACGCAGGGCTTGTGTGCGCATATCGAAGATCAAATGATTAACTCAGGTGAACACAATCTCTCACAGAGTCTCACTTTTTCGTACAGTTTTCATAGATGGGTCGCAGTATTCAATCATTCGAATGTTTTAGAACGACTTGCAAGTCTTCTCCTTGGTGCTGCGTAGGCCTTGCCTTGATGTCGTGCTCAGATTCAACAAGTCCAACAATGCCATCAGACCATCCAAAGGAACGCCCTTCACGACTCAGTGATGTATGATGTTCATCATGAGTAAGATGACTCTGTTTGACCAAGCTGCCGCCCGCGTGCTGATTTCCTACTATCTATCAAGTTGTGTCTTGGTTCAGCATAACTTTGGCCATGGTTCCTCCGATGCGTTGCAGATACCTGGCCAGCCATCCATGCGCTTATCGTTGGTTTCGATCACAAACTCATAAGTACATCAACTTGAACGACCGCATCACCAACTAATTATATATCATGTCACCAATCTGTACGTCGTCATCCAGTATCTCAGCCCTCTGGATCCTCATTGACCTACAAGAAAGTAAAGGACGATCGCGAATTCATACAACATTGATAAGCGTATCTGCGATACAGTTTGGAGGATTCTAACACTTTGTACCTCGAGCATCGCCTCGGACGTACACAGCTATGGAAGCTCTGCATGTTGCGTACTCCCACAACGAAGAAAATGATATTGCTCACGTTGTGTTCTTTTTAAAATGTTACGATTCTTACATCTTGATGGTATATTACCGCGGGAACCAGGACACCAACTTTACTTCACCCTCGACTTGCAGAAGGAAAGAATATGGAAATTGCTTACCAGCGACAAACCACTTCTCCCAGCAACGTGAGTCCAGAACCCCAATACATGCTATATTATTGACATTATATTACACCACTCCTTCATGCCCTCTCTGGCTCTCACACATATCATGCTAAGCGAGCATATCAACACTCAGACTCTAACAGCGGGAAATGACAGGCTCACTCAGGCTCACTGACAGTTGCCGATGACCCCCCCGCCAAGCAATACACAGCAATTTTTACACGTACATGCTTCATAGGCAGTAATCTTGCCAGAAGGTCCGCAACTGTACCCAAAATCCTTGTCATTGTTCCAGATTTTGATGCCTGTTGAGCATCCCACTGAATCTTCGGATACTGGCCGTAAGCACGGAGTCCAAGGTCTGCACGTAGACCGCAAAAGTACTTACTAGGTGTGTCGCAGGGCAGGCCCAAGGGTGTTATCACCAGATTGTCGGAGGCGACAGCTACACTAGCCATCGCTGCGACTGATACGAGCATGGTGGTAAGTGAGGTGAATATCATCGCTAAAACTTGATGGTGTTCTCTGAGTCAAAACCTACATTGCCTTTTATACAGTAGCGTGGGGACGGCCTATCTGCATGCACATGCATTACTGGATAAACAGATATGCCAGCACTGCTTCGTGACATCATTTCCTTAATAACGAAGGCTCAAAACCATGTGTTGGACGCAGTTAGCGTGTTCGATCTACGATTATGATAATCTATTCAGCAAATTTTCATATCTGCGTGCCCACAGATGAAATACTCAATGCGCGTCAGGCTGACGGGCTACATACAGAGGAGCTATCTCCAGAGAAATAGGTGTGGAAAATTAAACCATGGGGGTGTTAAATAGAACAAAGTCATACGAATGCTCCTCCTGCGACAGACTCATCCTATAAGTTAAGCGCACAATGAACGCTACCAACCCCCCAACCCCGCCAGTCATTTTGTATGGTCCAACCCTCGCTCCATGAATGACACCGAGTAACCCACAGGATAAGACATCATGCCGTAGAATTTATAGATGGTTCGTCGAACATTGAAATATTCATGAGGGCGCTAGAGTCGTGTGCACGTAGGTTCGCATGCCAGAGATGGAGGTGCATATGTGTGGAGAGCACTGCGAGCATTATGAACTGAAAACTATACATGGGTGTACGTTTCCATTATTGTTAGTGGGAATACACAACATGATATGGATATGCGTACTCATACAACATGGCGTGGTAGGAGGACTGGGATGTGCAACATCAACGGCTAGATCATGAAAGGCATTTAGGAGATCCACACACCTGGAGGAGCAACGATGTGAAGACGTTCGTTACTGAGAACACTTTAGGAAAGAGAGCGATCAATAATAATAAAATGGCGCGCATTATTACGAGTGTTAACTCACGAAGACCGCATGCGTAGTAGGATACGTTGTGGTTCACCAGGATAGCGTACAGGTGGCTTTGATTTTCCTGCCAGTTCTGTATGGCGCTTATGAGCGTAAGTATCATGAGTCCTATGGAGAACATCTGTCAGGGCGTGTTTGCACACATACATATATGCTCCTGGTTACCCACCCAGTTCGAACACAGAAAGGAGAAGAAATGGTATGAATAACCAGAAACTGGTCGAACTCTCGTAGCACCCTGTGATTCCTGGGATCGCGCTAGTTGCATCTGTGAAAGTGAATAGAACATTTCAGTGGCCATGGAGTGTCAGAGGGAAAGTGAGACGCGCACATGATGCTGGAGCGGTGGTGGCGAAGGCAATGCCGCTGGAGGCCCCCATAAATATCTGGTTGATGCATCTACCATTAACTCGGGTATAGTGAACGGATTGGAAACTCACGATAAAAGTAAATAGCATGACTGCAAGCAAGATTCTATTTTGGTTCCAGAGCACATACGTTCTGAGGATGAAAAAACCTGAATAAATCACATCAGAAACACACATAGTATGGGGGAACGATAGATACATTCGGAGAAAATGACTACCACGATGCTAAGGCCTGTGAGAAGAAAGTAGCAGCCTTCGGCAAGGACATACATAGATGAATGTACCATGCACATACCTGATTTAATATTTGCCAACACCCGGCATTTCTGGCGAAGTCCTGTGGTGAGCCGTTCGTTCTCATTAAACCTTGACCGCATCACATACACCTGGGGTCTCATTCGGGGCAAAGCTCACTGAAAAACAAGTGTCAATTCATTATCGAGGCGATGTGTGCTGAAGCGGAACGCACGACATAGATCCATGGCGAGAAGGATAAAGGGGAGATATCGTGTGACAATATACAGGCCTTTCATCTTGGCCCAGTGTGATCTAAACAAAAATGTCCACTTTGCACAACATATTGTGGGTATTAAGAACGAGGTGCATCATGGAAGAATTGTATTACCTCTTCATCAAGTGAACATACATAATCATAAATCTGGATAAGCAAGTTCGACAGCGGACTTGAATACATCAGAATAAGCATACCCATAAAGTAGTCATCGATACTGGATTATTGTTAGGACAAATAACTCGAGGTTCAAACAGTACGCACTGTATATGTACTGACAATAGATCGTTTGTGAATTATGGTTCACTTTCATATCAACAAAGAGACATACCTTAGTGAACTGCGAGTTCGTCGCTGCTGCGATATTACCAGTCGAATATTCCATCTGGAGGTTCAAAAATGTGTTTCACACACACCATGAGCCTTCTTAGCTCTTATGAATGATCTGCGAATCGCATCAAGGTGGCGGTGGTATTTTTTGTTTTGATTCCGAAGTAGGGGTCATCAATATGAAACCATTCCAGTTTCAGCTTAGCTTGTTATGGTCGTCACGAGGCATTTCGCCACTAGCTAACCTGGACAGGAAGCGATTTTATAAAAGATAAACTTGAACGTTCAACAGTTCATGAGACAATATTGTTGGGTCTTTCGTCAAACTACATGATAAACGCAAAACGCACCTAATGACTATATACGACTTACGTATGTTACAATTGGGTACCGTTTGGCCAACTGAAACACGAAAATTGATTTGGAAACTCGCCGGGTGTATTGGACCCACTGATTACTATGATGAAGCTTCTGAGACCTGAAACGCCAAGATAGCTTACACAGACCTAAAGGAACTTCCAAGGCTCTAATTTGATAGATCAGCTGCCCTCGATTCGGAGCTAGTACTTGCTAGTAATAGATGGTCGTCGTTTTTCAGGGTCCTTTTTGAGGTGATATCCACAACCTGTTAGTACTATCTTGTATTTGGATGAACGAATATACCGTGAGGCGACTAAAAGGGTCCTTACCTTGGTCCAAAGCAACGGAAGCAGGAATTCTTCGCACTTTGAACAGCATGAATCAACAAACGTGTCGTTTACGATTTTCAAGTAAACAAATATAAACAGTGAATAGACAAATCAAAGAGACCTGCCGTGATCAAATCAAATTCCTCGTAGTATATAAACATCATGTGTAGCAGGAGGAGACCTAGATCATCCTCGATTCTGGCTCTAGCATGATTCTGAATCGGCCGCCGCCGACGGGTGGAAACTACAGATCAAAGCCACAAGTACTCCCACTCATCTATAAGTCAAGCACGTGACGAACTCTACCAAGCCCACATCGCCTCATGAAGGACACCTGATAAGCCACAAGATGAAACATCACGCCGTGACATTTTCAAATGATATGTCGGACATTGGGATATGCATGGAGGAGCTAGAGCCTTGGTTCACCTGCCAGAGATGGAGGTGCATGCACGTGGCGAGGATTGCAAGGATCATGAACTGAAAACTGGAGGTGGGTGTATGTTCCAGGCATTATCAGTAGGAATACGCAGCAGATTGTGGAGATGCATACTCATACAATATGACGTGGTAGGAGGACTGGCGTGCGGAACATCAATGGCTCGATTATAAAAGACACTGTGGAGCTGCACGCACATAGAGGAGCAGCAATATGAAGACATTCGTTACCGAAAACACTTCAGCAAAGAGAATAGTCATGGATGAAGTCGAAAAAATGGCGCGTACGAATGTTGACTCACGAAGACCGCAAGCATAATAGGATATGTTATGCTTCACCAGGACATCGTACGGACAGTTTGAGTTTCTCCGCCAGTCCTGCATGGCACGTATAAGCGTGAGCGCCATGAGTCCTGTGGAGGACACCTGTCAGCACGTGTTGATACATGTGTGCTGATTACCCACCCAGTTGCAACACGGAAAGGAGAAGAAATGGTATGAATAACCAGTAAGTGGTCGAAGTCTGGTAGCACCCTGTGATGCCCGGGATCACGCTAGTTGCATCTGTTAAATCGAATGGAATTTTTGAGTGGTCGTGGAATGCTAGAGAGAAGGTGAGTGCGCATACATGATGCGGTATCAGTGGTGGCAATGGCAATACCGCTAGAAGCGCCGAGAAGAGACTGGTTCATGTATCAATTACTAACCTGGGTATGGTGAGTGGGTTGAGAACTCACGAGAAAGATAGACAGCATGGCTGCGAGCAAGATTATATGATTGTCCCAGAGCACATATGTTCTAAGAATGAAAAACCCTGGATGAATCACATCAGAACCACAAGTATGGTATGGGGAAACGAGAATACATTCGGAGAAAAGGATTAATACTAGGTCAAGACCTGTGAGGGGAAATTAGTAGCTTTTGGCATGAATGTACGTAGACGAATGTACAATGCACGTACCCAGTTCAACATGGTCCAGTGCTCGGCATTTCTGGCGAAGTCATGCAATAAGTCGTTCGATCTTATTAACTCTCCACTGTATCACATACATCTGCGTTGTCATTCGGGGTAAATCCCCCTAAAAAAACAAATGTTAATTCATCATTAGGGCGATGTGTACTGGAGCGGAACGCACTCACTATATAGATCCATGGCGAGAGTGATAAAGGGGAAGTATCGTGTAACAATGTACAGACCTTTCATCTTGGTCCAGCGCGATTGAAGCAGAAATCTCCACTTGACACAACATATTGTAGGTATTGAAACCGAAGTGTATCATGGAACAAGTGTATTACCTCCTCATGAACACAGCATGCATAATCATAGATCTGGATAAGCGGGTTGGACAGCGGACGTGGATGCATCAGAATAACCTACCAAGAACGTAGCCACTGACACTGAACTATGTTAGGACAAAGAACATAGGGTATAGACAGTACGCACTGTGTATATACTGAAGGTACACGAATTGTCAATCATGATTCGCCCTCGTATCGACAAGGAGACACACCTTAGTTGACTGCAAGCTCATCGCTGCTGCAATATCAGCAGTCGAATACTCCATCTAGATATCCAAAAATGTGTTTCGTACACAGTATTCACCTTTTGAGTTTTATGAATGAGCGCACATGGCAGTGCTGGGGATCTAGAGATTTAAACATAGGTTGCTGCGGTCGTGATGGAGCATTTTACCATCATGATTCACCGGATGTACAGGCCTGGCAACGACTTGATAAATATACAGTTGCACTTGGAGTTCGATGTTATGACTAGTAACAGTAAATAACTTTACGGCCGGTGAACAATGTCGAAACTCGGCAAGTGCCGCCTGCGGTGACTTGAGTTGGCTGGGTACCAAATTGTCTTTTTCATCTTTTGACTAGTACACCTCGTGCGCTTACTCTAAGCGCGTTTACAGAAAGGCGACAAATGTATATCTGCATGCCTTGTAATAAAGTATGACTATTTTACTGCCTCAAGCACTGTTGGAGCAGTGCCACTGCCGGTGTATCTTTTATCCAGTGCTCCCCGGTCGTTGGTCACTAATGGTACATCCAGTGTACGGAAAAACATTCCATCTGAGGCCTGTGGCAGCAAGCTAACTTAATTCGAAGTATCCACCGCCACCTTGATGGGCATTTATAAGAGCTAAGAACGCGCATGATGTATGTGTGAAACACATATCTTGACCTCTAGATGGAGTATTCGACTGACGATATCGCAGCAGCGCGGAGCTTGCAGTTCACTACGGTATGTCTCTTTTGTTGGTACGAGGGCGAATCACGATTGACAAGGCATGTACCATCAGTACATACACGGTGCGCACTGTCTGGACTTCATATTATTTGTCCTAACATTAGTTCAGTGTCCATGGCTACATTCTGGGTAGGTTTATTCCTATCTACTCATGCCTGCTGTTGAACCCGCTTATCTAGACCTATGATTATGCATCTTCACTTCATGAAGAGGTAATATCACTTTTTCTATGATACACCTTGGTTTTGATATTCACAGTATGCCGTGTAAAGTATACATTTTTGCTTCGATCGCACTGGACCAGGATAAAAGGCCTGTTTATTGTCACGCGATACCTACCCTTTATCTTTCTCGCCGTGGATCTATATTGTGCGTTCCGTTCCAGCACAGATCGCCCCGATGATAAATCAACACTTGTTTTTCAGTGTACTTTACCCCGGATGAGAACCCAGGTGTATGTGATGCGGTGGAGAGTTATGAGAACGAACAACTTACTCCATGACTTCCCCAGAAATGCCGGGTGTTGGATAATGTTCGATCAGGTACGTGCATAGTACATTCATGTATGCACATCCTTGCTGAAGGCTACTACTTTCCTCTCACAGGTCTTGGCATAGTATTAATCACTCTCTCCGAATGTATCTCTCGTCCCCCTGGTATTATACGTGTTTTTGATCTGATTCCTCCAGATTTTTTTGCTCTCAGAACATATGTGCTCTGGAACAAAAATAGAACCGTGCGCGCAACCATTGCGTGCACCTCTATCGTGAGTTTTCAATCCACTCACTATACCCAAGCTTATGGTAGATGCATCAACCAGGCTATTATCGTAGCATCCTTCAGCTTTCTTTTCACCACTAGCGATTCTGCATCATGTACTCGCGCTCACATTCCGTCCAAGTTCCATGACCTCTAAAATATTCTGTTCGCTTTCGCAGATGTGACTAGTGCGATCCCGCGCATCACAGGGTGCTACCTAAGTGCAAGTCGTTACCAGCTCTCCATACCATATCTTCTTTTTTCCGTGTTCACACTGGGTGGGTAATCAGGAGCATATATATGCACAAACACGCCCTGACAGGTTCTCTCCCTAGAACTCATGATACTCACACTCATACGCGCCGTACAGGACTGGCGAAAAAACTCAGGTCGTCTGTACACTGTTCTGGTGAAGCATAACATATTCTATTATGCATGCGGTTTTCGTGAGTCGACACTCGTACGTGCTGTTGTTTTCCGTACTCACCCATGATCATTCTATTTCCCGAAGTGTTGTCGACAATGAACGTTTTCATGTCGTTGTTCCTCCAGGTGCGCTAATTTGTTAAATGCTTTTTTGTGATCGAGCCGTTGATGGTCTGCGCCCCAGTACTCCTATCAGACCATTTTGTATGAGTACGCACCTCCACATTCTGCTGGCGTATTCCTACTCACAAAATCTGAAACGTGCATCCACGTACAGTTTTCAGTACTTGATGCTTCCAATCCTTGCCACGCGCATGCACCTCCATTTCTGGAAGGTGGACCAACATGCACACGACTCCGGCACTGTCGTGAGCATTCCAATGTCCGATATGTCATTTGCAAATTTCACGGCGTGATGTCTCATCTTGTGGCTTATTTTTGGTGTCGTTTGTGGAGCAAACTTAAACCGTACAAGATCAGTGATGGGGTTGGGATTAGTGGAGGTTGTTACGTGCCTAACATGGGATGGGTCTGTTGCAGGGTGGGAGGAGCATTTGGATGGCCCTGGTCTATTCGACACCTGTAGTTTCTACTATTAAGCAGCAGTGGATTCACTGGGATCCAGAATTTGACCAACGTTGTAGCAAGCTCCACAAACGTTCTTGTTATGATATCTAAAACCACCTACTGCCGAGAAATGTCTTACTCAACTGGGACTCAGGCTAGGTTGAATATATCTCGCACGGATCTTTCCGACTCGGAGTCCATGGTATTCGTGTCCACGGTATTCGTTCAGAAGAGTACATTACCTGAATGGCGACACCTCCGGAAAGTGGTGTTAACTTTGTCACCGCTTTCTGTTGCACAAGCTTCACCGTGACCTGTATCTTCAAACCGGTATCTCAATAAATAGGCTTTACTGACGGCCGCACAGCAGGAAGCGCATCTGAAAGGTCCGATGGAGTCACTCGCCTAAGTCGCAGCTAACTTACTATCCTAGTAACTACTACTAAGTATAATTTACATCGCCACCTTGGTGGGTGTTCATAAGAGCTACGACTCGGAAGGTACACAATGTATGTGTGAAACACATACCTTGACCTCAGGATGGAGTATTCTACTGAGGATATCGCAGCAGCGATGAGCTTGCAGTTCACTACGGTCTGTCTCCTTTCAAGTTGATATCAGGATGAATCACAATTGACAAATCACGCACCATCAGTACATACATCGTGCGTACTGTTTGAATCTTATATTATTTGTCCTAATATTAGTTCAGTGTCCATGGCTGCATTCTGGGTAGGCTTATTCCTGTCTACCTATGTCCACTGTTGAACTCGCTTATCCAGACCTATGATTATGCATGTTCACTTCATGAAGAGGTAATACACTTGTTCCATCCATAATACACCTCGTTCTCAATACCCACAATATGTTGTTCAAAGTGGACCTTTTTGCTTCGATCACGTTGGACCATGATGAAAGGTCTGTACATTGCTACACGGTATCTCCCCTTTATCATTCTCGCCACATATCTATGTAGTGCGTTCCGCTCTAGCACACATCGCTCCAATGATGAATTAACATTTATTTTACAGGAGGATTTATGCCGTATGAGAACACAGGTGTATGTGATGCAGTGGAGAGTTATGAGAGCGAACAACTTACTGCATGACTTCTGCAGATATGCCGAGTATTGGAAAATATTCATTCAGGTACGTGCATGATACATTTATGTATGCACATCCTTGCTGAAGGCTACTATTTTCTTCCCACAGGTCTTGGCATGGTATTAATCAATTCCTCCGAATGTATATCTCATCCCACCGTATCATGTGTGTTCCTGATCTACTTCGTCCAGTTTTTTTTATCCTCGGAACATATGTGCTTTGGGAACAAAATAGAATCTTGCTTGCAGCTATGCTGTGCTCCTTTTTCGTGAGTTCCTAATCCACTCACTATACCCAAGCTAGTGATAGATACATTGGCCAGACGTTTCTCGTGGCATCATTCAGTATTGTCTTCGCCACTGGCATCTCTGCATCATGTACTTGCTCTCCCTTCCCTCTGGCGTTCCAAGAACACTGAAGTATCCTGTTCACCTTCATAGATGCGATTAGCGTGATCCCAGGAATCACCGGATGTTACCAGAGTTCGACAACTTTCCGGTACTTTATAGCATTTCTTCTCCTTTCTATGTTCGAAAAATAGGTAATCAGGAGCATATATATTCACACGCACGCGCTGACAGGTGTTCTCTCAAGGACTCATGGTACTCACGCTCATACGTGCCTTACAGGACTGGCGAATAAACTCAGGCCATCTGTATGTTGTCCTGGTGAAGCACAACATATCATATTATGCATTCAGTTTTCGTAAGTCAATACTTGTACGCGCTATTTTTTCCGTACTCATTCATGATCATTGTCTTTCCTGAAGTATTGTCAGCAACGAACATTTTCACATCGATGTTCTTCCTGGTGCGCTAATCCTTAGATGTCTTTACGATCAAGCTGTTGATGTTCTGCGTCCCAGTACTCCTACCAGATCATTTTGCATGAGTATGCGCCTCCACATCTTGCTGTGCATTCATATTAACAATACCCAAACGTGCATTCGTGTATAGTTTCCAGTTCGTGATGCTTCCAATCCTTGCCACCCGCATGCACCTCCATCTCTGGCAGGTGAACCAACATGCGCACGACTCTGGCACCCTCGTGAGCATCCCAATGTCCGATATGTCATTTGCAGATTTCACGGCATGATGTCTTATCACGTGGCTTATTTGGTGTCGGTTCAAGCTCAATTTCATCCTGTATTGGCCAACCGCACGGTGCTTATGAAACAGATATTGACGATGACGCAGCTCTGGCTTTGCCAAGTATATCTCGTATGGCTCTTTCCGACTCCAATGAACTGACGTCAGTAGATCATGAGCATATCACCTGAACGCGGAACCGAAATCTCTCCGGGAAGCGGTGTTAACTTTGTCACCGCTTTCCATTGCACAAGCTAGAGCTATAATGGTTTTACTACATGCTGGAGATCCGTACAATAGTAGGCCCTTCGGTGGTCGGACACCCAGTCAGTGGAAAGCCTCCAGGTGTAATCATGGCCACTCGACTGCTTCCCGAAGTTTTTGTGTTTATGTGCGCTTGCCCGGCCATATATTACTAAAACCGAACGGGCGGTGTCTCAATAAACAAGGAGCACATTGCGGACGGCCGCACAGCAGGAAGCGCCGATCTGAAAGGTCCGATGGAATTTTAGGGTTATCGTTGCGGCTACCGGGTCAGCATTGGAGCCGGTGTAATGTGTCATCCAACCTGAATGCAAACTTGAACGTTTGAACGATAACTCGAATGCCGAGTGGTCAAACTATTGCTTACTAATCAAGCGGTAGACGGGAGCGGCGTTGAATGTGAATGCCAAGGACTATTAATGAAACTGCCTCAAGCATCTTTGCAGTGTTACTGTACATGTATCTCCGGGGAGCGGCTGTTTGTACATCTTGGTCCAGTGAACGGTAAAACATTAATCCATCCGAGCCTGTCACGGCAAGCTAACTTACTATCCTAGCAACTAAGTATTGAATTTACATCGCCACCTTGGTGGGTGTTCATAAGAGCTACGAAGGTCCATGATGTATGTGTGAAACACATCTTGACCTCAAAATGGAGTATTCTGCTGAGGATATCACAGCAGCGATGAGCTTGCAGTTCTCTGCGGTCTGTCTTCTTTGTTGATATCAGGGTGGATCACAAATTGACAAGTCACGTACCATCAGTACATACACCGTGCGTACTGTCTGAACCTCGTATTCTTTGCCCTAATATTAGTTCAGTGTCCATAGCTACATTCTGGGTGGGCTTACTTATTCCTATCCATCATGTCTGCTATTGATTTCGCTTATCCAGACCTATGATTATGCATGTTCACTTCATGAAGAGGTAATTCACCTGTTCCATAATACACTTCGATTTTGATACCGACAATATGCTGTGCAAAGTGGACATATTTGCTTCGAGCGCACCGGAGCAAGATGAAAGGCCTGTTTATCGTCACACGATACCTACCCTTCATCTTTCTCGTCGCAGATCTATATAGTTCGTCCCGTTTCATCACACGTCTTCCCGATGATGAATTAACACTCGTTTTTCAGTGTACTTTATCCCGGATGAGAACCCAGGTGTATGTGATGCGGTGGAGAGTTATGAGAACGACAAACTTACTGCATTGTTTCCCCAGAAATGCCGGGTGTTGGAAAATATTCAAGCAGGTACGTGCATGGTACATTCATGCATGCAGATCCTTGCTGAAGGCTACTATTTTTTTCTTGCAGGTCTTGCCATAGTATTATTCACTTTTTCTGAGTGTATCTCTCGTCCCCCCTGTATTATGTGTGTTTCTGATCTAATTCATCCAGATTTTTTTATCCTTAGGACAATTGTGCTTTGGAATAACAATAGAATTTTGCGTGCAGCCACGGTGTGCGCCTCTATCGTGAGTTCCCAGTCCACTCACTATACCCAAGCTAATGGGAGATGCATCAGCCAGACTGTTCTCGTAGCATCCCTCTGCACTGTCTTCACCACTGACATCCCTTCAGCATGTACTCGGTCTCACATTGCCTCTGAGTTCCACGAGCTCTAAAATATTCTGTTCACTTTCGCAGATGAGACTAGCGCGATCCAGGGCATCTCAGGGTGCTACCAAAGTGCAAGTCGTTACCAACTCTCCATACCATATCTTCTCCTTTCCGTATTCGCACTGGGTAGGTCGATAGCATATAGGTGTACAAACACGCACTGACGCATGTTTTGCCCAGGGCTCATGATACTCACGCTCATACGCGCCCTGCAGGACTGGCGGATAAACTCAGGCCGGCTGTACGTTACCCTGGTAAAGCATAACATATCCTATTATGCATGTGCTTTTCGTGAGTCAACACTCGTACGCGCGATTTTTTACATACTTATCCATGATGATTCTCTTTCCCGAAGTGTTGTCGGCAACGAACGTTATCACATCGCTGTTCCTCCAGGTGCGCTAGTCTGTTAAATGCCTTTTACGATCGAACCGTTGATGTTCTGCGCCCCAGTACTCCTACCAGATCATCTTGTATGAGTATGCACCTCCATATCCTACTGGCGTCTTCTAACTAATAATACCCGAAACGTGCATCTACGTATAGTCTCCAGTTCGTGATGCTTCCAATCCTTGCCACCCGCATGCACCTCCATCTCTGGCAGGTAGACCAACATGCACGCAATTCTGGGACCATCACGAGCATTCCATTGTCCGATATGTCATTTGTAGATTTCACCAATGATGTCTGACTGGTGGGGTGGGATTAGTAGAGTTTGGTACGTGCTCAACATTTAGAATTTGTCTGTCGCAGGGTGAGGAGCATTTGGATGGCCTTGGTCTATTCGGCACCTGTAGTTGAGCAGCCAGATAGTAATGAACAATTTTATGGTACATGTCTACTAATGCACACCAAGCTCCACTAATTCAGGAAACGTCCTTGTTATGATAGGATGATATCTAGCACTTATACTGCCGACAAATATGTCTTACTCGACCGGGTTGTGGTTTGTAAATGAAAGACAACTTGTAAGTATTTCGATGTCAGAATTCAGGCTGGGGTAGTCATCCGTGAACACAATATTTCTCAGAAGATGTGAAAAAGTACACCTTTTGCGTGAGACTGGTTTTCATCTTAGAGTGTGGAAACAGTATTTATACGGTAAGTATTCAACGTTTAACATCTGCATAAATTTGACGGCGCAAGCACGTCTCTTATGAGTTTAGATTTTGGTACGTGCTCTCACAATCAGGAGCAACATTTGAGTTTCACCCAGTCTGCCTTTCAGCGCATTGCTCAGTCGCGTCATACAGTCGTACAACCGTAAATACTAAATTCAGGCTTGGCGCTAGGTATAAAATTGACAACGAATCGAATGGTACATTCTATATTGCAGAAATGAAATCATCATTACGTGGAGCTAGCAGGATTTGATGTTAGCAACTGCGAAGATGGATGGTATAGACTAAGAACTCACACGTCTCGGCAATTCGACCAGCGTGTCCCATGTGCCATACAGCTCAAATCGAGCTCGACGCCTCCTCTCGGAATCACCATTGCAGTGTCAGGGAAATAAAATGGGTATCGGGAAGCCGGAGGTACCCAAAAAAGCAGCTGATGATTGGGTCACATCATCCATCCATTAGCTTGCAGTAAGAAAGGGGTCGGACTAGAATCACGATGAGAGGCGAGTTCGAGCAAGTCAGCAGGGTTGAGCAGAGCATGTTCCAGGTTGGAAGAGAAGGAAATGGTGCGGTCATGACAAGTGTTGGTTAGCACGATACGAGTGTCTTGGACAGGAGGTGCGGTGCTTTGAGGCAGCGAAAATGCGGAGGGATCTGGCTCTCTGGACTGGGGGGGCCGCTGCACTTTCATTGTACTCCACAGTCGCACAGTGTTATCCCAAGAACCAGAGGCGATGCAACTACCATCCGGTGAAAACGAGACTGACAAAACCAATCTAGTGTGTCCCTTCAAGGGCTGACCCAATGGCTCTCTCGTCGTTGCATCCCACAGCCGCACAGTCTTATCCTCCGAACCAGATGCGATGCGAGTACCATCCGGTGAGAACGAGACTGACCAAACCTCTCCAGCATGCCCCTTCAAGCGCTCACCCAATGGCTGTCCTGTCGCTGCATCCCACACCCGCACAGTCTGATCCCACGAACCAGACGCGATGCGAGTACCATCTGGTGAGAACGAGACTGACGAAAACCCCTATGGTGTGCCCCTCCAAGGGCTCACCCAATTGCTGTCCTGTCGCTGTATCCCACATCCGCACAGTTTTATCCTTCGAACCAGACGCAATGCGAGAACCATCCGGTGAGAACGAGACTGACAAAATTGATCCAGTGTGCCCCTTCAAGGGCTGACCCAGCGGCTCTCCCGCTGTTGCATCCCACAACAGCAGTGTTATCCCATGAACCAGACGCGATGCGAGTACCATCCGATGAGGATGAGACTGACGAAACCCAAATCCGCAGTCTTATCCCATGAACCAGACGCGACGCGAGTGCTATCCGGTGAGAACGAGATTGACGAGACTGATCCAGTGTGCCCCTTCAAGGGCTGACTCAATGGCTGTCCTGTCGCTGCACCCCACAGCCGTACAGTCTTATCATACGAACCAGATGTGATGCGTGTACCATCCGGTGAGAATGAGACTGATTGAACCCCTCCAGTGTGCCCACTGATTACGGTCTGAACAACCGTCCAGTTCAAATTGCGGCCAGATGCCAGCCGAAGGTTATTTGTAAACCTTGCCGTAAATTTGGTAGCCATGGTGGAGTTGACGGGCGAGAATGGGAGCGCTGATAGATTCAGGTGCGGGGTGCTGTGCAAAATCATGCTGCCAAAAACTTGAATGAATCTTTGTACATCCATTGTGGTGGAGCACAAGTCTTCGTATCCAGAATGGCCCTGTATGTATTTATGAGCTATTCGTCTGACACTGCCTCGTAGGCATGTGCTCACCTTCAGCCACTTGGCAACAAGTGGAAGCCCGATAATTGCACCTCTAATTGCATCGGTAAGTCCGAGTGCTTCAACCCAGAACAGCAGTCTCTCGTCGTCGAAGAGTGACCTTATTTCCTTCGCGAGCTCATCGTCGAAGTCTGTTGTCTGAACATGTGTAGCCCAGTATCGACAGGAGTAGGAGAGATGTAGGGGAATGCATGTTTTGACTCATTGAGGCAGCTCCGTGTCTCGAGAATTAGGGAGGTACGACGACTTTAAATCACAGATATTGAAGCGAAGGCCACGTTCCATCAATCGTAGTAACGCAAATGCAAGGTCGTCTTGTTGCACCTTCGTAACCTGAACGAAAAAGTCTCCGCTGGATGATTTGTCTGTGAGAAACTCTTGAAAGGATGCGTGAAGAGGTCTGACTGGAATCTGTGAGTCCGTAGTGCCACTGAGGAGGGATCCCATATGTTGTATGATGTCCACTTGATAATGTTTGTTGTGGTTTGGAAAACAGTGCCGCATAGCAATGAGGGAATCAATAGGGAGAGGTTCAGCCATGCCGAGTATTTGTCCCATCACGGAACGAAACTCTGCCAATGCTTCCTGGTATTCGACATCGCCATACCGATCTCGTGGCCAGATATCCGCCAAAATAAGCCGATACATATCATACAGCTTGTTTGTCCACTTCCCAGGATCGCGGTACACGACAATATCAAAGCGAGACCTTCGGTTTATGCCAGGAAGGTCTTCCTTGATGTATTCGCATGCAAGACGTGCCCACTCAAAAAGTCCATCAGATTTCGCAGCGAGGTTTGCAAACTCTTGGCGCCCAAAACACGGTAGGCCTTGTAGCTTGTCAGATACAAAAGCACGGATGTCGTGCTCTGCTACCTCTGCTGGAATCTTGTCCATGGACAACCGTAGAATATGATCAGCACCTTCGAATTCCTTTTCGATATCATGAAGTGGGTGAGAGGTGACGAGAATCCGAAAGTTGGAAGGGAGTTCAGTGATTTGGGGAAGTCCTTTGTCCTGAAGTTTACCGGCAAGTATGCGGAGAAGGTCCCGCCGCGTCTCCACTCCGCCGTTCTCGTCTAGCGCTTCGATCAAAATCAAGACAGGCCCTACACTTGACGCAGAGAACTTCTTTAGCGGTTCCATGAGAAGTTTGCGCCACTGCTGGATGATGTCTGTCGTATTCCTGAGCGAGTTTGCATTCTTGACTGCATCCGCTAACACTCGTTTCATGCCCGGATCACGATCAGCAAGATCGCGCGTAATGGTGGAGAAGATCTTTTCGTGGCGACGGTCTGCTTCTCTCCGCCGATCGAAACAGAAACAAGAACCAAGGCCTCCCGTTTCGTCGAACCAATTGGCAATCGTGTGGGCGATGGCCGATTTGCCCGTGCCTGCAGGACCAGACAGCCACAAGACACGTTTAGCAGCATCTCCGCTGCTGTTGATCCAGTCTGTGATCTGAGAAAGAATGTCCGTGCGAGTGCCTGATAGACATTGCTTCGCAGTATCTAGTCCCGCACCCCCTGCATAAGCCATGCCGCTGAGATCAAGTGTTTCACCTTTAAGGGTATGAGTAGATGTAAAGTCAGAGGCACATGTAAATCCTTACCCGCAAACTGGACAAATATAGCTACCTCCCGATGAGTTTGATCCCGAAATCGCTGCATAAGCCCCTCCAAGGCTTTGTTGTATCGTGTGATGATATCATCCGTTTCTGCGACAACGTTTTTACCAACTCTCCTCCCTATTATCATAGTAAGGATAAGATTCATGTACGAATGCAATAGTCCGACAACTCACAGAAGCTCTTCGTCTGAGTACTCCCTGATGAAACGGGCACACTCGAGAGTTTGTTGAGCAATCTTTCCGATGATATCATGCATCGATTCAACCTTGGAAAGATTATCGTCTTGAGTGATAAAGCCATAAACTTCATCTAATTTTTGGAGAAGGCGATCTACTGATTCGTCGCGCTCTGCTTGAGAAAGAATTATCTGAATAGAACCATGACTTCTGAGTGGAAGGCAGATCTCTGGGGAACATAGAACGTACTTTGGCTGCAGCAGATAGTACGCCCAACGCCATCTTTGCGTATGGATGCACCTATAACTTGATTAGTTCACTAACAACTAAGGAGAACAGCTCATACATTTGCAATATTTTCAATTGCAGCGTCGAAAAGTTTCAGGGGTTGGAGGTAATTGGTCTGAAAATCGTCTGCGGCATTGTTGACGGCGGATATCACAAAGTGCGCAGGTCTCCAGAGTGTTTTCATGTGTTCTGAAGCCTCGTGGGCACCCTGAAGTTCAGCATCAACTGATTTGGGACCAGAAGTTTCCTCTGTCCAGAAGGGATGTCAAGAACCTGCGCGACTAACATGGGAGAATGTGCCAGTTGTGAAGTATCCTGGGCGCCTCTGATATAAAACTGAAATGTGATTATGATTGTGAGCGCCTACCGCAATAGTCTGATTCGAGGAAACACCAGGTTGAAGGTTGACACTCTGAGTCGCAGGAGTGCGGTCGCGGGAACGCTTGGAGCGCTTCTGCACAACATCAGCCACATTCAGAATCCGGAACCTAGCAGTCTAATTACAGGAAGTTTCTTGGTGATGCCTAAATTTGCAAATTTTTGAATAGCCCGCGGCCCGGACTCGACTATGGGGTTGGCTCTGGAGGAAGAAAATGGCAGAGGGAGGCAGCGATGAATTTCATGAGCGCTCATCCACAATAACCAAGCCCTTGAGACTACATACTGAGCTTTCACGAATGGTTGCTTCGCACGTTTCCGGAGGATCTGGCCTATTGTCTTCACTCATCACGGCGAGTGGTCGATCACTGTGAGCGAAATGGGGATGCAAGAAGTGGGAGAATAGGCTTGTTGCCAAAGGAATAAGGGAGCATAGCTTTGAAGGGACTTGAGCGCCATAAACCTATCACTATGTTAATCAAAACGAATAGTCATAGCGGATTGATTCATGACAAGCAATTTAATTATGCGCTCCACGTTCAGAATGCCAGTTGAGAGCAGGTAAGTGGTACTAACATAGTAACATCAATTGCATTTATATGTGCAGTATGCGCTGATGCCGAAGAGAGATAATTGAATTCGATAGTTGGCAAAATGTGTCAATTACATCCGATAATCAACATTCTACGCGAAAATTCACAAATTAATCTACGCAGCCTGAAGGTGGGATGTGCCTAAATCATCTAAATGTGCTACACTCGAGTCGCATGTAGCACGAAACACGAAGACGAGATAGAAGCGCTCTCCCCAGGGAATGAGGCATCGCCAAAGGTGGGATGAGTCTTTGAAGAGCCAATTTGACTGGGAGGAAAAAATTATGACCCTGACATCGGAAGGCGGGAGCACTAAAAGACGACTTTTTCAGTTGGCCAAAGGATATGCTCATTATTAGCGGTGAATGTGCCACAAATATGTATTGATAGCAAGACAATCTGTGAGACAAATAGTAAGCTTCGAGTATATGGAAAGAAAGAGGCAAGAGTAGAATCAGTGGTGCAAATTTTTGGCTGTATGCTCTACCGTTCGTCAACGCTTATAGCTACGACTGGGGCGGCAAGCGAAATCATCATGAAACAAAAGCTTGAAACGTCACCCACCTTTTACAAAGATTTCGGTCTGCGTCCTAATAGACGAAGGCTACCTAATCTAATCGGCTCTACAACTGCCCGAGAAAACATCGGGGAAACATATAATGAAAGACCAATGCGGACGGGTAAAAGTGCCTGAACAAATATCAGTCACCATCCCAACTGCGGTGAAGAGAAAAAAAAATACCTTGACTGCACCATAAGCCAGAACGGCGTTGGCGACGTCCCCCGCTAGCTTCCCAGGCAAGTCGCTCGTCCGAGCCTGGTCAACAAGTTCACCTTTCTCAAAGCCGAAGATGCCATATCGACGGCCGACACGACCAGCCCATCGCTCGCCCTCGTCAACCAATGATATCAGCTGGGTGTTCACCCAAGACTGGTCATCGATAGAGTCACCTCGTTTGAGAGCAACAGCGTTGACGACGTGCTCGCCTGCGCCTAGACTGCGTGCCGCGTAAAAAATACCCACGACGGGAACAATGGCAGTTAATTCATGGAGGATGGCGAAGGAGACGATGAGAGAAGATAGTGGTGTTCCCGTCCTCCCAGAAATCGCGGTGAAAGCGTTTCTGTAAGGTGCAAATCGTCCTCCAGAGTTCGACATGCAAAAAATTTATACTAGGCAGGATGCGGCTTAGATAATAGGACCGGTTACGTGTCAAGTGGCTGTGCAGCTGAGCGAGTCAGAGCGAGTCGTTCAAACCACCAACCATGTATAAACTACCCCGGATTCTCCCTCCACAACAGTGTATCAACCACGGTACCCTCTTCCCTGTATCTCGAAGTCGCAGAAGTTAGATCTGGCTTTACTTTTAACTCTCAAGCCACAGTGGCCCCATGGCACATGCTACTGTCTCCATGAAGGCGGCTACTCCCGAGTACTAATAAGGCCCGTCCACTACTCTCGCACCTCAAATTTACGAATCCCAATACCACGTCTATTATCTCACTAGCCCATCACACATTTTCCAATATGACTCCTACCCCATTACATATCCTGTATCCAAATATCGCTACATCTCTCAATTCCACCAAACACTACTCAATATCCCATCAATAATAACCTTCCTACGATGTCATGAGCGATATCGCGTGTCAAAAAGTATTTACAGTCCGCATCAAGGTGGGAGGCCGCCCCGATGACCCCCACCCTACAAGTAGTCTTTCATCAATAAGCCACAGGTGCTAAGAACTTACCCAGTCGAGTGAGACAAATTTGTTGGCGGCATAGGTCGTTCTAGATATCGTGTTATCACGGCAGAGATCTTTCGTTAATTGGTGGAGCTTGGTGTGCTTCGGTAGACTCTTGTAGAACTTGCACCACAATGCTCATTGCTGTTAGGCTTTAGCAGACCAATTTTTTGGATCCTGAATTTGCCACCGCTTACAGTGGAAACTACGGCTGTTAAATAGACCAAGGACATTCAAATACTCCTCCCACACGCGACAGACTCATCCTATATGTTAAGCACGTAACAAACTTTACTAATTCCACCCCCACCAGTCAGACATCACGCGGTGAAATCTGCAAATGAGATATCTGACATTGGAATGCTCATGAGGGTGTCAGAGTCCTGTGCACGTCGGTCCACTTGCCAGAGATGGAGGTGCATGCGGGTGGCAAGGATTGGAAGTATCACGAACTGGAAACTGTACATGGTGTACGTTTCGGGTATTATCAGTAGCGATACGCAGCAGGGATATGGAGGTGCATACGCATCCAAAATGGTCTGGTAGGTATCCTGGGGCGCGGGACATCAGAGGCTTGATCATAAAAACCCTCAAGAGATTTGCGCACCTGGAGGAGCAATAATGTGAAGATGGTCGTCACCGATAACACTTCAGGAAAGAGGATGAGTACCTGAAAACAGTGCGTACGAATGTTGACTCACAAAGATTGCATGCATAATAGGATATGTTATGGTTCACCAGGACAACGTACAGACAGCCTGAGCTTGTCCGCCAATCTTGCATGGCGCGTATGAGCGTGAGTATCATGAATCCTAGGGAGAATACCTGTCAGCACGTCTGTGTACTTATATATGCTCCTGGTTACCCACCCAGTTCGAACACGGAAGAGAGAAGAAATGGAATGAAGAGTTGGTAACTGGTCGAACTCCGATAGCACCCTGTGATGCCCGGGATCGCGCTAGTCGTATCTGTGAAAGTGAAAAGAATGTTTCAAGAGCCATGGAACCCCAGAGGGAAGGTTAGAGCGCGTACATGCTGCGGGGACGGTAGTGTCGAAGGTGATGCAGAAGGATGCTACGAGGAAAGCCTGGCTGATGCATCTACTACCAGCTTGGGCATGGTAGGTGGATTAGGAACTCACGAACAAAGTGGAAAGCATAGCTGCGAGCAAGATTCTATTTCTGTTCCAGAGCACATATGTCCTCAGGATAAAAAAACCTGAACGAGTTGGATCAGAAGCACGCATAATATGAGGGAACAGAGAGATACATTCTGAAAAAATGACTAATACCATACCAAGACCTGTAAGAGGAAAGTAGTAGACTTCGGTAAGGACGTGCATATATGAATGTACCATGCACGTACCTGATCGAATATTTGCCAGCATCCGGCATTTCTGGCGAAGTCATGCGATAAGTCGCTCGTTTCACTTAACTCGTTACCGCATCACATACACCTGGGTTTTCATCCGGGGTAAAGCTCGCTGAAAAAACAAGTGTTAAACCATCTTTGAGGCAATGTGTGCTCGAGCACAACGCACCATATAGACTAGTGGTGAGAAAGATAAAAGGAAGGTATCGTGTGACAATATACAGGCCTTTCATCTTGCACCAGCGCGATAGAAGCAAAAATGCCCACTTTACATGTCATATTGTCGATATCAAAACCCAGGAGTATCATGGAACAAATGTATTACCTCTCCATGAAGTGAACATGCATAGTCATAGGTCTGGATAAACGAGTTTGATGGCAGACGTGAAGAGATCGGAGTAAGCCTACCCAAAATGTAGCCACCGACGCTGAACTGTGTCAGGACAAAGAATATGGGGTTCAGGTAGTACGCACCAAGCATGTACTGGTGGTACATGACTTGTCAATTTTGATTAGCCCACATATCGACGAGGAGACGCACCTTAGTGGACTGCAAGCTCCTCGCTGCTGTGATATCTTCAGTCGAGTACTCCATCTAGAGGTCAAAAATATGTTTCACACACACCGTGACATCGTGCGCCTTCTTGGCTCTTATGAATGAGCTATGAATCCATCAATGTGGTAGCGTAAACACTGGTATATTATTCGAGTTAGCCTGCTGCGGTTGCGATGGAGCGTTTCGCCATTCACTAGATGTACTGGCTGGGAAACAACTTGATAAAGAATAAAGTTGCACTTCCGAAAGTTCCGATGCCTACGGTTTCATCAAGGTTTTTGCACACAGCTGTTGCACAGCTGTATACCCAAATACACCTGGCGGTGCAAATAGCCTAAATTGGCAATCGATATTGATATGTATTTATTTGGTGGCAATGATCGATAGCTCAGGATAGCTTGCAGGTGCTAACTTGAATGGCATTGGCATGTGTTGCTATCAGTTTTCGTTGTAACGCGTAAGAGATCAGCTTTATTCATTTTAAATAACAGCTGATTTTACAAATAGTAGCATTGAATGTTATATTGAAGCTATTTGGGCTCAAACGCAAAGGGTTTGCGACCCGAAACAAAGTTGTTCCAAGCCTTGCGACGGTCAGAAGGTTTGTAACAGGTCTAACTTCTATGGGACGCCATCATCTTTCACTCTACTAGAATGTAAAAAAATTCAAGTCGACGACCTTGCAACAGCGGATTCGTGGCCATCTGTTTTTATTCATCGATGAAGCTGTCTAAGAAGAGGCGAAGGAATACCGGATATTGATGTCAGGTTGCTAGCATCGACCACAACCAACAAAGCTCCATCTTCACTTGATCCCATCCCTTTGGTTGTGTGCACCATGCTTCGACGCCTGTGGTTTCACGAACGAGATCCGTGCAAAAGGGGCCAATCTCGGGAATCCAGATTCAGAGATGCTGAAATAGAGCGTAGAGGTGTTCCTGAAGTCGAAGCAGACTCTCAAGCCGATAGGGAAGCATAAAGAAACCGAGCCACTCCCGCGAAGGAGACGTTCTGAACTCGGTGAGGAAGTAATTCTGATCGAGGTTAGTACATCTCGTGAAAGCATGGATGCCCTGTTCTTGCCCTTTCGTTACGCATCATACATGCGCTTCAGTGAAAACGTCCTCCCCGTTATCAAACCCTTCAGGAGCGCTCCGTCTTGTGGCACTATTTGAAGCAGTAGAACAGGCTCCCGGGTCCTCGGGTCGGACGCTGTGTGGCAAGGCTGTTCTTCTCTTGCAATTCGTTGAAGAAGTTGATCTTGTTGATGAGTCTTGGCTGCGTGTGCCTGGTGAACCTTTTGTTGGTGAGTTAGAACGGCCCGCTGCCGTATGCTGGTTTCGATATCTGCATTTGCTCCTAATGTTATAGTATTTACGCGTGCAGATTTCGATCATCTTTGCAATGCTGTCCTAGGCGCATTAATGCATCTGCCAGTCTATTTTCCGTGTACCTCCGTTCTCTGTATCACCGCCACCGCCACAGGTTGCATTTGATGGCGTAGTGCAGTTGTCTGATCGTATGATAGACTGAAGGGGAGTGTCTCTTGACAGAATATGAATGCTTGTGGGGAGCACTACATTGAAACGAATGGTGTGTTTCGTAACTTCCATCTCGCCAGTCAACGATTGAATGGATATCCATTCCTTCCCCGCACGTGCAAGCAGTCCAACTATTGTGACAGCGCACAGGACTTGTAGTTATACATGATGGTAGCAGGTTCTCGGGCACTGCGCTGCCATCAGGGTACCCGATCACCGGTGTAAGTTTATGGTAATAGGGAAGGGAGATTGGGCCTATGCATATGTCGCCTTGCGTTTGTGGTGAGAACTTCTTATGCCCCGAATGTGGTAAAGCAAGGTGAGTATGATGACCCCCCTATGTAGGCAGAGCGACAGTAGTATTCTTCTTGTCTGTAATGAGACACATTTCCCATATGGATGTGCTCTGTTGCTGTCGCGCTGGCATGTTATCAACTAAGCAGGTATCTTCTATGTATCCGTGATATGCCTTGTTCCATCACTTATCATGTTCAGGCTGAAGCGACGGTCTCCCAACGAGATGTACTGAAGGAGGTGTTAGTCTAAAACAGGTTCAAAGCCCTAGTTTGACGGCCCATTGCTGATCGACTTTCAGTCGCATGAAGGTTAAAATTCTTCTTACCTGGGAGATGCGTTTGATACGCAATGTCAACCAGGGAGCCCATCTGCATCGCCTAATTGCAGAATCGAGATTGGGAGCTTCTGCGCCTCGCATTTGATGCTCGAGCCTCGGACATATCATGCAGGTATGCGCAGTCCAGAAAGTTGGCCGTGGGTGACATACATCGGCTTGCTCCTCAGATGGGCAAATTTTTTCTTCATTTCCGTAAAAGAGATTTGTGCGTGATGATCTATTCGCAAGCTTGACTTGCACAATGATTACCGGCATGACGACTGAGATTAGCTGAGACTCCGCTGGACGCAGTGATTCGATTGATTCACAAGACCCAATGACCGCCGAGCTCCTTATCGATATCATGCAGAAGATATGGAGAACGTAACGGTCGATCGGAACACCAGGGATGTCTTTAATTCGGATATGAAAGATAAGCTTGGAAAAATTCATCGTTGTTGAAGAGAGCGTGCTTTGGTGCAACCAGCGTTAGCGACATGAGTTCTTGCGATAACATTTGACGTCGTTTGGATTAGGTATCAGAAGAGCAGGTTAGCTTATCAGGGCGAATAGGAGGTAAGCGCGGAAACCGGGAAATCGGCCCCCGGCCCAAGGTGTTGGTAAGGGCAATAAAGCCAGACACACTTGACGAGCCTTGCTCTCATGCCGCAATCGAGATTATGAGTCGTTTCGATCTAAAATTTACCACAAACGTTCAGGCTATAGTTAATCACAAGGAACAGCATATTACCCTATACACGCGCGGCATAAGTATACAAAATGAATGACCAAGCGTCAGGAACCTACTGCAATTAATTCAAACACTCCTTGATCCGCTTTGGTCTCTCCATTGCTCATATTTTTTGATCACATCTGGTGTGATTTGCCTTTGTATCGCACCTGCGGCTGCGACAAAGGCGCTTTGAGGGATCTGCTTAAAGCCCTGAGGAAAGTTCACCAAACTAGGGGCTTCGAAGAACTTACAGATAGGGCATTGATATCCTTTTGCATGGTCAATAGAGCAGCTTCCTGGCACAGCGAGCTAATCTCTGCGCCGCTGCAGCCGTCGGTCTGAATGCAACGTTACACACAGCTCAGATGCAGCAGGACCGTACTTACCATGGCCGCTATTGCATGAAGATCCAAGTCAGATTCGACACTCATCGTCCTTGTCCTGATCTTCAAGATCTCTTCGCGTCCAGCGTGGTCCGGAGGTCCAACGTATAGAATGCGATCCAGTCTTCCTGGACGCATCAAAGCCGAGTCCTGACGATACATCGTCAGAAATATGACAATGATACTCAAGCACATCGACTTACAATGATGTCGGGGCGATTTGTGGCTGCAATGATAGTGACGCCCACAAGCTCCTGGACACCATCCATTTCGTTCAGGAGGCTGGTCAGAACACCCTCATGTGCGGTTCCAGTATCTGAATCTGAGGAGCGCGATGTTCCAAGGGCATCAATTTCATCCTGTATTTGTCAGCACCAACTCCTTCACAGCAGGATGGCGCTTACGAAAAAGATTATTGACGGTGACGCAGCTCTGGCTTTGCCGAATATATCTCGCACAGCTCTTTCCGACTCTCCCACATATTTGTTCAGAAGCTAATTGACGCGTCAGTATACCATGCGTATGTTGCCTGAACGCGGAACCAAAAATCTGCACCTCAGGTCCTTTTACAGCAACAAAGTTAACACCACTTTCCGTTGCACAAGCTCGAGCCAGAATGGTTTTACTACACCCTGGAGGTCCGTACAATAGGAGGCCCTTTGGTGGTCGGACACCCAGTCGGTGGAAAGTCTCTGGGTGTAATAATGGCCACTCGACTGCTTCTCGAAGTTTTTGTATGATGTGCGCTTGCCCGCCTATATCTTCAAACCGAACGGGAGGTGTCTCGATAAATAGAGAGCGCATTGCGGACGGCCGCACAGTAGGAAGCGCATCTGAAAGGTCCGTTGGCGTCAATTTCAGGGTCATTGTTGTAGCTGCCGGGTCAACATGGGAACCCGGTGGAATGTGTGACATCCATCGTTTAATGGCAAGGGTCCCAGCCTCTCGAACTACAGCACTGAGGTCAGCACCAACATATCCATGAGCGCGGCGGGCGATAGAATGGAGTTCTGCGTCCGTTATACAATGAGGAGTTTTGGAGAGGAGAACGTTCAGAATGGAATAACGGGCGTTTGCGTCCGGTATGCCTGAAAGTAATAGCCGTTAGTTAAAGTTCGGGAGCACTGTCAAGCTAGCGCTGACCTATCTCGAATTCTCGATCAAATCTCCCAGGTCTTCGTAACGCCGGGTCGATGGCATTCGGCCGATTGGTTGTCCCGATAACAACGACCCTGTCGTGAAAAGTCGTGCTCGTATTGTCAATGCCATCCAGAATGGTCAAAAGTGTCGCCACCACACGTTTTTCAACCTCGCCACCTGCGCCCTCTTCTCGTCTTGGGACAAGAGCATCAACCTCATCCAAGATGACGATACATGGACTCTTGGCTCGGGCTTCCTTAAATACGTCCCGGAGTTTTGACTCTGTTTCTCCGTGATAGGCTGAAGAAAGCTCAGGGCCGTTGATGACAAGCACCGATGAGTTAGTGGATGATGCGATAGCACGTGCAAGGTGTGTCTTTCCTGTACCAGGCGGACCATGCAACAATATGCCCCGTGGAGGTTTAAGACCTGATCAGAAACGATTATTGTCATCAAAACTTCTCCACGCGGGTATTTACCGATGCCTACCGAAATATCCAAAGAGCTCTGGCCTGGTGAGCGGTATCTCGAGAAGATCCCGTATCTGAGTAATCGTCTTGTCAAGTCCTCCGACAGCCGCGTATGCATCAGAGATTGATGTGTGAGGTAGTGTTTCGACGTCAGACTAGGTAGTCATCCGGGATTATTATCCCAAGCATTTCTCAGAAGATGTCAGAAAGTGCACCTTTTGCGTGAGGCTGATATCATTATCGGCCGCATCTTCCAGGATGGAAACAATCGTGTCCCACCCTGTCGTCCAAAGTAAGGGCCTGTCCTGAATTGCAAACGAGTTAAGGTCGCGTGTTATGGTATTCACGGAACCAGTTGATGCCGAGCGGTGGCCTGACACAGAATTAATGGAGAACATTCGAATTTCGCCCTGATATGGGACTTCGATAATCTGAGTAGAAAGAATATATTTGAGATTAACTATAAAGAGATTCCGCGTGGCGCTGTCAGCAACATTCTACGCCACCTAAAACTGACGTACTGAGGTATTCTCGCAGTAGCAGAGTGAGCCAATCTCTACGCTTTCCTTTGTCTTGCGAATTGACCATATTTTGCATTGTTGGTGTTCTGATGGAAATTTCTCTCAGACAAATGGTGCCAGCCTCTTCTATGTCTCGCATAGTTGGTAAGCCGGGAGGGGATCTGCCACCGACTTGATCGGACACGTTAAATAATTGTACCGTTGCGCCTTCCTTGAGGCGCGCCGTAAGAAAAAGCGAGGATGAAATCCAAATGGCTGGAAGTAAGGTAATGTGACCGCGAAGTCGTACTTAGCAAAGGATCTTGGTGTCATCTGATACCGTACATACCGTCTTGTGGAATATCTAGAGAAGGCCACAATGTCCCGATTGCAAAATACTGCTACAGACGATTTGAAGTCATTCACAGTGCGATAGAATGAGCGAATGAGCTGTAGTGGAGACGCTGGTATGCACGATATAATTCTCACCTTTTTGGTTCTTCTATCATCGACCTCTGATAAGGCGACCACATCGCCAGAGCACAGTTGTGAGGCTTTCAAAATACTTGCATGAACCACAACACGCCGGATCGCGCGTACCCCATTTCCAATGGCAGCAGGCGCAATGCATTGAACTGTCAACTCAGGCATCGACATGGATGCAGACGTATTTTTGCGCATGAACACGGAATCGCGAAGCTACGTGGCTTTGAACTCGGTCACGATTCGCTCCAAGACTATGGCCGAGCAGAATGAGAGATGCTTGCACTCACCGCTTGAACCGTTTATCTGCGATGGTTATCAAATGAAAACAAGTCAAAACAACAAGTAAATACTTTCTACAGCCTCCACGTAGTACTACGGGCGGAGTGCAACGAGCCGACGACTGCCGCCACTGTCGACTCCTCATACTATTAGCATCCAGACCGCTGTTGAAGCACGGGTATCAATCAAACCATCACAGTTCCAAAATCTGCCCAAGACTCTAGTATGTTATTTCACAAGCACCTGTCAGTGGACCTGGATCATAATAATAATCTTCAACTCCGATAGACATGTAGGCTGTCGACGTGGTTTTAATGTCAGTTAATATAGGTTAATATCCGCTTAGAAATCGCTCCTTCTCCACAACACCGCATGCACACTTGAGAAAATCAGCAACAGGTTGTCTTTCACCGATGCATCCGTGCCCGATCTTTTGAACAACCTACTACTGTAGGTACAATTAATGTAATTTAATATATTCAACTTTAGTCCTCACCCTGATACGCCTAACAGTCGGTTTTGCTTTGCCATTCAAGTATGTGTGTTCTCAACCACCATGCCTCGATTGGGCACAGTCTGACATAGCCCAAAATGCAGAAGCGAGATGTTGGGAGATACTTCCCATTTTCATTATAAGGCTTCTCAAGAACGAGGCGTTGTCATTTTTGTGGAGTTACCCGAGATGGCATCGAACGGCAGAATCAGACCGAGACACGATGCTCGAATCCATGTAGCCTTTCTTCGATTACTTGTCGCTCACACTCATTCGTTCGAGGGACGCCACACGGTATTTTCAGCTCTTCGGTTTGTAAAACTTTCGTAACGCATCTCCCGGAAGATAAGCAAATATCAACAATTTACGACAACAGCGCAGCACGTCAGCAAGATACAATACCCTTAGGAAGCAGACCCTTGTGTATGTGCGCTGCCACGAGGCATGATCAAGAGAATACGGCAAAACAAATGAACAGAAATACATTACATGCGTCGTAATGTGACGTGCGGCAGTTCTGCACCATATTTTCAACTGTACCACGGCAGCAATAACATATTCCTGCTGGCGGAAATCGAAGGTACCGCCGCAGAGTGTACATTATTATTTTCTCAAATGCAACATTCAGCAGATACCTGGAATTGCATTTGTCCTGGGTGGCCTCAGGAAACGATCACGAATCCCGTTTTTACTGATATTCAAATCAGTGTCTGCGCCTGCCAGTGCGTGTGAGTACGTTGTCTAATGAGACCTTTCGATAACTTAAAACCAAGCTTCAGTCTCTTTCAGCTTCCTATCGTCAGCTAGATCTATGACGTATGGCGGACCTACATACACATACATTAAATCCAAAGGCACGACTGGCACGACTGGATTAAGACTTCGGTCAACACTTATCGCACCGTGACAAGCCTTGGGTCATGATATCATAGCATCATCTCTCACATCCCAGTCTCAAGAATGACTGGCCTGACGAACGTGTGCACTAAGCTACTTTGAAACACCGGTAGACTGATTGCTTATAATTCTTCGAAATTCATTGATTGATAGCGTCAGTCCATATCACATCGTGCCCGTCCAAACTGCAATTGTCTGTGGAGATTCGAGAAGGAAGTACTGCATTCATGAACGTCTTCGTCGCCCGGTGCTTAGCCCTCCAGAAGTTCTATAATTCTAATTATGTGAGTTAGGAATCAAGGAAGTGATGGGCCGTCGATGACGTTAGGGATAAGCCGGGCACCTAATAATAAGACAATAAGATGATCGATCACGCAACTGCTCGTGCAAGCACCTTGCAGTTACTCCAATGATGAAATTTGGGTAGATGGACTTTCAAGCGATCCGCCTATGCTGCCTTGCACCTTGGCACAAAACGTGCTCAGTGCTCACTTCCAGCATATTATTGTGGCGCAAGGCAGTACTTGCCAACGGTCACATTTTTCATTTTGCCGCTCAGGAACTGCCGCACCGTGAGACTTCGGAGGACGATCCATGCCTTACTTCGCCGGCATGTTCCCAAGTAGTGATACTGCCAGCAAAGGTCAGTAAGTACCCAGGCTATCACCAATATACGCCAAACCGCACTTGGACGGAGTAAATCTTATATCCTTCTATTGCGCTTCGGATGTCATATCGCTGAGCGTCCCGGTAAGCAGCAGTCACACGTGCATCCCTGACGAGGCACTCAAACCCGATTTGCTTCTGTACCCATGGTAAATAAACAGTTTTTCATCGAAGCCAACTGAAGCCATGTACAGCTATCAGCTGTATTCGTTGGCTTATACACACGCGCTCGAGGCTATGTGATGAATGGTAAGCTTTGGAATATTTCTGATAAAGAATTATCACGCACAGCCACAGGGCAACCTCGTCTTAATCAAGCTGTGAACCGAGAACCAAGGAACCCCAGAAAGAACATCGCACATCATCCCTTCGACCTGTCACACAAGAAACCACGATATACAGCATGGGATGCTGGCATGTGGAGATCCTGCTGACAATCATCATACATGTACAAACCCTACTAGAACCTTTATGGGCTATTTATTCAGTTACTCTCTTTCTTGGTATTCCGACCTCGGGAACGTATAAAACCGGGCGGGTTCAGCAGTAGTAGAACTACATCTACCCATCGACATCAGTACACTCTTGTCTTATTCTACCTCAATCATCCACCAATCGTCATGTGTAAACAAGTAGCGTAAGTAACAGATCACGTCTGCAGAGATGCTCGCTCACGACATCCTGTGCAGTGAAGGAACGCGCTGGCTAAGATGCGGGGTATGAAGACAATGTTCTTTGTTCGAGCAGCCTTTGACGAGAGCCACAGCACTTTCAAAGGCATCTCGTCATTGCCATCGTAGATTGCAATTCAACTCGCTGCGAGCGCAGTTACAGACACCCGCCAAGCTGTCGGCAACCAAACTGTACTAAAGTAGGTTATGCATAGCAACGCACCATGCCCATAGTTGATATCTTTCAAGAACTTCGGACCCGAAATACAGCGTTCGATCGACGATGTCGATGACATTTGCCTACAGTGTCGTACAGCAATGGCCCGCAGGCGTGGTTGACAAAAGCATGAGCATCTGTCCTTAGAGAGCGGGCAAAACATCTTTCCCTGCATCGATACTCTCACATTAGCATTATATTGCACCATACTTGTAACATATGCATTTCATACCTTCTACTCGGGATTAAACTCTCCGCTCCCGAAGGCATTCGGTTTAGACACTACTTTAGTCCGTATCAGGAAGAAGCAAGTAAGAGCCAGGATGATGGCAACCTACTAAAAGAAGCCACAAGCCAAGGTCCCATGACTGAAAGAAGGCACAGCTCCTGGGTCAGCGTGAGTGTGCCGTTATCGTGATAAAAAAGGACGGTCGCGGTCGTCCCGCAAACCCATGCGAACAATGCAGGCTTCAATCGGCAATTGTGCCTCGATTTCCAAGTGGTTATCTTGCTCACAATCGCTCCAACGAGCATTAAAAGCAACATCATTCCAGCTTCTTGGCATGGCTCTGTCGAACCAGTAACAAGGTATGATAGGCATATGCTTGTTCCTCGACGAGCGACCAATCACCGCATTTATCTTGCGGACTCATCGGATGGTTCAGACCCATCGACAAGCACTGGCGCATCGAGAACACCACCTTAAGATGAGATACCTGGGAAATTGCTGAAGCAAGGCTAGCGCGTGTTATGGAGTCAGAAGAAGCTCACGTCTACTACAGGAAGACTGTCAATAGAAACACGACTGAAACTCATGTTGAAGGCGTCTGAGACAACGTGCCTGCATTGTTAGATCGCAAGGAAATCTGTACCTTTTAACCCCCGACACATTCGCGGCGCCCAAGGAGTTTTGATATTGATTGGAGAGTCACTTTTCCACACAGGCACACAAATGACAGTGGTATGGTGATAGCCCCTTGCCGCTGAGAGTTGTAGAAAGTTGAGATACCAATTCAGTTGGGCACTTATTCTACTCACCGGCGGTAGCTTTCACAACACCCGGGTGCTGAATATGTCAAGCCCACACAAGATGTACTGTTTTGGCTGTGCACATCGAGAAAAATAATAGTCTATTTCTTGTGCATACAGCAAGTTCTGTGGTAAAATCCCCTTACTTCCACAATTACGACTAGTGCGGGTGGTTCTTGTGATGTTCTGATGCATGTTTAATGAGGAATATATCGAGATGATCAACGGTGACTTACTCAAGTGCACTGAAATACCACACATCAAAATTTGAATATACATGTAAGCACAAATTACTCACTCTGGTAGTCAATCGCGTATCCGAAAGTAAAGAGACCCAAGATCGTCCAAACGACTGGGGCAGCGGACGCATTCTTGCCGTTGAAGTATCTAGCTTTAATTCCACCACCAGAGATTGCGGGTGCTGGACCCTTGGGCAGTTTTGAGTAGAAGTTGACCAGAGGCGTGAGGCTTGAACCAGAGCCCGCCGTCTTGATTGCGGAGAAAATAAGGAAAGGTTACGCGAGGCGCAGCGTTGTAGTATTTAAAGAACGCACCAAAAGTGATGGAGTGGCAATCTTGGGAGGAACGATACCCCCCAACTGACGACGAACAAGTGATGCATGCATAGCGGGAACGAATGAATTGTCGACGTCGGGATGGCTCGGACAAACTTGGTTTTCATGTTGGAGTATATTTGGTTGTCAACGGTCACATGACTTGATCACGTGTGTGAAGTCCTATTCACGTCCAACTTCAACTCAACTGTGGAACTGCTTGCGCTAGTCCTTGGCGTCATATACCCATTAGAACCTGAAATCGACTAGACGCCACTAGCGAGACTCCTCGCGTTGTCCTTGATACAAAACTAGTGTCAAGACGTGGGTGTGAACGACCCACAATTGGTTTAGACGAGTCGTCGGCCCGCTTTGGATGCACACATTTAGCTTCGCCTGGACCATTCACAACCTCTTGGTATAACAGACTGCGGACCAGCCGAGCTCACCATCTTCTCTTGCATACTCATTCTTGACTTTTGCAAAGTTCACGTCATGTACAGCGAACCTAAAGCATTGCTATCTATCACATCTGCGCACCTGCTGTCTGGACTCTTTGCCTCTCTTTATGTTGGCTCCATTTATGCATTCAAGGATGCTCGTCTTCGCTTCTCCAAGAGGAAGGTCAACCTTCCAGAAGGACAAGCTAGGCTCAAATTCCAAAACGAGCGATGGAGAGATGATCCGGATGTTATCAAGGCGCGACTACTTGCCGTTACCAGCGCCACTTTGATTTGCTGTCTCATCGTATTCATCGTGATGAAAAATTCAAACCGCGATAATGAAATTGTATGTTACCAAGTTGCCTCAATGGGGAACGTCTGCCTCACTACCGTCATATACAAAACAGCACAACCTTACCACAAATGCGTGGCTTCATCTTGGGTTCACATGGTCTCACGTACTTCCGCTCCTGATAACTCCATTGTTATTTTCTGGGCCACTTTACGTTCAATTCCTCGAAAAGACTCTACCATTCCAAAAGGACTGGAATTTTGAAGATCATGTCCTGTTTCGATTCTTTTCGATCGTCGGTCTTCGAAATTATTTTGTTGTGAGTGCGAGTGCTTTGCAAAGTATTGCTTGCAATTTACCTTGTATTGTAATCAGGCTCCGATCACCGAAGAATTCGTGTTTCGCGCTTGTGTTCTCACTGTCTATCACTTAGCAGGCGCCTCCAGGATGAAAATGATTTTCCTTAGTCCTTTGGTCTTTGGCGCAGGTACGTGTCTGCATGATTTTTTTGGACATGAAGCTGATCATTATGTATCCGAAAATTTTAGCACACATCCATCACGCTTTCGAAACGTACCACAGATATGGCCGTTCTGCCACCGCGGCAAAACGTGCCATTATATCTACTAGTACGCACGACCATCCCGTTTCCAGCGAGTGGCACTAACGCTTCACTTCACTTATAGTCATCCAATTCGCGTATACCAGCATCTTTGGATTTTATTGCTCCTATTTATTTCTTCGCTCCGGATCATTGCTTCCACCCATTACAGCTCATATGTTCTGCAATGTGATGGGTATACCTCAACCAAACCATGAAATCAGTCTGATGCCCAATCGGAAGCTATGTCAGTAGCTGCCGTTACAATGTTATATACAAAGTTGATCTCATTCGTTTTTCTGCTTTTAGCCATTTCGGCCGCGTATCTTTTTGGTATTATCGGCTTCGTGGGCATGCTCAAGCCTTGGTCGTGCACGCATGGTAGCTTATACTGGCAGCAAACCTAGTATCCTCGTTGTGCTTGACAGTGCCTTGTCCACATGCATGAACCTTAACCTGCTTACACCCTACTGGATTGGACATATTTTCTGCGGCTTTTGGTTGGATTCTACTGTATTTATACCAATAATCACCACTGACTCTGTTTATTTCGTACCATGATGCTCTTCGCATGTGACGAAAATTAAGCGGCGTCATGATTATTCAAAACCCTATGAACGAAGATTGGTCCGTGCAAGGACTTGAACTTGTTGTATCACCTGGGCTGCTGTCTCCATGGGCAGACTCAATAGAAAGAAAGCGGTCGTTGCTTTCCTGGGATGCAATGTGGCAACAAACACTACGAGGTCTGACGGCAGTGAGTGATTGTCACACTGGCATACTATGTGAATGCAAGTAACGTACTAAAATGTGAAAAAGACGCTTCGTGGCGTGGATTTGCGATTGCCTCCTTGACATCGTGAATTGATTTCCTTGCCATTCGCTACCTTGAGATGTGCATGCGGGACTGATATGACTCGAAGACGAATCTGTGCTCAAAAGCTCAATGCGATTACCACACTCGAGTTGCGATCTCTCGCCTCGCGCGCAAAATCGAGTTTTTGCATCATGTAAATATTTACGACAAGCACACCTACTGTGTGAATGTAATACAAACGTTTCGTGGCCTGGATTTGCGATTGCCTCTTCCTCATCGAACAATAGATTGAATTGATTTCGTTATTCGCTACCTTGAGATATGCACACGGAACCAATACATTCAAAGACGAGAACAGTGCCCCAAAACTCATGCGATTACCGGACTCATTGTGATCCCTCGCATCACGCGCGAAATCGGGTTTTGCATCTCGCACATATTTACAACCGCACACCCTTCGGCAGTATACTGAATCGTCCATACAAACTTTGCCACAATTGATAGGCCCCATCACGACTTTAGGCCTTGGGAGTACTTGCACGAAATAAAGGGGCTGGTCAAGAAAAAAATCGAAAGTTGTAAGCGCGCCAGGCTGTAGGCGCGTACACACCGTTATGGGAATTGCCGCCGGTAGCTGTCCAATTTACCACAATGTCATTTGAAATCTTCCATCCAATTTTTTTCGCCTTACCAATATCTTTTGCCGTCTACATGCCGCACAAACGTGCCAAACGAACTGTTCGTGAACGAGAGAGATCCCTGAAGTAAGTGTTTGTATTACATATGCCTTTCCGGCTCACTCACTCATGAGCAAATTTGAAGAGGCGACAATCTACCACCAAGGCACCTTGGGAATGAGGACACGGTGCCAAAGTCTGTAGCTCGCATCCTTAATGCCGAGAAAATCCGTCTTCAATTCAGGGAGAAAAAGCGGAAGATCGATGAGCCCAACGGCGATGAAAGCCCTCAACTGAAACGAAAACGGCCGGCCAGTGATGTAAACAATCGGAAGGAGGAGATGCTAAAGATTCAGCCAGGAGAAACTATAGCTCATTTTAACAAGTGAGTTTCAGACGAATTTGATTGCGGCGTATCACCACTAAGCACGCATGCAGGCGAGTTGAGAGTAACATGATGCCGCTCATTAGAACAGCGATGCAGCAGTCATCAGCACAGGTCCGGAGGGTTCAGAAGCGTGAAATTGAGCAGGGAGTCGCCCAGCCTGCTGCACAGGTCAAGACGATTAATAACGCTAGCCGTGCAGACGTTTCAAATCCATCGCCGCCCCCTTCGACCAACACACCCCCTAGCCGTGCAGACGCTTTAGATTTATCGCCACCGGCCAGCACACCCCAGCGGCAACCTCGTGACAAACCCAAGGAGTTTCGTGTATCTTCAACATCGGCACCGCGCCGCCTTAACGATATTGCTCAAGAGCCGCCACGATTCGACAAATTGCCTCGGGGTGCCCAATCAGGCAAAGACTCTTCGAAGGAGAAAGTCGTGGGGATACTCAGCATGGCACAAAAGGCAATGATGGAAGAAGAAAGAGAAAATGTCATCAAACGTTACCGGGAACTTAAAGCCAAGAAGTTGCGTAGTGATTGTAGTGACGCAATGGGTGGGTGAACTAAGTCGATCGCAGTTCCCATCGACTACGTTTCCGATCTGGCGCAGTAATTTTGCCTTTCGTCACTGTCCCGTTGAGTGTCCCGTGGCGTGGGTTTGATCTCTACGCTGACGCTTACTCTACAGCGTGTCCCTCCGAGGAGTGCTCAATCCCGTTCTCAGTTACTAAGGAGATAATTCACGTTTGGTTTTGCTGCCAGTACGACAGCTTATCCATCTTACTCGCTCCAGCAGTGAGAAAATAACCTTTCAGAATTCAAATTCCGCCTTGGCACTCCAAAGGAAGTTCATTGTTCCAACTTTGGCAGCGGAGGACCAAATCTCCGAAGCCTTCGGATGACTCTATTCTGGCTCCTTTCCGCTATAGACGGTCCCTGGTGCTCCTCCATGTACCCATCAGGTTATGCGGCGGTTAGTGCTTACCCTGAGAAAGGAGAATTTTATCTTTCATCAATCCCCCTTTGGATTGCATCGTTATGACGAACCATGGGGAGGCGCCCGAAGGCGCCATGCTGTTGTCAAGATATAGGTTGTGTACCGATACAATCAGTTCTTTCCGATAACTCGATTATCTCGATCTATCGATAATCGTGCGTATGGGCACTGGGCAATGAAGCCCAAGTCGGCACTGCGGAGACTCGTGTTCATGAACCACGGCTTTCACCATCATTCAACCGACTTGCCGCGATGCCTACGTGCGATCACGTTCCGCGCTGAAGACCGAAATTACGGGCTTCCTTCTCCATGCTCAATAAGATATTTGCCTCACTTCATCCGGTATATTCGGGGGAGCCTGCGAAAACGGTGTTCTGATTTTCCGTACAGGAAGTCCTTTATAACGGGCACACGATCAGTCGCCTGTAGCTGTCTGCTGACACCTTTCTTTCTCTGCCCATCTTGCCTCGGCTCTCGTTGTGGAGCTAGATCGTATCATCTATGGAGGACGTGGAGAAGCAAGCGGACTGCTCGTCGTTTCGAGGGCCCAGCATTGAGACGACTGCATATGAAAACCTCAATCGACACAGTGCTTTGCAACCTCCTAACGCGCTTTTACTGCCCACAAACATGGAAAAACGAGAGGGAGGATGGGCTGGTTGGTTGGCTGTCTTCGGAGCATTTCTGGCCCTTTTCTGCTCGTTCGGTCACATGAATGCTTTCGGAACATATCAGTCGTGGTATTCGAATCATCAGCTTTCTAGTCATTCGCAATTCAGTATTTCTTGGGTCGGATCCCTTCAGCTATGGACTTTCTTCTTCATGGTAAGCTACATTGGCCAGTTAAGGTCGTCGTTGCTCAACATCACATGAGACTAGGGAGGACCCATAGGACGCCTCTTTGACGCCTACGGGCCGTCGCCCGTCATGCTCTTCGGGACATTGCTATTGGTTTTCAGCACATTGATGACAAGCATCTCCAGAAAGTATTATGAATTCTTATTGTTCCAAGGCTTCTTCTTTGGCCTTAGTGCTGCATCACTGTAAGTCCCTTCCTGAGCGCTGCGCGTCTATGTTTAAGTTTATCGCACAGCTTCTATCCCTCTTTAGCAGCGGTATCTACTCACTTTTATAAGTACCGTGCATCGGCTCTTGGTATTGCAGCTGCTGGCTCTGGTGTTGGTGAGCAGTCCACTGTTGTCTGTCCAATCCAACTGAATCCGTTGAGGTGGTGTTATTTATCCCATTGTGCTCCGCCAACTCTTCTTGCGCATTGGTTATGCATGGGCGGTCAGAGCATCGGCGTTACTTTCTGCGGCATGTTGTGTTGTAGCCCTTGTTACCGTAAAGAAAGAGGGTTGTAAGAAATGCTCTGGGTGGATAGGTATCAAGATGTTCAAGGATGCATGCTTCATGCTGCTCGCTACTGGATCCTTCTTTATCTGCCTCGGTAAGAAAACAAATCCTTTCGCGAGGCTACAGCTAACAAGGGTAACCAAGGTATATATACACCATTCTTCTACATCGTAAGCTACGCCGAGGATCGAGCACTGGTTTCTCAGAATACTGCGTTTTACGTTCTGTCAGTAATGAATGCTGGAGGCGTATTTGGCCGCATTATTCCCGCGATCCTCTCCGACAAGATGGGGCGATTCAACCTCCTTATACCCACCTCCTTCTCGGCAGGCCTCTCGTGCCTCATCTTTTGGATGCTTGCAAAGACGATGATCGCTGTGATGGGTTTTGCGGCGGTATATGGTTTTCTATCCGGTGCATTCATATCCGTCGTTACTCCGTGCGTCGCACAGATATCAGATATAAAAGAAATTGGGTCTCGAATAGGTGCACTGTATACACTTATATCCATCCCGTAAGATGTTGGTTAGATTCGTTTGACCTCTGCTTACTATAATTCTTCCAGCTCGCTTGTCGGTGGACCCATCGCAGGAGCTCTTATTCAATCCCAGAATGGTTCATACATGGGAATGATTGGGCTATCGGGATCAAGCATCATCATCGGGTCATTGTTTATTCTAGCTTGCAGGCTCAAGATAAACCGAAACATCTGCGTAAGAGTGTAGCGAGTCGCATGCATGCAACCCTCGTATCCTTATTTTCTAAGTTTTGCGACTGGGAAAATTGCGCTTTGGGTCTTGCAATGCTATGTATGGTGTAATTATTTTGTATTTTTATCGTATGCGGAATGCACAAGGTCCAGGCCTAGAGTCCCAATATTCGGAGGATATTACGTACGTATCTGTCTTGAGTGTGAACATGCAAGACACGAGTTGATGCGACGATGGGTAAAAATGGTCTGAAGCGACAACCGTCAATCGTACTTAAGTTAGCTAACTGTAAATTTCCGCAGTAAAGTCAACCTGCCTCCTATAGTCCATAACCATGAACATTCAAAATCCAAGCACTGAACGTGACTACATCCCTATTGCCGACCATGGCTTGTACGTAGCTTCCTAATCGACGTCGTACCCATGTTCTGATAAGACCCTATTACTAGGATCGGTAATCTGAGGACTGCTGCTCTGGTGCGTTAAGCCACCAGATCGTGTATTCTGAGCCTCTTTGCTGATTCCCGATGTTCGTGTAGGTCAGTCTTGATGGATCAAGTGAGTATTAGTTCTAGTTTCAAATGGTTTGGGACAAGAAGGATGCGGGTTCCAAGTCGGATGGCTTGAACAAGTGCCGGGGCCCGCTCAACCGGAGCTTTGTAGTTCCTCCATACGTGATTTATCTAATGCATATCCCCGCACAGTCGAGAGTTATTGTATCCCAAATTTCGACTCCCCCGTCCATCTTCGCACGGATCTTGGACAAAAACAAGGTTTGGGCTTTATCATAGTATTCAGGGGGGTTTCCTGATCGTTAATGAGGCTTATGGTAGGGCGGCCATTTCTCCATCACACCGACCGTTCCTTTCAGCACCAAGCACAACTACTTGCCGAGCTCAAACGTGCTACAGACCAAGTATGTTTTTATCCTTATCCATATGCGAATCATGGCTGAACATGGACAGGTTTCTCAACGAGAAGGGCGTAGTTAGTGTCACCGGTAAGTCTCTTATGTCAATTGTACCAACAATTGCGGAATTTCATCGCATGCATCCAGACTTCCTTCCCCGCCTAGAGAATGGCGAATCTACGCATCCGTTAATGTTTTGGCTCGTCAGGCGTGTCGAGGTGAGTCTCTCCAACATCCTACTCAGGCTTTCTATCACGATCTTTACTTGTTAGGTGGTCCGCGGTACTGTCCCGCTGCGCGTCGAATGCGCTCCCGCCTTCAACTATGCTCGGGACCCCCACGCTACCCAAATTGTCCCCGACGATACCATTCCACTCCAATTTTCCAAACAAAACAAAGTCGTCTTCACTTCGAGGCCCGCTGCCTCCCCATATCTTGAGAAGGGCGCGGGCGCTCAGAACACGGCGCATAGCCCGCTCACGCTTGACTTGCGATTCCTTCCCGAGTCTTTGCTTGAGAATGTCCCTGTACCTGAGGTTTCTTTGAAGACCCTGAATCTCAGTGCAAAGGGTCACCTGGGCTTGGCCGCACAGACAGAATTGACGCTCGTAGAGGGTCAGCGGGTGACGTTTGTGTTGCGGATTGCGCCTGAGCATAAAGGTAACAGTGGGTCGGGTATAAATGAAGAGCAAGCAGAGCTGCTAGGAGTTAATTATCAGAGTGAGCACTTCTAGTCATTCTATATTAGATTGGCGTTCATGGCAAGTAGAGCTGATGGCGGGTGCACACAAGATGAGGTCAAAGGATGATCCTGTCATGACCAGCGTGGGTTTTGGTGACCATCAAATTTTGAGCTTGCTGAAGCTCCCTTTGTAGGAACTCCTCGACCATCTGTTTGTCGTACGTTCCCTTGCTTGAATATCGCTTAGTTTCTGTTTTACCTGCTCATCTGCCCTTGCAGTCTACCAATAATTACTGGAACTCTTGGGTCAGGAAATCCACCTACCAGGGTTCGTGGAAGGAGGCTGTGCACCGAAGTGCATTGGCGTTAAAGTTGCTCATATATGAACCCACTGGCACGTGTTCCGTCTTACGTGCACGTCTAGCCTTTCTGTATCCAAGTGCTAACATTACTTCTACGTCTAGGCGCCATTGTCGCGAGCCCGACATTCAGCTTGCCCGAATACATCGGCGGGACTAGAAATTGGCACGCTTATCCTTCTTCACGTACCTCAATTTCCTCACTAACATACGATATATAGGGACTACCGGTATGTATATATCAAGTATTCCTCATAATTCGATGATTCATGTCGTACCACTCATGCAGGGCCTCTTGGATTCGTGACTCTTCGTTCACACTATATGCTCTGATTAGACTGGGGTTCACTCAGGAGGCTAATGGAATGTCTGTTCCCTACGCGTTGCGATCAGTCCGCGCTGACCTCGTTCATAAACAGCGTATATGGACTTCATCTTTGAGCGGCTGAAGAACAAGAACCCAGATGGTTCCTTACAGATTATGTACGTTTTTGATCTCTCTCAGATCACTTCGTAATCTGATTGTACATGAAGGTACACGATCCATGGTATTTCTAATATGACGCGATTCACAAGGTGACTCTGATCGCCCTTCTGCAGGTGGCAAAGATCTGGAGGAGATAGAGCTTCTCCATCTTGATGGACACAAAGGTTCTAAGCCTGTTCGGTTCGTCCCGTCTATCATCTACGTAGCACTCGTGATCTGACTAATGCCCAAAGTATTGGCAATGGCGCGGCTGATCATGTCCAACTGGTACGTATTGTTTGTAGCTGCGGTATACTCTCGGACGTTGATTTGGCTGACAGGACATTTACGGTGAATTGTAAATTTCCACCTATACTCCTTAGTTGGTCAACACTGATTATAGTGGAGGATGGATTGTATTTACCTCGGACAGAAGGTGTGTTGGTAGTCCAATCTAACATAAGTCCATCTAATATTATTTACTTTCAGTTCGGTAGACCATTGGTGAGTCTTGTCTAATACTCTTTGTGGTATCGGTATCAATATCTCAATTACCCTGGAAGTCATATGACACATGGTGCGTATTTGATCAGGCCATAGGCGGCCACACTGACTAGCTTATATTTGATTGAAGGGTATTGGTTCGGGAACTGTGAGTATTCGGGGTGACGGTTGCATACGGCTACTGATTCGGCTCTCATTCAGTGTAGACTGTGCGTCTTTTATGATTTTTATTCTCCGACGCACAACCAATGCTTCGTAGTCGTTGTCGCAAACTACAAGAAACCCGACTTGTGCGCCTCATATCTTTTCTCCAACTATCCGATGACTGAATACGTATCACAGATCCATATGGTCAGTACGCGTCAGGAAGGAGTGTTTTGAGGCTAAGTGTCAATGTCCATATTGCAGGGAAGTCCGGGGCAAGGAGCGCCATTTCACAGTGTGTATTCCCACCGCTACTTAGAAAAGCTGGCGCTGATTCATGCTTTTGTTGTCAGTACTCAAAGGTGAGTTTTTACTGTTAAACTGGACAATTTTAATATGTCGTACGGAAGATTATGCTCTGGTATGTCACATAGTCCCGAATTGACACAGCAATGTTGATTGGCTTTACAGGGTTGCAATTGATAGAGGTACGAGTCACGGACCACATTGTGCACTCACATGTTGATGAACATGCACTTGCACAGGTCTTCGCCTGGCGGACAAGCGTTCTCTCCCTTGTCCTCGCCGCCTAGAGTGGCTTACCGCACGCGATGATCTTTACGAAGAAATCATGCACAAGGCATGGAACAAGGACCTGCAGGTCTTCGGGCAGAGTTATGAAGAGACAGACGTGCTTGATTCATCGGTGCTCATTATGCCCCTCGTGTTTTTCATGACGCCGGTATGTTTTAAACCCTTATACTGTCTGTTCAGGGAATGTTAATGTTAATATGTCCATGAAGTCTGACACACGGTTTGTGAGCACACTCAAGCAGATTCTCAAGACGCCTGAAAGGGGAGGATTGACCTCTAATGTGAGTCACACCTCAATTGATTTCACAATTAACATGCTGACTGTGGACCAGAACCTCGTCTACCGGTATGATGTGAATAAATCTGATGATGGCGTAGGAGGTGAGGAAGGCACGTTCTGTCTCTGTACGCTGTGGTGCGTCGAGGCTCTGACTCGTGCCGGCGAGTACGAGAGGCCACTTTTGCAGCGTGCTGTGGCGATGTTTGAGGTGTGTTCTATTTTTCTCGAACCTATTAGGTCCAACGATACTAGTACTGAACGTGATGAAGGACTTCCTGTTGTATTTAAATCACGTGGGCTTGTGCAGTGAGGAAATCTCGGAGTCAGGCGATGCGTATGTGAAATTCAATTCTTCTTCGAGCTGTGGGTCCTGAAATATTCCTGCTACTTTGAAAGGCTTGGAAATGCCGTCCAGGGTTTCACGTACGTTCTCGTTCGTTCTTTCTGACTTGTGTTCACAGTTCTGTATAGCCATGTGACCCTCATTTCCGCGGCGTACAATCTTTCGAGGACACTGGCAAATCAGCGATCCGTGTAGAAGTTGAAAAGAAATCCACGTAGATCAGCGCGACCCTAATTGTTGTACTTGTAGCCGTCTTGCATGCCATTATGTAATAGATCAGATCATATGGAAGCTCGGACCAGACTGGCTATCTCTTCCTTTGTGTAAAGAGATTGCAGCATACCTTGAAAATTGCATTGAGCCTACGGCGCTGACCCTTTGAAACTGCCGCTAGTAACTTTAACTTCTTTATCAAAGAACGAGAGATTCCACAAATGCGTAAAGATACGAATATTAGAGCTAAGTGCAGGAGCGCAGTTAGGTAGACTCCGATTATAAGGAACGACAGAGGACGGAACAACGAAATGTGCAAGATGAGAAGTTAATGCTGATGAACACTTGGTTTTGAGGGTAAAGGTGATATCATAGGATATGACATGAAGACTTCTTCCTACACTCCAGCGGTATGCATGATCAAAAAGTTTCCTCTTCATCGACAGGAGCATTGTCGGGAACTTCAAACCCATCCTGCTCAGGCCGGTGAATTTCGGATAAGCTAAAAGAAAGATGAAAATCATTATGGAGGTGGTGCCTACCTCTGTTGAGTAGAGGATCTTTTGAATCTCTTTTAGGTTGTCATCTTCCTTGCCTTGACTCTCCAGTGTCTCTGTTTGTTGCTGAACGAGGATCTCGATATCCCGAAGCTGTACAAACGTCAAATCGTGTGTCCGATAGGATGGGTGCCGGCATACCTTTGCAAAATAGAAGTCTCTTTCCTTCTCTAGGCCTTCCATGTGCGTCGACATCTCGCGGAGTTGGGTCTGCAATGCCTGCATGGCTTCATTGGGTTGCGTAGAGCCTGCCCGATGTCCGCTGATAGGCGTCTTTCCGCCGGATCGACCGCCGACGCCCAGAACGGCACTTGCGCTGCGCGCCCCAGTCGAAAGCGGAGCAATGGTCGCTGGTGGTTCAGCTGGTGCACCACGCCTACGTCCAACCGCGTCATAGCCCTGTCCGCCGTAGTTAGAATCCCAGAATCGCTTCATCCATTGCAAGAACTCTAGATTGTCCCTGATGATGCGTACATGGTCAGTTCGGGTAACAACATTGTGGGCTCCATAAATCAACGCACTGCATCTTGCATTTGACGAGCTTTTCGATGGGTATGGGCTACATTAGAAGAACGAATAGTGAGTTTGATTAACGCGTTGGCGTGATGAAAAACACGCCTTATCAATCTTCTTTGCTTTGAAGACGTTTTGCATGACTTTGAAATTTGCGACAAATTCGTACTCGTGCTTTGCGTTCATTTTGACTCGCGCCATTGGAAGATCGCCTGAAAAATAGCTTTAGAAATCATGACAAGCCGACCTCCAAAAGTGATCTGGTTGAAGTTGATGATGAGGCTTGCACGAACCATAGATGGAGTCAAGGATTTGACAGTAGGCTCCTCCGGTACCACATTGTTCAATCTTGGTATAGTTCAGCTGGAGAAGCTCGTTCAACCAAGCTAGCAGATCTGAGCGCGAAACAGCCATCATGATTTGGATGCAGAAATGTCCAGTGAGTGGAGAAAGCAAAAAGCGTGCAGAGGTTACGAAATCGTCTGCAAAGGACGAAAACGTGTGGCTTCGATTCTTGGGTCCGTCTGTCTTCCTTCTTCAGTGCCACGCATTGCTCTCACTCTTGATCACGACTACTCATCCTCTTGGGCGATCTTCCGGATACATCATCACAGCGGTAACCGTTTATTCAGGTGAAATTGTTTATTATGCCACTGTCATTTTCTGACCTGCCACATCCGGAGCCAGGTTGACGTCCCCTTGGACCTTATTAGACATCTGGACCTTGGTCCATCCGGAGGATATCGTATTTTAAATTTCAGTCCCATCGTACGTAAATTCCAGTGTCGAGGTGGGGCTGGTTAGCTGACATGCATACACGCGACTTCAACGTTTGTCGCGATTAGTAGCAGCTGGTATTTGATGTCAAATATAACAACAATGGCACTGCCTCCTGAAGCATGTCATCGAATCATCCATTGGACACGTCGATGCGATCTCACTGCGCTGTGCCTGACCAGCAAGTTGCTTCAGAAATCTGCAGAGATCAAGCTATACGAGGTTATCATGTCCGGTGATATCAATGTCATTTTTCGAGCGTGCGAGAGTATCGTATCGCAGGAACGTCTGGGCCCATACGTCCGCTCCTTCTATCTCTACCTGAACGCAAGGCGCACTCAAACAGAGCTGCCTGCCCGCTTCTGGAACATGGTACAGAAAGCACTTTGGAAAATGCGTTGTCTGGACGTACTTTACATCGATGATCCAGCCCGTGCCAATTCTTGGATTTTGAATGACATCCAAAAAATTCCGTTTCAGCTCCGAGAAGCAAACTTTCGCCTCCCGTGGAATCGACACATCATAAAGTTCCTGGAGAGCCAGAACAAACTTAGGCAATTCCATATTTCGGGTGGTATAGATGAAGATGCTCCACAATTTGAAGATGGTAGCTTGCCTGACCTGTGCACCTTCGACGGGCACCTCGCTTCAGCCACGCAGTTACTTTCTATTCCTTGCTGCCTTCGCCATCTTCGCATACCTTTGGATAGAAGCACTAACAAGCAACTTTTGGAATTTATTCCCAATCTTTCTACCATCTCGCGAACTCTCCGTTCACTGAATATCATTCATATTCCCGAGGATTTGTCGGTGGAAGCGATCAAGCTCATCTCGTTTGTGTGCCCTGACCTTCATTATGTTGGGATTATCCCATTACCAATGACTTTTCCCCACGTAAGTCGAGTTCTTTACCTCTTTTATATAGCTTATCTTTATATCATTACCTTAAGCGCAGCATGATTCATGACGCTCTTTTGGCTATGCATAACCTACGAGATCTCGAAGTCGATGTATCACGATGGTCGCCTCTGCCTAATACAGGTTCACTGCAACGCATGCTTGCAACTGAACTACACACATACTGCTCTTCTTTAGAGCACGTCATCCTCCGCACAGGAAGCAACCGAACATTGTGGTCCTTCGACGGAAATGAGTGGAATATTCGTTCTGAAAACGGGCAGCATCTGCTCGTCGATGGACTATGGAAGAATAAATGATGTACTACAGCATGCTTTCAGTTGAGATCTACTTACGTGACGAAAAATTGTAATCACCAAGTGAGTTCATCGCCTTGGTGGTGCTTACATGCATGTTTACATGACCTAGCCACGCTGATACACACCCGGCGGATGTATTATAGAAATGCTTGCGAAACACACGCTATGCTTATGTATTCCGCCTGATTTGGTAGGGAGTTGTCACCTCCGAGTCAGAACATTCTTCATAGGATGCGGCATTTCCAGGGCGAATGACTACGAGTACGCATGAAACAACGTGGCCTAGACCTAAATTTGTTCAAACCGAGTTAGCTTTTGCTGCATACGTCTAGCCCCTCACTCCGCCCTTTGATCGCCTTTGCACGGGGAATTCATAATATTGACAAGATTCCCGTTTCATGGTCCAGTCAAGTTGCATCATGGTTCGGTAATATCCGCGCCAACGCTAAGCTACTGTGGCAATACCGGCGTTCGCGAGAATGATATAAACCTTGACTCGTAACAAATTTTTATCCAAGCAAACGTGATTTCTTATGCAGTACCAGCGTACCAGCTCTAATTCATCGATGGCATACTCGGACAGGTCGATCTCATCAAATTCCTCTGCATCATCCCCTCCTCCTCAGCTTGTTGCATTACCGTCCATGACCCACTCTCTGGCGGCCCTGCCGACCATGTCTGCGGTGCCACAAGATATGATGCATTATTCGAATTCAGGGTCGCATAGTAGAGCGAAGGCAAGTTCTTGAAGTTATACTTTGCGCAGCGCACAGCTGATGCAGTTCTAATAGATGGAGTATGCCATGCAAAAGCAGAGGCAACATGGGGCCACGCATCCCTTTGCAGCGCTCAACGTACGCTTGACTTATCATTCATCCTTATAGATAGATTTTAACACGTGTTCTTTCAGGCACATGATATGAGACGTACACCCAGTCCGTCGTGCGAAGATGGGCATATTACTGTCAGAAGACCAACCAATACTAGACGCTAGACAGCGATGCGATTGTGTAAATCCTCATCCTGATAGGCTGTCCACACCCGCACTGATCATGACTATCTCCTTAGACACGCGGCCGGCCGCTAATTTGTTCAGTTGTTACTGCGCCGCCACCGCATGACGGGATGGCTATGTATGGGGACGACAGGATCTATCATAACATGGGCGTTAATTTTTGGACTTTATTACTATTCGCGATCGAGGGATATCAAAACAAAAGTACTGCGGGTTTATCAGGACATAGTACATTCTAATGTATCTATATTTTATATACATCATTGTTCGTTACAGTACGGGTGTATCGCAGGCCGGTCCAGTAGGGTCTTATGACATGTCACCGTCCGTTGTCAACGAGAACGTTCTCACTCCACAACCTGGAAGAGCTGAAAGTGGATCAGTAGACGGCGGTGCGCCGGTAAACTTTGAAGTGCGATCTCAGCGGTGCAAGATCGTGTCTAGTATTGGCGGATCATCGACTTGACTCCGCCTGACTGCGGCAGAAGCTCCGAAAGCCAATAGAATTGGAAGAAGGCAGTTTGATGAGGTCTTGGTCATTAAACTGAGTAATCTCATCCGAACATTGCGGCTAATACCGTCGAGCGCTCGAGCGCTCATTGATGAACCATCTGGAAGGAACGCCACATCCGATGGACGGAACAAATTTTGGGGTGCGCTATACGACAACTGTTAGTCTGTTACGGCAATTTCTTGTGCAACGCACACGTGAAATGGTCTGGAACGTGTGGGTGGTGCTGGTCTCCCTAGAAATCTGACAATCGTTTAAGATATTTCAAACTAACTGAATGGGCGCAATGAAAAGGAGGCAGGAGGTGCCAATAAAAAAAGTTATTCCAAGCTGCAAGGAAACACGTTTACTATCCGGGGCCGAATCTGGGGTATAGAGTTGAGGTGAAATGCAGAGGCTAGTCTCGTCTTGAGCCACATTGGCAGGCGAACAGAAATGTAGGCCAGACCCGGCGGTGAAGTGGCTACGAAGGAAATTTAAACCCAGAAAAGCAGAACGGTGCTTGATTGGACCGGAGGGTGTCACCGAAGCTTGATAAATCGATCGATGGTGGGGTAAACTGATGGACATCGCGCCCAACACGGTCGGGCGTCGTGCCAAGCTATAAATTGTTTGTTATTGTTTACAGATGTTTGACAAAGACTTCAGAATCAAACAACCACCTCCGAAGTGGCAACTTGTTCAAGACTCTTCTATGACCCGATATTTGAATCGTTGTGAATCAAGTCCTGGCTCTTCACTGTAATGCTCCTTCCTCTCACATTCCAGGCCTATGCGAGCATTCAGGATGCTAGCGGCCCTTCAATAAACCTCATTGAGTCTGACTTTAACTCGGAACAGACAACTTCATTCGTATCCTGGAGAGCCGAGAATGGTTGGGATCGTATTGCTGTCGGAAGCTCCAAGGGCTCCATTAACGTCTTCAGCTTCCACCCTATCAACACTCCAAATTCGGACTCCCGTCTAAGACTTGCTATCACACCACCTCCTGAGCACAATGTACCCACCGCTCAGTCTCCATCCCCTTCACACTCTCGTCGGCACTCTCGATCACTCCAGTCACCTTCGTCGTTATCATTTAATCAAGTTCTTATCAATGTATCCGCCAGAGCTCGAGTGGTTTCTGGCGTATCACACGAACAGGTAGAAGCCCCAAAGAATTACGTTGACTTCGAAGACGAACCCGGACGGTTGAAAGACATACTCAAGAGCAACAGCAAGCACAAGCGCACTCTTGCAGATTCAATCCTTCCTAGCTTTGATAGAGGAGTGGTAATAGAGCAGTCACCTGCTCCAGCCTCTCCAACGCCTCTGTGCACTTTGCCGAACTCGCCTTCGGGAGCTTCTAGTACGAGCAAAAGTAAGGATGATCTCAGATCGCTGCTTTCAGCGACAAATTCCCCTACGTTTCCCCCGAAATCATCTTCGGCACCGCCCTCCCCTCGTCCACTATCACCCTTCGATGGCTCACCGCCTCGCGGAACAGTTAAAGCAAGCATCATCCTTGACCCCTGCGGACCTAGGCATGCAGTATCTGCCATGCGGTATGTAGAGACAGTCAACTTATTGGTGGTCCTTCAAGAATCAGGGTGCGTTTTATCACCACCAACCTACATTGCTAGACCATTGAGCCTCCCAGCAATCTATCTGCCTTTGACATGAGGGACAGCACGTGTGTAGCAACATGTCAATGTACGACCACAAGATTATATCAGGATCAGTTCTGGAAATGGGAGACGATTCGGATGGTGCCCGGGTGGGACGTACGTCGTTTTGTTGTTATTTTGTGCCTCTGCAAAGTTCATTTGTACGTCGATGTAGCAAACATACCTCATTCTGGCATGTGCATCACCTTCGCAGCCTCCTTTTGCAGAAACATTTGGCCTTGCAGATGAACCTCGTGATTTCAGAGCGCGTCTGAACTTGTTTGAGCTTTCTGTTGGGGACCCACATGGTGTACATCCAACAAGATTAGAGATGCTCGCCTCCGATGTATGGCAAGTCGATGGGCCAGCCGCTGGAGTAGATTTACTTAGGAATGATGCCGACGGTAGGACGTACCTTGCTGTTTTTGTATCATTCATCCTATCTTCTTTGAAGGTTCATCTCAGCTAGTGTACATTAACTCAACAAACTGCCTTGTCACTCGGTGTTTGACTATCATCCCCGCATATGAAATACGAACTCGCGGACTGTCCTTCACCTCTTCTTCGGCTCATTCTCAAGAAGATAATACGTTATTGGCGATCCCAAACCCGTTCAAAGTGTTTGGTAGCAAAAGTGTCGAGAGTGTTGCTCTCCCAGGTCAAAATCATAATTCTGGAGTAGAGCAGGAGAATATCTCTCCCACAATCGCGACATGTAATCTTGGGCGAGTCCAGCTAGAGAAAGAAGAATCCCATGGTACCGTGATCTCATCTTCAGAGTTTTTGGTTGAAGGCATTACTGCCCGTTATGATGGTTTGAATGAGAGGATTATAGGTCTCGTGTGGTCGAATACGGATATCACGGTCTGTCTTTGGATCTCATCAAATACTGCTCAAAGAACTGAAGGACCTGTTCAAGGGATTCACTGCAGGAGAGCAAGAAGGATCTCTTACAACTTTCGCCATTCCTTTCAGAAGCCGGGGTAAGGTTCAAGGTGTCCATTTCATGAATGACGAAGCATTTGTGGTGCTTAGTGTCAGTACACCCTGGGATGCTACTCAGTCAAACGCTGAATTAGGAATGCGTTGCAGGACACAATCTCTTACTACAGTTTGCAGTGTGTTGATGCCGATAATGACACTACAACTACTTTTTCTGGAACGTCGATAAGTACTCAGTATGTATTTCCCCATATTCTGCAGTCAAGAGCTCACTGTAAGAATCGCAGAGCAATTCAAACGATGACTATTTCTAGCGGCCCTTCATCGGTGCTATCGTGGTCAAGATCCTCCCCTTACGATGTCTTTGCACTCAGGCAGCTTCGATCAGGGAAGGAGATCTTGGTCCATACTATTAATTCCAGGCAGGATGTATCGACCAAGCCCCAGCACCGGATACTGTGGAAAGTACAGAGTCCGTTTAGTGGTACCATCCCAGGAGAAGCAAGATTGACATCTGTTCTGCCCGTGGAACTCAACTTTATCTTGCTGGGTTACAGTCGGTGCTGATTGCGCTTTCAAAGTTCTGCCTCCTAATGCTGGGTTCCAGGTGATGGCCACATTCGACGAACTTCATTACCGTGCCTTTTGCGGCGAAGGCACCAAGCACAATCTGCGTCTCTCTCCGCCTTTTCTTCCATATCTGGCAGTGATGTGCTATTTGACAAAATATCAGACATGAGCTTGCCCTCGTCGATATTGAACATGCATCTTATACGAAATGACCGTACGGGCGAACGATATATCTTAGGAGGAACAGATGATGGTGGCATTGCTATCTGGGCATTAGAGTGCGTATACCACCTGTACTGACGGGCTATGGCTCAATTGGACATCCACCAGATCCCTAAAGCTTCAGGCGCGATTTACTCCGTTTATCGTACCTCTGACGCGTGTAGCGCAGGTGCTACAATCCAATGAAAATGCAGGACCTTTACGGGGATCGTTACTATGCGTCTCAGCTGATGGAACTATTGCTGTAGTATCGATAGCAGGCTTCGAAATGTGGGCTTCAATTGACCAGATACCACTTCTGCGACTTACGAACTTGATCTAGGCTTTACCTCATTCCTGGAGCATCCTCTCCAATAGCTCGCATCTATGCTGGTGGGGATGACAACAACCGTGCAGTATTAATCTATGCAGATGGGAGTGCGCGTGTCTGGGATATTGAGTCTGGCGAGTTTCTTCGTGCTACGACCGAAGACAAAGCCAAAGAACTCGTCGATGTTGGTGGCTGGATTAACATGTAAGTCACATACTGCAGGCTCGGTACAGGCCCTGATGATGTCTCAAGCTCCCTCGACAAGGCGGAGCTGACCTCAATCTCCATTTCAATGCTTAGTGGATCTGCTGGCCCTGTTTCATGTACGTGTTTCATTTCATCAGGTTACTTTAGGATGTGGCAGTGTTAACGATATCTATTCCCTTAAGTGTGCACCCTGTTGCTGAGTCTAGATCGCTTTCTTAAGTACACTTCCGTAAACGTTAAGTCCTCGGGACTTGCATTGTCATCGTCATCACTATCATCTTCCCCTTCAAACGCTACACTTTTACAGCTTCGTGCTGTATTGTCCGTGTTACTGACGCCCGGACTCAGTCCTGACATAGACGAAATCTGCGAAAATAGGCTTGGCACCAGCCCATCACCGAGCACGGTAGGATTTGCATCGTATGTCAATTGTCATTCTGCGTCTGGATAGAATCATTTAGGTCACACATTATGTCCAGTGCACTTGCCACCACCATTTACCACCATGATCACCCTGTTCAAGTTTGGTCAATGTCAGCAAAAGTTTCTGCCGATCGCGTCCTTGCGATCGTCTCAGTCTTGAGGACTTTGTCACTTGCCGAAGGTTTGTGTGTTTCATTGATGCTGCATCATCCGCCTCTGAATCAGCTTATCAGAGCTGTCGCACGACTGCCAGACAGTCATAACATTCTACTCTACCTCCCTAGCCCACGTAGTAGGTGCATCATACCAAGCTCCGGATGTCGCGTATTTGGCTACCCAGTGGCTCAACTCCTCCAGTGGGTCATCTACCGTCGTCTAAAGGAACTTTGAATAAAGCATTTTGGTCTTGCAGATGACGTCCGACAAGCTGCAAAAACTCTTTTTGATGCAGGGATTGTGCGTCTTTCCGATGAAGAGAGCAGTGCCCTTGTTGATGCATGGCAACACCATCGTAAGCTGATGCACATCTATATCATTTAGGAATCATTTGACATCCATGTAGTGCCATGCTTGCAGCCTTCCATTGAAAAGGAATCCGCGAAATCTTCACTCGCTTTATTCATCTGCGGATACATGGCAGCTGAGAAATACAGTCTATTGTCCACCAGGTAACAATAACCTTCTCTTCGTAGTAGCCAACCTCAATGACTTCCTAGCTCACTCATCGATATCTCCAAGTCCATCGCGTTGTATTTGCACGACGAATCATCCGCGTACCGTGGTTTAGCCATTGACTTATGCGCACGCGGATTTCAGATATGGCAGCATTACATCGATGCTATGGCGATGCTCCGCGCATTATACACTCTCGCTCCAAATACACGCAAGGAAACTATCCCAGCTCAAAACATCGGGCCCCAAGCAAGATCGGCAGTCTTGCAAATCGCATCGAGTAACACGCCTTTGTTCATGACCACGCTTACGCTAGACATCCTCAATCCAAAGACGCTGGACCAGCGCAAGGCAGTTATGCAACTGGTAGCGTTCATGATCAGGAAGGTGCGTGTCGTGACTGTATAACGGTCCGTTGGGTTTCTGATGTTCAATGCTATCATCAGAGACCCCTAATTCTGTACCCAAATCTCCCGAGGTTGATGGAGGCCGTGGTCAAATCACTAGATCCTAATTCCACAGCGAGCCGGGACGCCGTGCTTGATAGTGCAACCGAGATCATCGGCCATGTGGTGAAGACGTGAGCCGACTTTCCATAGACTTCTATCATATGGTGACCCTGTAATTCGACCAGGTTCCCCACAGTCGACTTCCACATGGCGACTCAACGTCTTGCCGTCGGAACGAGTGAAGGCGCTTTCATCATGTATGATCTAAAGACAGCAACGCAGCTGTATGTTCTCGAAGGACATAAACGGCGACCGGCGGCGTGTACATTTTCACCTGACGGACGCCGCCTCGTGACTGTGTCCCTTGAAGAAGGCGTTGTGCTTGTCTGGAAAGTTGGCTCAAGCTTCACGAGTTTCTTTAATCCTGGAGCTCCACCCAGGCAAGGTCATGGTGGATCTTTGCCTTTCAAGACACTCAATTTCAATGTTGGCGACGAAGGTATGTCGTGGCATATTCATTTCCTATCTTTGCTCACGCAATCTTTCTAGCTAACATGACTGTTGCGGGCACATTGGAGTCGGTGAAGTTTGAATGGCCGGCCGAACGTACCGTCCGCCTTCATATCCGAGAAAGCGTCCTAACGTTTAGTACCTGACCCACGGAATGTCATTGCCGCATTGACATTGTTGTAATGTTACCGACTATTCGCGAAAATCAAGTAAAAGTTCGAACTCTCAAGCTGTCAGGTCGCATGCGTCAGGCCTAATTGCACACCAATAAGGCTGAAGTGCAATGGGTTTGAGCCCGCGCTGTACCATCCTGAAGCGGAGGTCCTGGATTATTCGTGTGCGATCAGTCATCGGAGCAATGAACTAGAAGTAGTACTGACTTGTAAGCGAGGTAATGCCTCTGTGACGTTCAATGGGGCGCCAGTGGGTTGCTTGCCGCTCCAGAAAATCTCTGCTGAAGATGCAGCACGGGGCCACACGATAGGGTCGAGATTATCGGGACCTGACTGCTCACTCCACAAAAGTTGCTCGCCTGCGAATTAGAAAGTGTCATTTAGCATTATCTCGAAACTTTGTCGAGCGCGTTTACCTCCGAGAACGAATTTGTACTGTGCCTCTGTTAAGTTTGCTAAGGGATCGAAGGTGTATGCCTAAGATGTTATGAGATATATAGTCATCAGAAAGAATCATGAGGCAGTACCTCAGACCAGGTCTTGAAGGGGTCGCACCAGCTATTCCTATCCTCCCAAGACATGTCAGTTCAGATTGAACAATCGATATGATGAGAACGAACAAAGTTGGGTCAGCTCCCAGCCATCCACCAGCACCACAATCCTATGATGATACGATAAGGATATCTTAGCTGTAGGAAGAACACAGGAACTAACCAAGTAGAAGTAGTTAGATGGGGCTTGGACAATCCTGAAACCTTTTTCTACCACTGCTGCAGCATCCTCGGAAGAAATCCAAATCCTGTCAGGTATATTTGGATCAGACGAACCCGATAATACTATCAATATGCTCACATTACGATAGTTTCATTGGAGAGTGTAATGTTCCAGTCGAGGACCATCTCTGAGTAGCCGGTTTCATCGAGTGCCATAATCCGAAAGGAGAAACGGACGGACCTTCCCACACGATTGGTGTCTTTCCCTCGGCGATAATTGCAGCATGCGTCGCCTGCGTAAACGTGTTCAGAGCATCGTTCAACGTTGTGTTCGTGCTATTGAGCTGTAGTTGCGTGGGATAGTCGTTGGCGTAACATGGCGTATTCAGTTCATCGCCCCCAGTACTGAAGTAGTATGAAGGCAGGTCACTTGCGATGTCTGCAAGCAATGAAGCAGTGAAGTTTACAACCTCGGGAAGTGCGAAACGAAGCTGGCCGGCGGGGGGCTCGTTGGCATATGTGGCCCAAGGAGTTTCATCAAAGCACGCAACATAGTCGGGGTAAGTAGCCGCGATTATGGAAGTGTGGCCGGGTGTATCAATTTCCTGGTAAAACAATGAGGCCCCTTCGTAAAGTTGACTATCAAATACAAACCATCACAACATCGATACCTCTCTGCGAGATGGCCATAAGCGTCTAAAAATATTGATGAAGAAAAAACATACTGCACCAGCATACTGAACGATGTATTGGACATCACTCGCGGTGTAAACTTCAAGCGGAGAGTATGCGCCGTTGATAGCAAGTTCGGGATACTGCGCAACTTCAAGCGGGAAACTCTGACTGTCTGTGATGTGCCAGTGGAAGGTGTTGATCTATCTAGCCTGTGAGCGATTGCAAGACGACACATCAGGAAAGCACTCACCTTGACCCAGCTCATCGCGTCCAAAGTTCGCAGAATATCTCCAACGGGGTAGTAGTTTCTCGCGGTGTCCAGGGCGAATCCTCGGAAAGGCTACATGTGTGGGTTTCAAGCAGATGACATCAAAGATATCAGCTCACATATGCAGGAGTGTCCGTAATGGCAATCGGGGCAAGCAAAGTGTATGTTACTCCACCGTAGTAGTAGAAGAGTTGATTAAAGGTAGTGAGCCCTCTGTACAGACCCAACGTCGAGTTCGCCACCAAAGTAGCAGCCGAGCCGTCTGCTGGGATTGTCAACGCGTATTCCTCGCTACGAGTACCCAGGGGCTTCACAGCTTCAGAAGCAATAGGCTCTACAGTCGCCCCGCTCGTGAGAGACAGTGTCAATGTCGAAAGCGTCTTTGCACTAACAAGAGCGGAAGTGTCATTTGCACCACGGCCGACGACAAGGCGCCCAAGTTTGTCATTTGCAAGATAGTATTGCGCTTGCGCGACCGCCTCATACAGATCCTCTGGCGCGCCTTCGACCTGCACATCAAAGTAGAAGGAAGGAGAAACTGTGAGAGAAGTTGTCCCTGTCTCGAGTGTACTTGGAATGGGCCAGAGAGCCAGGACACCAGAAGGTAGAAGGCATGCCGCGACAAGCGCAAGTACGCCAACGTAGCGAGAAGGAGCCATTAGTACCGCGCGAGTCAACGACGCGACTAGTCCAACTGCGCCTGTTTATAAAAGTTCAGCTAGAGGATCATGTGAATGCGTAGCATGCGGGTACGTGGCGCTAAAAATATTCGGATTCGCCGTTGTGAGAGTGGGGAGAGTTACGTGATAACCTGGAAAGCCACTGCACTAGTAGTACCTGGTTTGCCTTAGTAGGCAGTGTCAACCATTGATCATGGACTTACAATAGGATACTGAGGACAGACACTTAATGTGCCTTACAGATTTGAAAGAAATAAGTTTCCATATCGCGTATGGCTTAGTTAGGTTGGTAAAGTTGAGCTCGGGCAAAGGCTATGAAAGGTCTCTGCGAGAATGGATGATGGCGTGCCTCGTACAAGAGCTATGTGTGTATGCTGGCCTCTTAGAGCTAGACCACTGCTTTGGGACTCCTGGCCCAACGTCGCGAGCATGATATTTTGAACGCGTCTGTGGCTGCACAAATCACGTGAGTCTGAAACACCTTTCCGGAATCCGCAAGTCTAAGCCAAGGACGCTTGTAGTCGTATGCGTCAATGCGGCAAGGAACAGGTACGTGGAAATTAACGCGCAACCGCAGATATCAATTGCAAACCTCATGGCTAAAGAAACAATCAATACACGATATCATGACAGCTCAAATCAGCGAGTGAAAAATAAGTGCTATTTACGAAAATAACACTCCCAAACAGTTTGCGCTCCCACAATGACACTCCGCGTAGACCGCATCTTTACTCTTTCTCGCATTTTTGGCCTTGGATATCTGAAAAGACAGTCAGTTTGATCGGATTGGGCACCTGTAACGAGTGGCTTACCGTGTCATTATCGATGGCGCCAATGTAGGAAAAAGACAACTCCTCGGATGGTTCAACATCTCGCCTGGTAAAGACTGTCAACGAAGGTTTTTCCATGTTGGCTTCGTTGATATAGCACGGAACAATTTCACAATTCGGGTTGCAACTGTGGTTCTGCAAAAATGACGTCAGATCTGTGCAAAGACTCTAGATGAAATAGAGTTACAAGAAAACGGGTAAACTAAAAAAATCATCAGAAAGTGAAGGAACAATCGTTAGGGAAACGAACGTTTCCAGCGTGATAAGCATCCACAGAGTACGTTGCTACCGCACCCATATGATGGAAATCGATGTCGAAGAGGTAAGTTCGTCCGAACTTGTTGTATAGCCTAGCCAACAGTTAAGACCGCATGTCTCGCGCATACACTGGGCACTCACGCTCCACGACGGTCGGATTCTTCCACGGTCAGCAACTCGCCAGCATATATGCCGATAAAGGATCCCTGAGGAATCTTCTTCGGCCCATTAAAGACACCTGAAAACAGTCAATAACACCGCACAGAGAAGCAACAACACCCAAAGCGCACCCCATCCTTTCGACTCTGTCCTTTGGATATTGATAGCATATCTCCTGCCCTTCTGAACAACCTGGAAAATCGATTGGCATGACAGACAACAACGTGCAAACAAACGGTCCTTACTCGGTTGGGACAATCTTCATCGCATCCACAGAAATCATTACACTCAAATATCGGCATCTCGAAATACTGTAGAGATCCTTTGCTGTCATACAAAAACGGAGCACCATTCCAGGTGGGAGGTATAGTGCCATTGGCAATATACCGCTTAAGATGATGGCGCTGCCGCTTCGCACACGCACACGCCTTCGACTTGGGATCGCATCGCCCAACACAGCCACAGCTCTTCAGGTTTTTGATATCCGGCTCTGGAACGCCTTCGCCATACCACATCTGGTTCGTGTATACAAATTCCCAAGGCGGCGCGCCTTCATCGGTCACTTCGTTGATAACTGATATGGGAGGGGCTCCAAGCTCGTCATCCATTGCTTCATCAATCATAGCCTCAAAAAGTACGGCTGCCTGGGGCGAATTTCTGTACGACAGAGGGAGGGCATTGACGCGGTCCTGGAGCTCATGTGGAAGGTCCTTTGAGAGACGGTACTTGGGAGGCAGCCGCCGCTGTGCTTGCGAATACGAATTCCACGTCACAACAGGATATCCGCCTATATAGTATTCAACACCATCTTCGAGCTGCTTTGCGGACATGGCATCACCTCCATCTACCACGCCAGTGACGCCCAAGGAACCGGCAGACACAGGAGACTGAGAAAGCTGCCTTGAAGAAGTATGCGAAGATACCGTCCGGCTGCTGCTGATGGAAATTGGATGATCTGCATCCCCTACCTGTAATTAGAGGATAAGAAAAGGTCAGGTAGGCGCCCCGCCATAAACGAGCAACGCACCTCTGCATCTCCATCTGAAGCTTCTAATTGCATGAGCACTGAAAGGCACTCTTCGTCGCTATCTCCCGACAAACCCGACATAGGCCCTTTCGTAGTGCATTCCGCCAATGGTCGTGTTCCTATCATATCCACACCACCGTTCTCTTCAACATCGCGGTGCTCATGAACAGAGACCGGAGCTTGGTCCACGTTCCCAGCCGAAACGTCATCTACCGACATCTCCAGTGACTCCAACTCCTCGTGTTGCATCAATTCGGCAGACACCGGGATGCCTTCAAGGTACCCGTCTTCGCATGTACTCTCTAAAGGCGAAACGCCCACCTAATGAAGCATGTCAGACTGTCGACATCGCCTAGTGGATTTCATGAGGGCCGTGCGTACCTGATTGACATTGATATCTACTTCGGGGGATCGCCTGTGCTCATGTAAATCCAGCGATCCAATGCTCTCAGTGACGCCCTGCAAGCCTTCCGATGGAAGCATATCGTCCATTACGTCATCTAGGGGGACGTCCTCGTGCGCACAGGTGCTTTGGACTTCGATCTCTCCTTCCCCAGATATAGCAAACAGTGAGGTGGTTGACGTAACTCTAGGACCCTCAAGTGCTTTAGGCAACACACGAAGCTGATCATAAAGCTGCCCAGCAACATCATCGATACCAGCGCCAATACCCTGCGGACTGGGTGGCCGAACAACACGCCTGGTTCTCCGACCCTCAGAAGGAGACAACGAGGAGCTGCGCATCGATTTCTCCGCTGTAGGTGTGATAATGCGCCTGAATATATCTGCATTACACGAGGTTCTCTTTACAGTAGGTGGCGGCGTCGTCTTGGGCTGAGACCAGCCCGGGACGGGTGAGATGAACATTTCAAGGCTTGCCATGCCTATCGAGCGCTTCTTCTTGCGCGAGCTGCTCTGATTGCTGGATGATGTTGAATTGGATATAATGGAACGAGGGGGAGAGATGTCAGGAACGAGGGCGCTGATGGCGGATGCTGCAGATGAGGTGGCTGGGTTGCTGGCTGCTGAAGAGCTGCTGAGTTTACTACCGGATGGACACTGACGCATTAGATCGCGGATTTCCTGTATACTTGGTGTACGAGTCTCGACAATCGGGGCCAGTTGTCCAGGAAAGACTGGGGCAGGAAATGAAGATGCATTATTGGATATAATATGTGGAGATTCAGATTCCTGAGGCTTTGACACCATGAACGCCTGACCTACCACCACTTGGAGGAGACACGTCGTCCGTGAGGTCGATGTGTTCGCCAGAAGGATGCGACATGAAGTGCTCCTCTCGTCTGTAATTGATCAGCTCGGTAAGCGATAGTCCTTTTATGGGGCGCTGCACACGTGGTGGAATAGGGAGGAGGACGGATGAGGGAGGAGCAGTTGCTGCTGCTGCTGCTGCTGGTATGTCTGAAATGGAGATAGGGACCTTCATGGCATTAGAGTCACAGGTAGAAGGCTGGTCAGTGTGGGTTGAAGAAGCACTGATGTTGTTGCGAGAGTCTGTTTGTGAAAGCTGTTGGGCCGCCTCTACTGCAGCTTCATCTGCAAGAGGTGAAAAAATACTCCTATCACCGTCACAAGGTAGCGAGTGAACGGGTGAGGGTAATGTCACCAGATCGTAACTCGCCGTTAGGATGTTAGAAACCTGCTCATCCAGCAATGGCTTGGGTAGGTTGTTTGCTTTGAATGACCCAACAATAGCTGGTGAAGTAGTTGGGGCGGCGAAAGAGGTAGTTGTATTCGGTTCATGAGATATCTCTGTAGTGAAGGGTAGGGGTTTTTTCAATGCCTTTGCATTGAAAGCAAGCGCTCTAGCAAAGAACGGGTTGGTGGTGGGAGGGGTATAATTCCATGTGATTGAGGGTTTAGCTGTGGTGGGCACGGTAGCGTGCGTCTGGGACGGAACTTCTGGGGCAACCATTGAAATTTTGGAGCTCGATGAGGACTCTAAATGAGACGTAGTGTCGACCACAATGCGTTGAGAAGTTATTTCGACTGGAACAGTGTCACTTGAGGAAGTCCCGGTTACTTTCTCTGAGAATGGAAGGGTGGCATCGGTAAGCATGTCAGGGGCTGGAACATGTGGGTCCTGAGCAGTGTTATAGTCATTATGGGCAATCGGACTAGCAATTTGGTCAGCGAAATTTGGTTCTGGAGGGTCCAAATCAATGTATGTAAACAATTCCTCTGTTTGACGCTGGAGTTCTGATCTTGCTATTTCTTCATCAAAGTTGGACTCGGGTTCCATCAGTTCATAGTACGAGTTTTCTGGAACCTGATGCTCGAGATCGACCATGATTTCATTTTCTGATTCCATGGTTATTGGAGGCGCCGAAGGCAGGGCGGGACTGGGCTCTCGAATGGGAAGGACAGCAGTCGCTAGCGAAGGAGCAGGAACATTGTCGTCATCACTGTCAGATATGCAAATAACTTCAGCATCAGAAGGAGGTGGAAGTCTGGGGCCTGCTTTGCGGGAAATTGGCGTCTGTGAAGGTTGGGGCTGTCTTGGAGGAGGAGTGTCTGCATCTGAGCTCGAGATAATAATGGGATCATCACTGCGGGCCCTTCTTCGTCTCGCAGAACCCGAAGAGTCAGTGAGCTCGATGACGTTCGTACTGGGAAGGGGTCGACGGCGCGGAAACCTTCTGGTGGAAACTAGGTGGATACATTAGTGTTGTGGAGCGAACAGGAAGGTCACAAGGCTGACCCCTTCGCACGCGAGTAGCAGCGGAAGAAACTTCAGAACCGCCTTGTCACACCGCATACTTGTTAGTACACCGAAAGATAAATAAAGAGGGTAGACGTACTGCTGGGTTTCTGTATGGCACGAATAAGATCTGAAGTATATACTCTGCGATTTCCAGTGGTCTTGCGAGCTGTTTTGCGAGCTGTCTCTGCGCGTTTGAGCCGGGCATTGTCCTTTTGGAGCATGGTTGATATATGGTCACTCAGCGAGGAGCTTGACTGTCCACTTGACGCACGATCCTTGCCTTTTTCAGGACGCACGCGCTGTGCACGCACAGGCTGGGACAAAAAAGAAGAACGTGATGTCTTGGCGATTTTAGGAGGTTGCGTCAGACTACGAGGAGCAGTACCATTCGTTCGTTTACCAGACTGTGATACCTCAACGCGAGAAACACGTTGATTATTATCATTGAAACGTGCAAGCTTCTGAGGTCTCGGAACAGAAACAGGGCTCTCGATAGCCTTCCTCTTCCCTGGGGGTGTGTCAAAGTTATCCTCTTCGTCGTCACCAAGATCACTGACAGGGTCAGATCGTGGCGTTGGTGCAGCGGAAGTGTTTGGAGGCTCTTGCATCAAATGAGCAGCAGAAATTTGACGGTTTGGAGGATAATTACCTGGAAGGACGGTCCAACTAGGACCAGGACTGAGTCGGGACATCAGCAACTACCAAACTCGGTCAGGTATTCCGATCCAGTGCAAACCAAGCTCCGTGGGTGTGATATTTCTATGGCGTTTAGCCTTGGAGAAAAATCGAAAAATGCGATTTCAAAATCTACAGCAACCACAGGTGCGCAGTTCAAATCGTCGAGCTTGAAGGAGACTATAAACAACATGTTCGAAGCAACTCGTTGTCTGGACCTACATTATGTAAGTAGCTCATGTTTGTAAAATGCTGATCTAAATTTGGACATACCTGAACCTTCTTGGAGCGTATCCTCATGTACTGACTTTTCGCTTTAACAAACATGCCGAACTTACAGTCAACAAGTACTGATGACAATCACACCGTGAAACCGCAGCTGCCAGATAATGCCAACAGTAGCTTTGACGCCCTGATAGATCTTCTCGCATCGGATGATGTGCATGATATTGCCGTAGTGGATTCACATCCCCATCACACCATCCCGCTACGGGACGCATCTGGAAAACTAGCTTTTGATAAGATCCGGCTCATGTTTGCGACCAAAAATTTAGGTCCTGACAGAATCGACAACAAATCGTTCGATATCCGTCCAGATACTAGTGACCAATTGGAGAGTGATGCACAGGATGTATGTGCGTTCATCCCACGCGATTTTACCATTGATGGTCCCACCAGGCTCTTAGCAAAAGCGGTCTCCCCAGGTCTGCATCACCTTCAAGCCAATCCTCTGAGCGGAGGCGGCAGAGATCACGCTCAGCCTCAGCCAGTTCTTCCACACCATTGGATAAAAAGATCCAGAGTGCGAATACACTTCACTCAGCGTCTTCAGCCTACGCATCACCCTCTTCTTCCGCGGACGAGTTGGTTCGCATCAGATCTGACGAGCAAATTCGTTTATCCCAGGACGAGCTAAATGCGCAGATCAATATCATCGATTCTCTACCCCATGATAAGATACCGCTCCTTCATCAGGTACATTATAAATCGAATCTGATGCGGAATCCCAATTCACAACAGTAGGGTAGTTCTATAGAGAAAGCCTCAATAAAACCCACAGATCTAGCTGCACCACTCACGGAATCTTCAAGTTCGCTTTCACATGCGGTACGCCGATTACAGTCCGTTTTCACACCTGATCCTGATCCTCTCTGTTGGTCTGGTAGGGTAGGGTCCAAGATTTGACTAAACCGCTTGAGTTCGAGCAATTAAACAGCGCACTCTCACACGCTACCTCTGAGATTCATACTCTCCGCGAACGCTATGAAAAACTCCGTGCATCGGTCATGGAAAGGCTTTCTCCGCTGAACAGCTTACAAACAGGAAAACCTTCTGCTCAACCATCCGGTAATCATATTATCCCTTCATATCCATATCAGGCACCGACTTGTGATATCCAACGAGGTTTTGGTTCCGGTCACTCGGAGGAAATTTCAAACCTTTCTGAATATGAGGCAAAAGATATCCTCTCCGTCCGTTTCCAACTTTGGTTTACTGTGAAGCACACTGACACCGCGATCTCATCAGGGTCTGATTACATCACTACGACTGTCCCCTCGTTCTGTCAAAAACCTAGTTTCTAAGTTCTTGGAAGGTCCGGCCTATCCACATCCCAGTAGTGTCGACGACATTAGATCTTCTATGGAATTCCTAGCCCGTATCGATGAGCTTGTATGGAAACGGTCTGTGCCTGCGAATGGCAACGGTCCGGATCCACTGTATTCGAGGGCGAATACGGATGCCCTCATCCAGCGGCTAATTCTGTGGGAGAAAATTATCAGAGCCTATCATAAAGGCTAGAGTTGCAGCTCATAATGGCGTCCCGCACAAGAACCGAGTCGTCCTTCCGTTTTGATGGTTAGTTGCGTTACCGTAACAGCTGAAGCCTTCTTCACACAACTTTCACGGACCGACTTCTCGCACTTCTCGGCATTTTTCAGACTCTGTCAGGGCGATGCACTAGTTAACTCTTCTCCCGCGATACATCGTTCCTGTTTGGCTCAACTCGAATAATCCACTTGTCCTATTTTTGGAGAATCTGAATCGGTACTCACCGTTTTCGTGTTTAAAACTCAGTGTGCTTATAAAATCAAAGAGGATTTGACCCACTCTTCATATATCAACCATGTCCCCTGTTTGTTCTCCCCTGTCTCGCGTCATGCTCAACATACGCCTTGCCGAAAACAATGCGGCGCCAACTAATAGTGACCTGCAGTGGCAGCCTGTTATCGGTATTGTAGCTGGTTTCCGTAAGTATCTCTGGTCGCCGCCGCACAGCCGACATCAGAGCTGACTGTGTCGATGTGTCGATCTCACAGTGTCTATTCTACTCGCCGTCTACCTCATTCATGCATTGTTCCAGTGTCATGCTTCTGGCGTTTTCCCTCGCATTCTCGGTGAGTCATCGTGTTCCTTATTGATGTGACTAATATATATATCTTTGGCGCCAGGACATGCACTTCCTTCAGGCACTCGTCGTATCCATTCCGTCACTGAAAGCGAGATGTCAGGCTCGTGGCCCGAACTTTCGAGTTCTGCTCCTCCTCCATACACAGCAAGACCAATCGCAACTCCCCTTTACGCGATTACAGCGCCCCCTCGGTCACTCCAAAGTGGTCCAGTTCGCTATTCGCAGAACCTCCCCCCGCTCCGCCGCCACGTAGATGAAACAATTTCAAGAGGTTGACAATGTACTCGAACAAGTTGCTGTGGATGCACAGCATGTGCGGCTTGTGACGAGCTTCGAGATGCTGTAGATCCGTCCGTTACGGCTAAGCGACCTCCCGCTTGCTCATTCCCGAGATTTGATGATTCTCACTTGACGATGCTCGTCCTCGCCTTAAGACCAAGACCATCGTTAGTGATCATGTATAGACACGGATCCCGTTCGACTCTACTAGATGGGCAGCAGCTACCTACTTAGATGCCTTGGCACGTTTCATTTTTTTGCTTGGCGAGCGTTGTCCGCTGGCACACGCGCGTCGCGTCTCTTCTTCCATGCTCCACAGCCTTCTTCTCGCCGTGTGTTCCTGCACTTACATACTTGCCCCGATTCGCCGGCTAGTGCCGCATCAGATACGTCACACGGATTCTTGGACTATTATTATAGGTTTGCATGTTCCGCTGTACCCTAGCTGAGCGAGGCGTCTTTGTCGGACGATCCACGAACTCCTTTCGTTATGATTGATGACAATATTACGGGAGACGGTTCTGACAAGCCTGTGAATTATGATGGAGCACGGTGTTCTTCAAGGGTACAACCTACGAAACATCGACAACGCAATGATCCCGTACTTTTGCTATTGGTGGTCACAAACCGGTACTTAGTCCCACAGGAGTGATGATAATGCGACGCATGATGTCGTAAGTATGGGTCCTTGTGCTGTCCACTAGTACATATATGGACATTTGCCTCGGGCCCCTTTCAATCGGTTAATACGTCGTGGAACCTCCGTCAAGATGTGCGAGGGGTACGGAGGCATCGGTTAGCCCCGAATTGATGCTCTTGAAGAAATTCTTAAAGCCCATCTTCTGTTCATTCGGTCTTACAGGTCAGGTCTACCGGCTATTAATATTGCCGGAATGTGATTAAGACTGAGGCCACAGTGGGGTGTGCGCCTCAAAAATACAAGTTAAGGGCTAGGTGAGGTGCACATTTAGTTGCATTCGAAAGATAATTGACAGAACTCGTGATCGCGTAGACTACACTTTGCTAGTTAGCATTACCAGAAATCGATATTAATGCTACTAGTAATAAACCAGGCAGGTGGAAGCTTGAGATCTTCCATTCAACCGGTTCTGCGACAGTACTTGGTGATTAGATTCAGGGTGAATTCAATATTACATCACGGAATGTGTCTTTTCATTGTGGAAAGGAATTCCGACTCAGTGTCAAGCTCAGATCTCTATTATGACGGTCTGTGGCGCCGTGCTTCGTCCGGTTCCATTCCTGATAAGAAACACGATAGCAGGTAGGGATGGATAAGCCTACTTGGCACATAGTGCGGTGTGATGAAGGAAAGGGAGTTTCTCGGGACGGTTAGGTAACTTTTAATATTTATTTTTTGACGTAAGTACATATGCCGCATCCACCCTGCAATTCACGTACATCGATGATTGATTAGTCTAGCCCCCACGTATGTATATGAGAAGCTGCCATGATCACGTCAATTAGCGAGCGTGTCGATAATAATTTATATCACATGTGCTAGAGACTCGCTTGTACTCTGACAGAAACAGAACCCGATATCTGTGTACCGCTGGAGTTAACTATAACCAAGATCTAACCAAGAATCAAGTCTGCACAGCCGATCTACACACAGGCCTCACAAATCAGAGCTACTGACTTCATATTTATTCCGCTTTCCATTCTTCCCTGACGTACATGATTACTTTGGCAATCTCATCACCACAAGACATCAGCGCTCAGCCACAATACTTAGTACTAGGGTCCCGCTGATAGGAGGACTTGTGGGTGTAAAACGGCCGGCGGGCCCAATGGTAGACCGGGAGAGAACATGCCTTGAGGCGGTCGCGTTCCCTTTCTGGAAATGATTTCCTACACAGGTACTATGTACAACAACAAGATGAAGTAGACGTATGAGAACCAAAAAAACCGCGCCCAACGTACCACAGTTCACGTCTGCATTTAGATCAACAGAGGCGTTATTTGTGTCCATTCTATCCTCCTGAAAGTGCGCCGCAACGGCAATACCAAGATTGCTGTGAATTTCTTCCAGAATACGAAGCTTTGTCTATTCAATCATCAGAGGCGCTCAGACTATAATAGATTGGAGCCCTACCCCAGGAGAAAAAAAAAACATCTCGATCAGTCTGACCAAAGAACCATCGGCCGAGTATTCTATAAGAATCTCGTCATCAGTTAAGGGGTAAGTCATGACTTCCTTGACTTCGGGTAGGGGATCGATCTTCCCTACCCAGACGTCTTCCATGACGTCAGTTTCTTGAGGCATTTCGAAATGCTTTTCTTCAGTGGGTACCTCCTTGGCAGGTTTTGCCTTCTTCGTCTTCTTTTTCTTCTTCTTGCGTCGAATTTCTTCGAGTACGTGTTCAGTACTCAGGGGGAGTGACTTGAGAGGTTTGAAAGGTGCCTCTTCTTCGTCCTCGATCATTGGTCGGAGACCTTCGAATTGATAGGGGGTTACCCCGTTCTTTCTTCGAGTTTTGTTGAGTAGTCCCTCAACGTGTCTTGATCTGGGTGTGGGGAGCATCAGTGATTTCGTTGCGTCCCCAATCAATATCCGGCTTCATGGCGGATAGCCAGGGTTTCCCTAGCAGGATCTCGTCTCATTTGGAAAGTCTGGTGACGTTAAACTTTCCCCACATAGTTCGTCCGTCGAGTCGGATGAACAGTATGCAGTATCGGGTGACCTTCCCAGCAGTGGATTGGCTTCCATCCACCGTGGTGATGCGGAAGGGTTTCTTCAGGAGGTGGGTTCTGATATTGTGCTTCTTTACGAAGGTGTCACAAATAAATGTTCCCCCAGCCCCTGAGTTGATGATGGCTGTTGTTGCAACGGTTTTCGTACTCGTGGAAGAGAAAAGTGTCACTGGGACACGGAATTCATTTTCTTTTCCTACAGTATGAGTACACAAGATGTCTAAGGAGGGGACGCACATTGCTTTTGTGGTCCTCCATTTTAAAAATCCTCTTCTCCTTGGAGCCGGTTGGTCTCCATGTCGTCTCCGGAGCTTTCGTCATCACGCTGGTCTCTACCAGTCGTTACCGGAGTCTTTCCTTTGGTATCTTTCTTTTCTCCACGTCGTATCTTTGGGTGGAATCTGGGATCGTTGGCTCTGTGGCCATGCTCTTTGCATGAGAAGCAAAGGCCCTTCTTGTAGCATTCGTCTTTCTCTGCCTGAGAGAGGGTGCGGTCTACGTCCATAGTGTTAGGGTCTCTGGACGATGAGACATTAGGCTTGGGGTAGTACTTGGAACCGCGAGGGGCGTATCGGGAGTGTTGGTTTTGGGAGTTGGCAGAGACGGCCTTACTCCTACAGGTAGTTAGCGTCAAGCTGTACCACGGAAGTGTACCACTTTTCGATGGTGTCAGGAAGTGTCTCCTTCCTGTAAATTGCTTCGCAAAGGCTTGGGTTCAGGCCTTTCTCAAAGAAGTGCGAGAGTGTTACGCCTTCCTTGATGTTGGCGATGGTAGCCAACATTTTGAACTTCGAGATGTAGTCCGTAACGTTGTTTCCCATTCTGAGTTCGGCGATTTCGGTGAGGGCATTCACCTGCTTATCAACGGGTTGAAATGCAAGGTTGAATCCTTTCTCGAATTCGGCGAAGGTTCCGAATTTCGGAGGGTTGGTGCTGAAAGCTTCGCGATAGAAGTTATCAGCCCATGCTTTAGCGCTGTTCTTTGTCATTAATGACAGGGCGACTGAGACCATGATCTGCTCGCTGCAATAGATGGTGGGATTGATGAGGAAGTACGTCTTTAAGCTGTAGAGCCATTGTTGTGCGTCAGTCGGTGTTCCCATCGTAATCCGTTGGTGCTCCTGCTTTGAGTTCAGGGGCATGGACTACGACGGCGGTGGAGGAGGATGATGGGTTAGACATTCTTGTCTTCGGATTGGCGCTAGTGTTTCGGGGAGGTACTTCGTCTGGAAAGTCCTCTTCAGAAGTCGGAGTATCTCCTAGATCTTCTTCGTCGTTCAGTCCCTCGTCTGAGTGGTACTGTTCTGTCGGTGAGGTGGGAGAGCTAAACTGTCCATCTACCTCTTCTTCATCAGGATCTTCCTGATTCGGGTCGCGCTCCCAAGAGAACTTGCGTGTCCAGGGAGTGGTCGTCTTGTATCTGTTTCTGTCCTTGATAGGTGTCGAGGGCTAGAAGGAAACTTGAATCTTTTGTTACGACTTGGATGGTATCTGTTGGCGACGCTCAAACAGAGCTTGTGTCGCCAACGGTCGAGGACGTCCTTGGGCTAGCCCAAGGTTAGGGGTCGTACTTGGCGGGTCTTCGGCAAGTACGATTTGACGCCTATGTCCAAATTGGGTAGCTTATGTCACGCGTGTGCGAGACGATAAGCTATATCGGCCTAGGCTTACGACACCCGAAGGTTAATCATAAGGATCATCGTTAATTAGAAGGACAGAAGTCCGACTAGTTAACAGGGGCTTTGCTCGTCGACGAAGTCGATGAGTAAAGGTCGAGACTATAGGCTTATCCGCGAAGAGCAGATAGGAAAATAGAATATAGACTGCTGGTGAGGCAGAAGGATCACTCTGGTGAGAGTAGGAGGTCAAGAACCAAGTAGATTCAAGTTAAGGAATATGGTACATGGTAGCGAGTTTATATAGAGGACAGGAAACATATTAGTGGGTGATAACTCGTACTACCGAGAGAGGTAATCAGTAAAGGGTATAACCATAACAGGAAGGCACGTTCGGTCGAGGTAGAACGTGCTAGATAAGGAAGTGAGTCACAGATCGAAAATAAGAAGTGAAATGCGCAGGGGCACGATCGTGCAACTGTGGATCTAAGTATAAGTTGCATGTGCGACTGCGCACTGAGTCAGAGATCAAGAAAGGGAAATGGGCAAAGGGGATGCGTCGTGCATCGTATCATAGGTTACCATCCTGACGGTAATGGCAAAGGGACTGTCCACAGGATCAGTCAGGTGGCGGAACGGAGCAGGGATATGCTTCGTCAGCAAAAGGATCCGGCCAGATGTACTGGCTTTGCTGAAGCGACAGATAGAGAGCGAAGGGGAATGCGAGGATGACGAGGATAACAAGGGTGAGGTCAGGGTAAGGGTATGATGCGAGGGCTGATACGAGGAGGATTAGGAGAAAAATGGTAGGGGCCCAAGCGTCTAGATGTTCTTGTAACACCGCCATGCCCAACGGCTCAGCTGAAGAGTTTGATGAGGATGCTCAGTTCCCAATCCAAGACCTGTCACAACAGTCCCCGCAGTCAAAGGAAGATGCACTGTTCTCTTACTGCACAGCCGACATCGATGCACTCTCATCGGAGATGGGCATCCCATGGGAACCGGCCAAAGATATACCATTTTGCGCAACTCCCCCATTCACAGGTTTCATCTGGAACCTGGACAAACGGACAGTGGACCTCTCAACCGAAAAGCAGGTCAAATATCTCCATGCTATCGCAGATTGGGAGTCGAAGCGCACGCACACATTACGCAAGGTCCAAAAGATCTATGGGAAGCTTCTGCATGCGGCACACATTATCCCCATGGGCCGAGCTTACCTTACTAACCTCGAGGCTATGTTGGCCATGTTCAACGACCAGCCTTTTCTCCCATGGACTCCCCCACGAAACATGCCAGACAACATCAATTGGTGGAAGAACTCCCTCAACAATGCATACATATCCCGACCAATACCTGGACCATGCACTGTCCTCGACTTTCATGCCTATTCGGATGCTAGCTCTGGCCATGGAATCAGCATCATCGTCAACGGCTTCTGGAGGGCATGGGAGCTCATCCCTGGGTGGAAGAGGGACGGTAGAGACATTGGATGGGCTGAGGGTGTCGGCTTCAAGTTTCTCGTCCGCACAATCGTCAGTTCTCAGACCACCGGAGTTCATTTCAAGGTCTACGGAGACAACAGAGGCATTGTCGAGGGTTGGTGGGCAGGCCGAAGTAGGAATCGGGCATCAAATGAAGTCTTCAAACGTGTTCATAGAGTCCTCGCTAGCGCCAAGTGCACAGTTCTTACTCGCTATGTCCCAAGCAGGGACAACCCCGCCAACGGTCCCTCCCGCGGAGTATACCCCCCCACCAAGTTCCTCTTGCCCCCAATTAATATCCCATTCGAACTACAGCCTTTCATCAGGGATGTACCCGAAACGGCCATTAACTCCAGACCTAACAAGCTCCCAACGACCCACGAATCGTTTCACTCACTGGGCCAAAGCGTCACCGAATCTGAAAGCCACCGAAGAGCTTTCATCAACCGCGAGTTCGAACGACGCGGGGAAGAGCTTTTCAAAGCGTCGTAAAACTAGTAAGTTTTGTATGACCCACTCACCCGAGTCATCCTCACCATTTCATATCTAACAAAGCTTATAACACGAGCCTCACACCCATCCCATCTTCACTCCGCCCCCATTGCTTAGCAAGGGAGAGATTACACCTCTGGATCCCCGCATCTTCCAGAGACGCTCGAGACAAACAAGGAAATATTGTTCCCTTACTCCCATCAGACCTCCAGCGCATCCGTGACACCTTGGTTCATGCTTATGCCGAAGCAACTCGTGAAACATACGGCTCGGGTTTGTTGACCTTCCATGTATATTGTGACAGCAAAATGATCCCAGAACACCAGCGCACACCAGTCAGCAACATCCTTATATCATCCTTCATCACCTCAATGGCCGGCCACTACTCCGCTAAAACAATAGTCAACTATATTTCCGGAGTGCGCGCCTGGCACGTTTTGCACGGCCTAACATGGTCCTTAAACGATATGGAAACAGAAGCCCTCCTGAAAGCTACCATACCACTTGCTCCCGCCTCCACAAAACGGAGCAAATGCGAACCGTACACCTTGGACATGATATCTGCCATCCGCGATCAGCTCAACCTCTCCAACCCTCTAGATGCAGCAGTTTTCGCTTGCCTAACCACAGCCTTCTTTGCCACAGCGCGTGCTGGCGAATTCACAGTCCCGCGCCTCGACGCTTTCGATCCTGCAATACACGTAAAACCATCCAATGTTAGCGACACCCAAGACCGTCAAAACCTCCGCATGAAAACCTTTTTTCTTCCCCGAACAAAGAGCGCTCTAGAAGGCGAAGAAGTATCCTGGGCCAAGCAGACAGGACCTTCTGACCCTGAAGAAGCTTTTGCCAATCACCTACGCGTCAATGAACCCCCTTGAGACAACGCCCTATTCGCCTATCGTCACAACGACTCATACCGTCCGTTAACGAAAACCAAATTCCTACAACGCTTAACCTCTGCAGCGAAAGCGGCAGGCCGTCAACCAGTATTTGGACATGGAATTCGAATCGGGTCGACTCTCGAATACCTGCTTCGTAATATTCCATTCGACGTCGTCAAAGTGAAGGGCCGTTGGTCCAGTGACGCCTTCCTCGCGTACCTTCGTCGCCACGCACAAATCCTGGCTCCTTACATGCAAGCCACACCCGAATTGCAAGAGCAATTCCTCCGTCACACTGTGAATCTACCCCCAGTCCGCTAACACGCACATACACAACCAACCCAGTGAGTATCCTCCTCCTAAAAAATGGGTTTCCGAGTTTCGCTGGATGCGTCGTCGGCCCTCCTAATCAATTGGGAATTGCAGCTCACCTCTTTCTTTCAGGTTAGTCCCTCGGGGCCGGAAGACGCTGCGCGTCCTCGCCCGAAAACCCTCATTCATTGTCTCTGCCAGTAACTTCACCATGGAACTCACTTAATACCTTGTCCCTCGTTAGATTACCATATAACACCGTCTTTTCCTCTAAGAACACGTCTGAGTGAACCTCAAAGAGAGGACATAATTAAGTTCCTTTTGAATTAAAGTCTCACGCGAGGATCAAGCGAATCATGTCACAGAGCGGCGACGCCCGCCCGCGTTTGTTCCAATTCAAACTAACCCTAACCCCACGAAATTGCAAGCGCGTTGTCCATGTCCACACTTCTCACCTAGCCACCCTTTTCTTCATTTCCCTCGTTTTCGGTACTTCGTCTCTTGCCATGGACTACGACAGAAAATCAACTGTATCTTCATTCTATGGAGGACGCAGAGGCTCATTTGATGCCCTAAATCATTCACAATCTCCCGATTACGCTCCATCTGGTCGTCCACGAGATGACGCTTCTTCCTTCTATGCTGATCGACAACCACGGGCGAGCCATGAAATGTTAACGGGTGGACAATCCGCAGGGTACAACGCATCATCTTTTTTTGCCGCCGGGCGCCTAGAACCGCTGAAAGGCGGACGTGACGAGGAAGAAGAGGCTCCGGAAGCTCAGACCTGGGATGTTTTTGCAGACTTCAACAACACCGGCCCAAGATACAGCACTGCTTTTGGCATCGGGCAACATCAAGAAGCAGGGTATGCGCATGGAAGAGCTAACGTTTCCTACCAAGCTAATCAATGCACAGCTATCATCAGCTCCCCCCACCTCCACCTCCGCCTGGTGCCAAGACCGAGGGTGATGCTGACAGTGCTCACACTCCCGTAGAGCTGGTTACGGTACCTGCACTCGGTCCGGAATGGCAGCTAACCGAGATGAAAATCATGACGAAGTCGGGTCGACGAGAGATCAAGAGTGAGAAGCGAAAAGAGAAGTGGAAAGCCTGGCATCGTGGGGAGACGGGTTTGTGTGGAAAATGGTTCACCAAAAAGTTCCTTGCTTTCTTCATATTCATGTGGGCCGCCATGTAGGTCAAACTCGTTTGCCTGAGTACGAAGATATTGAAAGATTCTGTAGCATTGGCACTCTCCTCGCAATCACCATCCCTCGGGTACCTGGTCTGTCAATCAACAACTCCACACCTCTAGTTGCCGCCACTGGGAGTTATAATGCTTCAATTCCAACACAATTCTCCCGGTATCCAGCCAATTTCTCATTTCCAGCGTACGCAGATATTCAAGTTGACACCACCGCTAATATCATCCCCCTTACCTTCAACTACATATCTGCAGAAGTATGGGATCCGACTACGAATCTGCAAGTGGGCACGGGGTACTTTGGAAAAGATACCCTCCCGGCCAAGGCATATCCCAAGATCCAGATTCCACTTAACTTCTCGTATATTGCACCAAATGACACAGATCCGACGTGGAATGAGTGGTATAATGCCTGCAAGAATGTTGGACTTTATGCTAACGGAACAAGGCCAGGTCTGTGTGTATGTCACGATTGCTTCTGTTTGCTCATCAGAACAACAGGCGTAAATTTCCAGCTCATTCTCACGATGGGTATCGCCGGGCTGCCGTCAAAGCAGTCCCAATCCACACAGGTGGATGCGGCCCCTTGCCCTATTGAGCTGTCCATCACTGCAGACTGATGGATAATTATTGGACTTAATCTTAATCATACGTCACCGCTTGTTCACCTGCTTGTTCCGGTTCTGCTGTGCTCTGGGACGTTGAGCTATCTCCGCTATTAAATAGTCTTGGATATCGGACAAGATGCCCATCCATCGTTATTTCACCGCCTGCGCATTCGTCTTGCTACAGTCTGTCTTTATTTTGTCTTTTCATCCTAGTATTTGCAGCGTTACTCACACCATCATGATGTGCAGACACATTAGTATTGGATTATAATTAATGCTGGCATCGATCAATGATTCGGGTTCCGTTTGCTGATTCTCACTTTAATTTTTGTGGTGGCTCCAGGTTGCCAACCTAAGGCGAGCAGGTCCTGGAGTTACAAACCTGGACGGCTGAACACAATCGCTTATCACAACGCCGCAGTATACGTACGCCTCGCATTCAGATTGACGTCGCTTACTTTCCAGAACTCGAGAGGCAGAGCTTCCATTCTCGATGACGACCTTCTTCTCGCAATAGCGTCCGCATTGCGCCCGGAGCTTGCTCGTTTCCCTGATCATTTATAAGGGATAAGAAGATGCATGCCGTGGATTTTTTGCGCGCAAAACCCATTTTCTGCGACTGGACCAGATGCAGGTGGAGTATTCGGCCAACGATATCGCAGCAGCAGGGAGTTTGCAGGTCTACACGGTGCGTTCCCTTGTCGACCTGACAATCGTTGATGATAATAGGTAACGCATGTGCCACTAGTACTTATATAGTGCGTATCACTGTCCGAATTGATTCTTCTATGTTTTAAACACATCTCAGCGTCAATGGCTACATTCTGGGTGGGATTATTCCAACGATTGCGGTTCCGTTTGTTGCTAAAATTCCTTTGCTCAGATTTACGATTATGCTTGTTCGCTTCATCTGGAGGTAATTTACTCGTTCAATCTCATTTTCATGATAGTGATGATAATAAAAAACTGTTTATAGTGGAAGTTTCTATTTCGGTCACGCTGGTCCAAGGTAAAGGGCCTTTATGTCGTCACACGATACGTGCCTTTTCTCCTCTTAGCTGGTCATTTATATAGTGCGTCAAGCTCCTACAATCATGTCATGAGTTGATTTGTCATGCTTCAGTGAACTTCATCCCAAACGAGAACTCCGATGTATGTGAACGTGCTGTGGACTTGTTGACCTCAACGACGCTGACCGCATGGCTTTGCCAGAAATGCCAGTTGTTGAACAACATTTGCTCATGTGCGTGCATAGTGCATACATGCAAATACATCCTCGCTGAGCCATACTCATATCTCTCACAGGTTTCAGCTTGATATCAGTCTCTTGTTCTGAATGTATACCTCCATTCCCTGCAAAAGCTTCGTGATCCTGATCACATTCATACAGGCTTTTTTGTCCTCAGGACATATACGCTCTGGAACAACAACAAAGTCGTGCTTGCCACCATGACCATTACCTTCATTGTGAGTCATATCCTCACTGCACCGCGAACTTTGTAAGTACATCTGTCAGGCTGTCGTCGTATCATCTATAAGTTATGCTTTTGCCACTACTGCTACTGCACCGTGTACGTGCTCCTGCCTTCGCTTTGGTGTTCTGCCATCATTCACACTGCACTTTTACAGGGACGATCAGCGGGATCCCAGGCATCACAGGCTGCTATCAGAGCTCGGCCGTCGTCCAGCTCTTTATACCATTTCTTCTTTTGATTGGGCTTGAATTTGGTTCGTCGTCCAGAATAAGGAGTCTGCATCTACCCAGACACGCGCTAACTGACGCTCTGTAGGTCTCTTGTCCCTCACGCTCATACGCGCTATACAGAGCTGGCGGTCGAACAACAGCCATCTCTATGCTGTCTTAGTGAAGCATAACATATTCTACTATCTATGCGGTCTGTGTGAGTGAGAACACAAGTTTCTATGCTATCATCCTGTGCTCATCAATAATGATTCTCGTTACGAAAGTTTTCTCAGGGGTAAATGTACTCACGTTACTGCTCTTCCATGTGCGTGAACCTTCAAATTTCTCTATCACCGAGTAATTAATTATCACCCATAGTACGGATATCAAGCCATGTTCCAAGAGTGCGCATTTTTATCCTGCAATGCGCCGACTTACTAACTGACAGCACTCCCAAACACATACCTATATACAGTTTCCAATTCATCGTCCTTGCGATCCTCGCCACGCGCATGCACCTCCACCTGTGGCATACAGATCGACATGCACATGGCTCTCGCGCCCTCGTGTTCATTCCTATGTCCGACATTTCATCCACGGGCAGTCCGACGTGATGTTCGGCGTTGTTCAAATGTTCATGGAGTGGTGTTTAAGCTGTACAAGGTTAGTTGAACTGAGCTTGGTCAGATCTGGGACTCGCGCGCTTAAAAACAACGCAGTTCCTGTTGTGAATGGGAGTTACGTCTTGTTGGACTTCAACTTGAAGCGGATTTGTTCATTATCGATAGATATCGAGCTTCAATGGTAGATGAATGTATTCAGATCAAGATTTCAGTGTGCTGGAGTCAGAACTTGAAACACTCCGGCCGGGCGATGAATGTTTTACACTTGGCCGTGACACACAGCCTGGCTACGATTCTGAAACCTCGGTATCATTTATTGAATCATTTGACCTTGAAATTTGCTAATCTTCGTTATTCAATCCGATTCTTTACGTACTCACCTTTCGCGGGGTGAGTGTAAATTCCGGTTTGACGGACTAAATGCTGGAAAGCGACCCAGGGCACTGCAGTGGCGGCTGACTCATATTCATCAACGATATTGCATAACATCGCACACCGTTTCAACTTTACGCTCACAGTGAAACTTCGGCAGTTTTCTGCTCAGGCTGGAGATATATAAGCAGGTCATGGTATATGCCATGTATCTCTTGCGTGCAAGACCCATTTTCTGCCTCTCGACCAAATGGTGACGGAAGTACTCGTCTGACGATATCGCAGCGGCGATGAGTCTGCAGATTTACACAGTGTGTCTCTTTCTTTTCGATACTTCGAATGGATAATGATATGGATGATCCACGTCTCACCTAGTATGTATACAGTGGGTACTTATCTGAATCACTCTTCCTTGTCCTTACACAACTCAGCGTCGATGGCTACATTTTGGGTGGGCTTGTCTTGATACCCTGCCATCCGCTGTTTAAACTTGTTCACAGACCTATGATTTTGCTTGCTTACTTCAAGAAGAGGTAACGTTTTGTCATAAGCCTCATTTTTCGTATATATTGATCATCGTGTGCTGTTCAAAGTGGACATTTCTGCTTCAATCGCGCTGGACCAAAGTGAAAGGTCTTTACATCGCTTCCCGATTTGTGCCTTTTCTCCTCTTAATCGGGCATCTGTATAGTACGTCCCGCTTCAGCGCAGAAAACTTCCGGTGATGAATTGACTTGTCATACTTCAGCAAACTTCATCCCGAGTGATAACCCCGGTGTATGTAAACTTGCGGTAAACTTGCTGATTACCATCTGACATTGCCAGAAATGCAAGATCTTGATTACCATTTGCTCAGGTATGTGGACAGCACAGACATTTATGCACATATTTGCTGAGAATCCCCTTTTCTCCTATAGTTTTCAGCCAGATAGCAGCCGTTTGCTCCGAATGTATTCCTCCTCCCCCTTAACATATTCACGTTCTTGATTCCATTCATCCATCCAGGCTTTTTTGTCCTCCGAACATATGCACTCTGGAGACACAATCGATTCGTGCTCGCTGGACTACTGGCTTTTTTCTTTGTGAGTTCAATGCTCTCACCGCACCTCAAGGCCATTGTAGATGCATCAGTCAGGTTGCCGTCATAGCATGCGTCGGCACTTCCTTTGCCTCTATGATTACCGCATCTTGTACGGGCTCTCGTATCTTCATCGGCGCTTCGCCCATCATTCAGATTCTCTCTCCACTTTCACAGATGAGACCAGTGCAATTCTAGGCATTACAGGTTGTCGTAACAGCTTCAGCCTCTTCGTACCGTTCCTTCTCCTTTTCGTATTCGAACTGGGTCTGTCGATTGGAACATAGACATGCACGGATGCCTGACCAAGGTTTCTCTAGGTCTCATGTCTCTCACGCTCATACATGTCATACAGAGCTGGCGGATGGCCAACGGCCGTCTTTACGCCATCCTGGTGAAGAGTAATATTGCCTACTATACATGCGGTCTGTGTGAGTCAAGACACAAGCTCATTTTTTCCATGCTTATCAACGATGATTCTGTTTTCGAAAGTTTTATCGGCGGTAAACGTCCTTGCGTCACGGAGTCTCCATGTGCGTGAACCACTCAAGTCCTGTATAGCCAAGACACTGATATTTCGCACAAACAGTACCAGTACCATACCATGTTCCAAGAGTACGCATATCCAAATTCGTCTGTACATCCCTACTGACAACACCCCAAATACGCACCAACATACAGTTTCCAGTGCATCGTCTGCGCGATACTTGCCTTGCGCATGCACCTGCATATCTGGCAAATCGACCAGCAGGCACACAACATAGACGCTCTCGTTTGTATGTCCGACATATGATATGCAGGCAGCACGTGGAGGCGATTAGCGAGACTTTCAATGAATCAATAGTGAAGGGCACGCGGCAAACGAATGTACAATATGGATACGAAAGAAAATATAGGTGATATTGGGATAATCGCACAAAAGTTGTCTGCGTGTCAAAATGTATATACAGCCACTTGTGCAAAGGGCAGGGTTTCTGTTGGCAAAATATATCGCCCTACATTTTACTTCAAGGCTAATGAAAGGTGGGTGAGCACCGTAACATGGTGGAAAACCGTCACCTTGAACGCCAACACCGAATTGGACAGACATTAGCATAATGCGTACGATCGACATCAATAGGGGAAAGATGATCCCCAAGTACATGTAGGTTGAGCTATATTTAGATCTGTATCGTGCATGGTGCCTAATCAACGATCTAGTAGTAGGTAGGACGCGGGAGATGCTGCGTCATATGCTGGGTCAGGAATATGGTTAGCATCAGGCTTACACAGGCGACATTACTGAAGACTCACCATCGAACCAAGCACGTGTACTAGCCTTTGTAGCTTCATCGCTTGCTTCCATCATGAATCGGTACAATTCGAGACCTTGTCCATATTTACCTGTCCGAAGGAGTACCATGCACAATTGCCTATTGGCGGATTGCCACAACGACTTGAGGTCCCACCCGAAGAGCTGTAAAAATACAGAGTTGAGCAAAAAAGAATTTCGGCTGCATGAAACAATGTACCACAGTAAATTCCTCATACATGGTATGGATTGGCAGTTTGGCAAAAAAATCACTGGCCCTCACAGCGGCAGTGAGAGTTTCAACAGCTTCGCTGTAAAACTTGTTATTCAAGGCGATGGTTCCCACTTGGACTTGGAGATACGCCTGATGTGTAAAGCGTAGATGGATCAGTTATGCACGAACCAGTGGATGATGCTTACCACAACGACAAGACAGGCAACTTGATCTACACTGGGACCAGCAGCTAGCTCTTTGACGCGCATTATTGCTTCTTCACGTTCATTTGTATTAAACAATGCGATAGCCTGAAACCCTTGATGAAGTGTGGTGAATGCAAAATAAATATAACCTGCCTTGATCAAGAAAAGCAGAAGAGTAGTCTTCAAATTTCCGTTCGCAAACGTGAATGCGAAGTCAAAGGCCATCGTGGCGTCGCGGACATGCTGTTTTTCCGCAGAGGGCCATACCTTTCGTGATGTATCCTATCAACGAGGGCTTTATGCTGAGGGACTATGTCGAGATGATAGTTAGCATAAGTTCAAGGGGGCATGATGGGTTATTGTCACCTTGACCGAATTTTGAAGGGCGCCATCCCAGTCCAGTTTGCGAGCCATGATGAGTGAGTGGTTGGCGCAGGAGATGTGGTTGTTGGCGTCAGCTTCGATCTCTTGTGCAAGTAGCTTTTCAGCCTTTGACAAGTCTCCCATGATAAATGCTTCACGGACATTTATAGTCATAGGGAGGATCTGCATGAAGTATCCTCGTATTACATTATACAAGCCTAGGGTGGAAACATGCCTTTGAATCAGTGTCTTGGTCTTCAGTGCCTCCTTGACGATTTCTGAGGCTGTAAATGTGCTGATCCTCAATGGAAACTTGCTCGGTAAGTGCCCAAATATTACTGGCGCCACCACCACTGTCCCAAAGGTGAATTTTCGTGTGGTTTGCTGATTTCCCCCCATCTAGGTTTGAACAGAATCTCGTGCCATGGATCAATATCCTGCCGAACAAAAAATGACAAGCAATTCACAACCAGACATGCGCGGTATGAAAGACATGCACACCTAATGCCTTCAACTCTTTTGACGTCTGATTCTTTGACATCCCACTTGAAGGGGTCTGATCCAACAACAACCGTGGTGCCATTTTGAGGGCTGCCTTTGATCCCGAGGTATTTTCCAGAGTGGGAAGACTTTATAAACCACCCGTTCTGGTCGCTATCACGCTGCTGGAAGGTCCACTAAGAACCGATAAGCTAGTCAGCAAGACCTGTCCGCAGTGAGATGGAAAGTAAGGGCATTACCGCCTGATTAGAGCCATCGTGGGGGTCAAAACCGATGACTAAGTTGTGATATTAGTACTGGTTTGGGATATTGCTGAAGCAATGATATGCTTACCGGTGTAGTAATCGTCGCCTGAGAGGTGAACAGCAGTGCCTCCTTGACAGTTTTTCAGGTTGTATGTGTATTGGTTCTTGATGAGATCCATCGTAGTGCTTGCTTTACCGGAATGATGTCAGCTTCGAATTGAAGATTGTATACCAAGTACCTGTCCAAGCAATTATTTATTTGATTTTAGGGAAGTTTGGAATTTAAACACCCAATGCCCTAGCTAGCCTCGTGTACTGACATCATTGCATCCTCGTGTTCATCTGCATTGAACAATGCAACGGCCATAATGAAGCGTGCACGATGACGCAATCCATCAAGTGAGGTGCCTGTCGCCCGGGCCCTAGTCTGAGTCAATTTGACACAGTGGAGAAAAGTGTGTGAGCGCTTGAGCACTTCCTTCAAGTTCCTTGATCGAACACCAAAAACTTGAGGCTGTGCTATTTTTTCCACGGCTCATGAATCATGTCGATTGTCACCGGTTCACCGAATGACAAATTTGAAGCACTGAACTCTGTCGCGGTGAGTATGTCGGCATGCTTACCATCGGGGTATGCCAACTATTACAACATGGTCTACTAGTAGCTGGATGGTGCACCACACAGATTTAAACCAGCGGCTACTCACTTATCTCAAGCTCGCCGAGCACACAAGGCAAATCAATTCAAACGGTGTTGGGGCGCTGAGCGCTGAAATTGAAAGCTTAGCTGATGCCAAGTATAGTATGCACTGAACTGAGGCAAGCCAGCGTATCTATTTGAAGCTGAGTCAAACAGTCCACTAATATTTGTCCTTCAAATGATGAAATGACGTTACCAGCGATTGGAATGATTGTAGCTCCCCGTCCTGCAAGGAATTCTCACAACACAGATTCGGACAGCCAGTACGAACGTACTAGTCGAACATCTCAAATTTCAAATGTCATCGAAAAAGACTAGCTCCGAACAATGCATCAGCATTTCCCGTGTCATAGGACAAAGTCTACCACTGGACGGAAAGATTTCTGAAAGAACCGTCAGATGCAAAGAGCTGCAGCCGATTTTCCGGGTACAAAGCCAGCCGTGCGGAGGGCTATGTCTGATGGCCTTGATTATCCAGGTCAGTTGGTCTAAAATAGAGTGCGGTGAACTAACCCACATCATTCACAATACACGTACTACTTGAAGAAGTACGATGTTCGACGAGGGGAGGAAACGAACCGAAACAAAGCTTTCAAACTTAGAGGGCCATGAAAGTTATCGGCGAGATGTATGGTGACGCTGAGTAAGCACTACGGAGCTTGACAAACTTGAAGTTGCTAAAAGTCGAGCTATTAATAAACAACTTGTACTGCGATCACTAGTAGGTACTGTAACTTGCTTGAACTATGTTCCTATTATTGATCAGTCTACGCCCCCATCTCCAGCTCATATATAAAATGAGAAGGTAGTGACATGATGTGCATTTTTCGGAACCTTCTTTTTGCATCTAGAACGAATGGAGACGGAGTATTCGCTCAACGACATCGCGGCGGGGAAAAGTCTGCAGATCCTCGCGGTGCGTCTTTTCGAGTCAATGCGAAGATGCGGCTGATGATGAAATAAAATACATGTACCATCAGTACATCTACAGTATGTTCCTCTGAAATTCTTCTCCTCTGTCCTAATACACCACATCTCAGCGTCGATGGCTACATTCTGGGTGAGCTTGTTCGATGCACTCCTGCCCGCTGTTGAACTCGCTTCATATACAGGCCTACGAATATTTTTGTTCGTTTCAACACGAGGTAATGCATTGGTTCATGTCAAATATCGGGTTATTGATACTGTGCTCAAAGTGGACGTTCCTACATCGATCGCGCTGGACCAAGGTAAAATGCCTTTACATCCTTACACGATATGTCCCCTTCCTCCTTCTCCTTGTGAATCTATATAGTGCGTTTTAGCTCCCGAACACACATCTCCCAGATAATGAATTGACATGTTGTACTTCAGCATGCTTCTCCCCAAATGAGAACTCAGGTGTATGTGAACTTGCAGTGCTGACCAAATGTATGACGCTCACTGCATGATGTCACCAGGAATGCCGGACGCGTATCAACATCGGCTCAGGTGCGTACGTCCTATATGCTTGTATGTACGTACTTTGATCGAAAAGCTACCTGTTTCCTCGTACAGCATTTAGCATAATATTAGGCATTTGCTCCCAAAGTACATCTCCTTTCCGCGACATACACGTATTACTCATCTGATTTATTAGGCTTTTTCGTCCTCAGAACTTGCGCGCTATGGAACAACAATAGAATCGTGATACTAACCATGCTATCATTATGTCTCGTGAGTCCCCACGTGTGTACCACACCCAAGTTGGTGATAGATCCATCAGTCAGGCTTTTATCACCGCATCGATCAGCATCGCTTTGGTCACTACTGCCACAGCACCATGTACGCGCTTTCTTATGCACTTGTTTTTTTTACCTCCATTCACTCCACTTTCACAGTTGCAACTAGCAATATTCCGGGCATCACAGGCTGCTACCAGGTCATGAGCAATATCCAGCTCTTCATACCGTTTCTTTTTTATTTTGCTCTCGCACTGGGTGGGAAACTAGAAACATACTTATGTTCAACTCGGCGCTGACAGACACTCCAGGACTTATGGCCCTCACGCTCGTACGGGCCATAATGAGCTGGCGGACAACCAAGAGTCATCTGTATGTTGTCCTGCTGAAGCACAATATATCCTACTATGCATGTGGTCTTTGTGAGTCAAAAAGCGCGCGCCACGTCGTATTTCCGTGCTCAATGCTCATATAAAACCACTCTCGTTTCTAAAGTGTTCTCGGTGGCGAACATCTTCACATCGCTGCTCCTCCATGTGCGTAAATCCCTACATGCCCTTATGATAAAGTTGTTAACATTGTTTATGCACACCCAGTACGCATACCACGCCATGTTGCATGAGTATGTACCTCCATGTTTCGAACTAAATATGCCCGAAACTCACATACATGTAGCCTCCAGTTTATTATCCTTGCAATCCTCGCCACAAGCATGCACCGCCATCTCTGGCAGATGGACCTGCATACACACATCCCTGACCCCAATGCGCGTATGACTTTGTCCGACATGTTACCCGCCGACAATATGACGGAATATCATCTTCCATGGAGCGAAGTTTGAACTGCATGATGACTGGTGGGGTTAGTTAGATTGGTTCCGGGATATGCTTAACTTGTATAGAAATCTATTTTCTGCTGTGGTATGTATTCAGGCGGCCTTGGTCTTTGTGATACCGATGGGTGGTAGGCCTCCTCTGCGAGCAATGGCGGATCAGTGGATGACGATCAGTACGGCCTGACGACGATAAGAGTCATGAATATAGCCCTTACGACAAGTAGTACTACCATCAAACATGACACCATCAAAGTTTGCGCATCCTGAGACCTGCGCGGATTGGTCTCTAGGGTCGGATATATACTGTCTATCATGTAAATGTCAAGATTGTGCTTGCATCTCATGTACAATGCGTACTATTCCTTCCACCGGGCAATATCCGCAGTGCATGATGAACGGTTGGCAGTCGTTGTACGTACTACCAGTAATATCAGGACTCTGCAAGTTATGATAAAAGTAGTAGTTTGCATCAGCGCCTCTGTTTGGTGTCATTCCGGCGGTAAACAAAAGCGGCCAAGTAAATATTGAAATTCTGGTCTATCGTTGTGAAAATTATAAGCAGAAAAGTAGCAATTCGTTACTTTACGCATCCTATGATACTATCGCTAATCATACGCAAAGCCGACCGACCTCCACAGCTTACTTGGGAAGAGTCCATACAACCTTCAAATCCATATGTTGCTTTGCGCCTGAAAAACGATCTTTTATGTACTTGGGCAGCTTCAGTGTTAGTTGATCTCGGAATTAGTGTACGCCGTCGTGGCAAAACCGATGCGGGAGTTGGTGGCATCGAACACAGAGTAGAAGCGCTCGAGGAATGGGTAGCCGTTGACAAAGTCAAACCCTGGGCCATTAGCCGAATCAATGTCGCTAACGACGAGATACATGGCCTTGCTAGCACCACCAATGTAGGTGTTGAGAGCACGAGGCCAGAGCTGGGCGTTAGGTGTCAGAGTGTAGGTTTCCTGTGCAAATGGTAAACAAGGGATGAGAGAGCTGACAGAAAGGGCGTACGCCGCCGATATGGAAGTTCAGGTTCTTGAGGGCTTTGTACTGGGAAGATGAAACGCGGAGAAGGCCAGTTGCCGAATCCGGAATACCGCCAGTCGCAGACTTGTACTTTTTGTAGGCATCTATCAAACGCTAATTAGACCATGATTACTCGCTGCGTTCCAGATACACACCAGTGGCAATGAAGATAAATGTGGTTCCAGTGTCGACGATACCATCAGTGGAGGACATGATCGTCGTGGAGCCGTAGGAAATGCTCTCTTTGATACCCCAATAGTTCGATGCAGTTTGGCCGGTAGTGATGGGGCTGAAGTAAAACAATTACTATCAACCCGGATTGATCTAGGAGCTGAGGTAGCTTACGTGTACGTAATGGCGCCGGTGTACTTGTGAGCATCAGTTTCACCGAAGGTGAGCTCTCCATTGGTGACTGGTTGCGAATTGGTGGGCTCGAAAGAGATACTAAAAACCTCTCTCTGAATGGTGCCTTGGCTATGCAGACTGTCAGTGACTGTTGGGATCGTTGTTTTGGGTTCTTTTGTCAGGGTGTCCAATGTCAAGTCTACAGGACCCATTCCAAGGATACCGTCGACACCAGCGAAGCCCGACGAAGAAGAAGCCACACCAATCGACTGATGTGGGATGGTGAGCCCCTGACCAAGAGTGACAGTGTCGAGGTACTCAGTTCCTATGGATAATCATAGGTATTTTCAACAACTTATGGTATCTTTGTATGACATACCAGAGAAGAAACCAGAACCGTAACCGACCGACACAGCCCGGCCAGTGTTGACGCTGGTCTTGGTCTTCACGTACGGAGTGCCAGCGCCAATCCATGTATTCGAGCTACCGGTGTCGACAATCAAGTTGTCTTCAAGAATACATTAGCGGCCGCATATTTTCTCAGTGTTGAACTTACAGGTTTTCGGGGGGCTGCCAACACCAACTGCTAATAAGTAACTATTGCCAACATTGGATATAGAAGTGCCAAGGCCGGCATGGCTCAAGGAGGAGTCCCTGAGGGCAGCCATGCGAGCTTTATCCCGCTGCAAGAGGTTAATGATACCATCGGAGACGTTCAGCCTCCTAGCAATGGGGAGGGTGATGGGGGAATTGCTAACTTCAACGGACGATACCGTGATTGAAAAAGCCAGGAGAATGGTTGTCAACAAGGATACAGTGGGGAACATGGCTGACTGGAAAGTAATATCATATTCAGTGGTCTATTATATATGTGCTGACGACTGCAAATATTGGGCACCCCGGCCACGTATAAAACGTTGCTTCTCGATACAGCGATGACGAGGTAGTGGAGTTCTGAGTATCACAAGTGCAGGAATGCGACACTTCCTGACACAAAGTTGGTTGTAAACCCAAGGTAGCAACAATTTACAAATCGCCTGGTACATTAGTCTATTGACTTACCTCACGTTCATTTCCGGAGAGACGCTCGCCTATCCAGGATACACCTCAGCAAAACATTAGTGTCAGGTTGGTGTAGCAAGCGTTGCTGAGGAGAGCGGTAGTCCCTGATTGCCCCGGGTCTGAATCCGTCAATGATCGAGTTCGCCAACTTGGTACAAAACCATAGAACAGAATGATAGCACCGACAAGACGAAGCAGTAACGCCTGACTTGGCTGGTTACACACGGTCCAATGGTTCATTTATTAAAGTGGGAAAATGGTGCTGGAAATTGCATGACTACAGAGTCAGTACCTCGATTACGAAGGAAATAAGTGCAAGTCACCCCATCCAAAGGTCTTGTCCTGGTAACTGGAAGTCCACTGGCAGATCAATTTGTCGATATTGGTCTGACCCAGGTAGGGGACAGGAAGTAACCATCAAGAATTCATTTGACACCCATGGCATCAACGATCAACGATTCTTAATTGTGTGACTGCGGCGGACATCGAAGATCGAGTAACCTGCAATTTCTAGTGAGTTGACGAAGTATTTACTATAAATTCGGGATCAGCGCACTCGAATGTAGGTTCTGCATTATGGGAGGTGTTGGGGAGGTGAGTTCGGATATTCTTGGACGGTATTCGGGTGAGTGATGACGGACAAACATTAGTTAACCGCGGAAAGTTTGGTCCTTTCCCGAAACCGGTTGCACTTCAAGTTTCATTTCCGACTTCCTGGGACAACGATTCTCATAGGCCCTATTTGAAAGGAAGCTGTTCAAATCTGGCGCCCTCATTTGCTTGTCTGCTTGCGATACTTAGCATTTACCCATGCATGATCTTCCGCCCCCGCCATCTAGGACAATCCCCAATTTCGTGTTGAGGGTGGAGGACTTATCACATCCTGGAGCATCGATCTTCTTCGATTGCGTCAAGCCCAAGGAAGCACTCAAGCTCGCAGTTGAAGCATCTTATACCTGGCTGTATACCCCGCTCACGGCCCCAACGCAGTGAGTACTACGCGTTCTCGATTCACTACAAGCATGTCGCGAATCATTTGCAATTCCCAGCGTCAAGACTATCACACTCGTTCTCAGACCATTCGATGGCGTGGCGTATACTTGGGGCACGGATGAGACGAAAGAGATCAATTTCTCCCTCGATTGGATCAAATCATCAGAGGCTCGGGCACGAGACGAAATATTAGGCGTGCTGGTTCACGAGGTCGTGCATTGCTATCAATACAATGCAAAAGAGACATGTCCAGGGGGTCTTATCGAGGGTATTGCAGGTGTGCACGTTTCGACACTATTCTTTGAGTTTTGTCTTCCGAACTACTGGTAGATTTTGTCAGGCTGCACGCTGGTTTTTCACCACCACACTGGAGGCCTAGAGCTGAGGAGAAGTGGGACGCAGGGTACGATGCTACGGCGTACTTCCTCGACTGGATTGAGAAGCGCTGTGGCGAGGGGACTATCCGAAAACTTAATGCATCCATGAAGGATTCGATATACAGAGTGACACTCTTTGAGAAGGTGACTGGAGAGAGCGTGAGTTCCCTGTATGCACTGTATCGTGAACATCTTAAACAGACGGGTAAGATATCTTATGCATGAATTTTGATATACGATACTAGTGATAGTAGCAAATATTTGGTGGGGATACCCGGGCCGTGGTTGGTCGTACTATAGCTACGTCGGCGGTTAACGCAACTTGCAAATTGAACTGATAGACTTTAAGACGCAGGATGAAATTGATTTGGATGTTATTGAGCCTTTGCTCTCAGTTGCGAGGGAGATTTCGGTCCGCTCCGATGTTTCTCCCCGCACGATTAGCCATGCAGGCCTTGCATGCCCTGCTACGTTGAAACAGCGCAGGCGTGGCAACAATCTTGTTTATGAGGGGCAGTGGTGGAGTATCGTGCGTGCATAAAGCAATTAGTCCATTGTCATTGTGAGCCTAGGAGGAAGCGTAATCCCAGTTCGTTCATGTTTCTGGCATCTATCGGGACAAGCACACATCTTCGGTTGGCTGCGAGATCTCATCGCATGACACAGACCCTATACAGAGGGATGGAGACCAGGACAGGCCAACAGAAAAAAAACGAGGTGGATGCAATAGCCATTCAGCCTGTAAAGATAGTAGAGAAGACCCGGAGATTCAGAGAACACAATCTAATTGTAAATTTAGTTATTGATTTTTCTTCCAGTTTCATCGTTTATTGCCAACTCGGGTGCGCCAACGCTTACAGCTTTCCAAGGAGTTCCTGGCGATACTTCTTCACTTCTTCTATGACGTCAGACTTTGCAGGTCATCCAATAACTAGCCCCTCCTCGTCTGATGCATCAGGTTTGGGAATGATGTGGAAGTGTACGTGATCGACGACCTAGGTGTGCAAACCAGCCGTCAATGCTAACTAGGCCCGATGAGGAAGGCGCAGACAAACCTGGTGTGTGATGCGGCTGTTATTCTTGGTGGTGGGGTCAGATCTGCGGGTTAAACAGCACAGAACGGGGAGAGAAAGTATGCAGGAACACACCTGGAGGATGTTGTAGTAGTTCTCGGGTCCTTGTGCAGTGGCAATCTTCTTTGCGATGGGCATTACATCCGCAAGGTATTCGTCTGGGAGCTCGTGGAGCTTTGCCGCGTGGTCTATTATGCACGCATGAGTGCTTTATCTCGCACATCATCCTTTTTGCCCCTTCTGTTGTCACAGCTGATGCACCTTTAGGGATGATCAGAGCATGGCCCCTGGAGAGGGGGACAATATCAAGGAATGAGTAACTAATATCTTGATAAGCGTGTCTTAATTATTTGATGGAAGAAAGGACAAACGAAGTTTCCGTCTCAATAAGCTTAAAGCTTGGAATCTCGCCTAGAACACAGTAGCGCGCTGTGATAAGGTCACTGGCGACCGTGGCGTAGTTGAATGACGAGAAGGAATCAACACACCCTTGATAATCTTGCAAAATATGCAGGTGCTGAGTGTCCTGATAATGGAAGGGAAGAATCTGACCGTGCTACTGCTGCCATGGTAGTTTGAATGATATATTGATTCATTGAATCACGGCGCGGTTTTATTTTGCACGTGATCAGGTTGACAAAGCCTACGTTCCTGCGTTCAAGTGTGGCTGGTATTACTCGGATTTCTTCTTTTTTGTGTGCACTGTGAACGTTTCATGATACATGTAATAACCTCTATCATTTTTCAGTCGCTAAGCGCCAATAACCATGTCCTCGGCCAAAATGTCATTAATATGTTCCCATCACCTTCAAGGCTTCCCTACTACACGATGGATCTACTACTAACCTGTCCATGCACTGGTGCCACCTATAGTGAATACCCTTCTCCCGCAGGATTCAGTTTAATATCTCTCCGCGGTAGGCCTTGAATTTGGCAGCAGTCACAACTTCCTGAATACTTCGTTCGTCAACTATCCGAGCATATAGTTAGTTTCATTCTCGCTTTTCATGTTACAATTATTTTGATTCTTATTCCTCGGTGTAGGCAAGATCGTCTTCTCCCCATGGCACTGTCAGCTCAATTGAACGAGTCCTTTGGCTTTTCTTCGCGTGTCGTTTTATCATTGTTTGTATTTACTTATCCAATAAAATCCATTCTACATTTTGCCTTGGTCTTTGGTGTGCTAACCGAGTAGTGCGATACATATCCAGGAGCAGCAAACACTTTAAGACTCCCATTCCCCTTCAAGTTTAGCGGGCCACTTTTCCTGAAGATTGTTAACGACATTGTTTACTTTAGCACATGTTCTTCCGTCAACCCTGGATGTTGATCTCGGTTGGACTCTATCCACAGTCCCCATATCCTTATCCCCCCCTTCTTCCCTTCCGACTCATTTCGTCCATTACTCAGCCCACCACTCAGTCCATCCTTGTTCCTCATCATTTTGCTCCATTGCAGCATCATGCCTCGTCGCTCAAAACGCTAATATATCAGACTTAGGCGAGTCCCTCTATTGTTCCATGATCTTCACGCTTTATCTACAGTCACTAGTGGGAAGAATCTTCAAGTCCCTTCCGAGCGCATTCCTGCTGGCATCTACACATTCATCAATGTCGACTTCCGGAGATGCTGGAAATTGGTCATCATGTCTTATCATCTGATCAATCTGTATTGTGGGGGAATACCGTAACTCTGTAAAGTCCATAACACGTAGTGTACAAAAAATGTAAACTAGTCTTATGTACTACTGCGAAATACCTATGCTTTCAGTCAGATAACTACATTACCGGAACATTACAAATGTTACATAATGCTGATCTACTTAGGGCAATATCATTAATATTGATACGGCGCTAGAGTTGTTGTCTACACCGTGACTAGTGTCAGCGGAACATATCCATGAGAGTGCTAGAAAGACATACCACAAACGGTGAGTTCGGATAACACACGTTGGGGTCGACACGGACTTCTGGTGTTTCTCTGATCAAGATAGAGTAACCTCCATCCGTAGTTGTCATACGGCCATGCAGGGCCAAGGCTGCCATTACGCGGTTTGCATCTGGATTTCTCAAGATTTCCTGACCCGCTTCCACTTCAGTTATCTCCCTGACTGGGATCGGGGTGTCGGGAGACACGACTAGACGCCATATCACGAGCCGACGGTTGTCGATGGAAATGATTCTGCCTTGTCTATTGAAGACGCGGATCTCGTCAGGGAAATGCTCGCGCATGTAGGCAAAGACGCCTCGTTGATCGGTCAGTGCCTCGTTGACCGCGTTTCTAATCGAGACCATGTCCGAAACGGAGACATTGTATACCTGAGGGTTGACGGAATCCTGTGACCAGCCGATTACCCCCACAGGTGTAACACTAGTCGGACGATAGTAATTCATAGACGCGGCTGCATCGATGCTATCACCCATCATAGCAAGTCCTGTCAATGGGGACTGGACTCCAATGTCAGCTGCAAGATTAGATGATTAGATGTCTGTAACTCGTACTATTGCTATTGCTATTGGGGTGAACCAATTCCAAATCATGTTAAAGGAGTGGGACGAACAATGATATAATGATAGGGTGAAAGGCATTCTCGTTCCTCTTTTATACCCAGGTTCTCATAAGGTTTTACAAACGAACTTGAATTTCTCCTCAAACGTCAACAACATTCCAATGTTCAACACCTGTCAACCGGTTGCTGTATGTCAGGTGGACTTGTACATGCGGAACTCTGTTTGAGTTTAGAGCTGGTCTGAATTGTTTGTTTAGCATGTGGAATCCTGATAAGACAGGGCCGATTTTACAGCCGGTCCAAATTGTTCATATTTGTTTTTCACGTGTCAGTTTGTTGGAGTCAGATGGATATAATAGTGCTCGTCAAAGCGTCGAAGAGGCCCAACGCTTAAGTTTTCATTGACGACAATCTTCATATTAATTGGCTTTCGTTGTCACCGTACAGACAAGTAGTCACTCGTTCAGTAGTATTGTAAAATTGCTCGGTCATTCCGCGGTATATGCCATAAATCTATGTAAGTTAGCATCAAAAAAGTCTTATCGTGAATGCGGCCAATGATAGTACGAGCACAGCCGTACGGGTCTAGAAAATTTTCTCCGTGAGCTCAATCATGCCGGCTCTCTACCAGCCCGGTCGGCATATTTGCCTTGACGGAGTATTCTAAGGAGAAGTGTGAACAAACAGCCTTGAATTTACCTTATTTTGCTCAATAATGTAATTAAGGAACAAATTAAGTACGAAAAGGAACTCGGTGATTTCCTGATGCGGCCACCAGCAGGTACCACCCACAGGTACACCCGTACCCGTACCACTTGACCCGGGATGGGTACAGGTATGACCATATCTCTCAACTTACACGCGGGTATGACGCGGGTCCATGTCAGGCCCTAATGGTGTTGAACAGCCGAGACAAGTACTTATATGGTCAAAACAGAAATAGGTTTCAAACTTTGGAAAAAATATCTTTTCCTGGGCTGGTACATCATTTAGAGGCATCTTCCAGGAATCATATGAACCAAGAATTAAGAAAAACGGCGGTTGGAATATGGAGATATGGTCGAAATACTGACTTTTTTGCCCCTCCACCAAACCGCAATATTGGCGACCTCTATACACCCTGGGACCATCTCCAATCGATTTGTATGACTGAAAAACAGTAGGAACACCATTTTCAGCATTGGTCTTGAGTTATATTCGAGTGTGGTGCGATATAGGGGGTAGGAGGGGGGAGGAGGACATTCTATATCTCGACAACCTGATTTTTCCTGACATATTGGGCTTTACCATCGTGTTCAGGTACATTGAGAGCCCCCTGGAAAAATGCTTTTGGAGGGCATGCAAGTCATGGGAAGGCTAGAAAAATCGATCTTTGAGGGGGGTATGCTGACAAATTCGCACATGTCACTTTGTATGGTCTCAAATCGCTCTTGTATCATTCTCAATCGATTTATATCATTGTAAAACAGTAGGGACACCCTTCTACATACCGGTATTTACATAATAGGAAGATATGTGAGTTAGGGGGGGAGGAGGACCTTCTGTATCTCGACCACCTGATTTTTTCTGACAATTCGGGCTTGACCATCTTGTTCGCAGCTATCAAGAGCCCCCAGGAAAAATGGATTTGGAGTCATGGCAAGTCATGGGAAGGCCAGAAAAATCGATCTTTGAGGGGGGGTATGAGGTCAACTTACACATTACATTTCATATTGGCCAAAAACACTTCGAACCCATCTTCAATCTATTTGTATGATCCAAATGCACTATTTAAATCCTTTTTACATCAGTATATACATAAAATCATGCTTCATTGTTGAGTAGGTAGGGGGAGGGGGTAGCATGACTCTGAAACATGATTTATTCGGACAAAATCAGCATTGCCATCGCATTCAGAGCGTCAAATAACCTTAGGATCAAGTTCCATTTGAAGCCAGGCAAGTCATATGAAGGCTGAAAAAATCAACCTTTGGGTGAGGCAACAGGACAGGGGCGACCCTGCTTACATAAGCAAATGCGGACAGGTGGGCACACTTGAAGCAAGACACCACATATCAGAGGCCTGTTGCTCATAAATGTACATATATTGATTGTGGTTGTATTGAGTTGAGATTTAGACATTGAAGTCATCGAAAGGCTGAGACAGTCGACCTTTGATTGAGCACCTCAGCAAGGCAACCTTACACTCACTCTTCACTCATAACTTTAGAACATGATTTTTTCGCACAAAAGTAGCATTACAATTGGAATCCGATGGTTCAATAACCTCCATTTACATGTCTATTCGAAACAAGGCAAGTCATATGAAGGCTGAAAAAATCAACCTTTGAGTGAGGCAACAGGACAGGGGCGACCCTGCTTACATAAGCAAATGCGGACAGGTGGGCACACTTGAAGCAAGACACCACATATCAGAGGCCTGTTGCTCATAAATGTACATATATTGATTGTGGTTGTATTGAGCTTGAGATTCAGACATTGAAGTCACCGAAAGGCTGAGACAGTCGACCTTTGATTGAGCACCTCAGCATGTCAACCTTACACTCACTCTTCACTCATAACTTTAGAACATGATTTTTTTGAACAAAAGTAGCATTACAATTGGAATCCGATGGTTCAATAACCCCCATTGAGATGTCTATTCGACACAAAGCAAGTCATGTGAAGGCTGAAAAAATCAACCTTTGGGTGAGGCAACAGGACAGGGGCGACCCTGCTTACATAAGCAAATGCGGACAGGTGGGCACACTTGAAGCAAGACACCACATATCAGAGGCCTGTTGCTCATAAATGTACATATATTGATTGTGGTTGTATTGAGCTTGAGATTCAGACATTGAAGTCACCGAAAGGCTGAGACAGTCGACCTTTGATTGAGCACCTCAGCATGTCAACCTTACACTCACTCTTCACTCATAACTTTAGAACATGATTTTTTTGAACAAAAGTAGCATTACAATTGGAATCCGATGGTTCAATAACCCCCATTGAGATGTCTATTCGACACAAAGCAAGTCATGTGAAGGCTGAAAAAATCAACCTTTGGGTGAGGCAACAGGACAGGGGCGACCCTGCTTACATAAGCAAATGCGGACAGGTGGGCACACTTGAAGCAAGACACCACATATCAGAGGCCTGTTGCTCATAAATGTACATATATTGATTGTGGTTGTATTGAGCTTGAGATTCAGACATTGAAGTCACCGAAAGGCTGAGACAGTCGACCTTTGATTGAGCACCTCAGCATGGCAACCTTACACTCACTCCTCACTCATAACTTTAGAACATGATTTTTTTGAACAAAAGTAGCATTACAATTGGAATCCGATGGTTCAATAACCCCCATTGAGATGTCTATTCGACACAAAGCAAGTCATGTGAAGGCTGAAAAAATCAACCTTTGGGTGAGGCAACAGGACAGGGGCGACCCTGCTTACATAAGCAAATGCGGACAGGTGGACACACTTGAAGCAAGACACCACATATCAGAGGCCTGTTGCTCATAAATGTACATAGATCGATTGGAGCCTTGTATGGGCAAGTATTCCCTTGCCATGCATGAAAGAGTCGGGTACTGTGACTGGTGGTGCTGACAAATTTTCGTTAGTCAACTCGTATGCTTGTGATAGCATAAACACTCACCCCCCACCAACATACGACATCATCAGTCTGCTCGAGAGGACTTCCAAGATAAGCCGTAAGTTCAGCGCGAGGGTTCAGCTTGGTGCGATCTGATGCGAGACGTGCTTGCACAGCTGCAAGCACCCATGAACGGCCATACTGACCATGCAAGTCAGATGTCCCTTGTTCGTTGTCAGCCTCTACAGCAACAGAGGTCGGGGCCACATCACGGTAGTACTCATCGAACGACTCCTTGTCCCACTGATGTTCGGCATATGCAATCTTGACATTGGGGTCGAGTGCTTCAAAGCCAGTAACTCATCAGTATCATCATAAGTGAAGAGGTATGAACATACCAAGGCAAGTAGAGTTTGCAGGAAGTATAACACATCGTCGATCATCAAAGATGTGTTATATTTCCTGCAAACTCTACTTGCTGATGGGGTCGGACAGGTGGGCAAACTTGACACAAGACTCCATATATCAGAGATCTGTTGCTCCAAAATGTACATAGATCGATTTTAGTTTTATGTAGCTTGAGATTGAGATATTTAAATCATTAAAATGCTGAGCCAATCGACCGTTGGGTCGAGCACATTAGTATTGCTGACTTACAGTCACTCATTACTCATAACTATAGCAAATAATTTTTTCAGTCAAAATAATCATTGCATTCAGATTCTGGTGGTTCAATAACTTCAATTGAGATGTATATTCGAAGCAAGGCAAGTCATACAAAGGCTGAAAAAATCGATCATTGTGAGGTAGCAAGACAGGGGCGAGCCTGCTTACATAAGCAGATGCGGACGGGTGGACACATAGAATAAGACTTTTACAAATCAAATTTCTGTTAGGCTCCTAAATGTAAAATGATCAGTTACCCCTGTAATGCGGTCAATTTAGTCATATGAAGGTCGAAACAACCGACCCCAGGTTGAGCACCCCAGCATTACATGTGGCATCGTTCACTTTCGTCCCATAGTATTAATGACCCCCAGTGAAATCTCAATTTGAAAGTGAGAAAGTGAGAAGGTCATATGAATGGAAACAAAATAAATCATGAAGGATAGTGCGATAGCCTAGGGTTATGCCACCAACATAAGCACATGATCAACTTGGACACAGCCTGACTGACAAGTTGAACTATTCTAAATCCTTATTTCTCAATGGCTGCAGCGGCAGACCAGCAGCAATGATTTCCAACACTTGTTATTACAGTGTTTTAGACTTTATTTTAAAAAAATTGTTTTTAAAAAACAAGTTCGCAAATGTCAACAAGACGTACATGTGATCTAC